AGGGCATGGCCTTTCTGCACAACAGCATCATTGGCTACCATGGCAGCCTCAAGTCCTCCAACTGTGTGGTGGACAGCCGCTTCGTGCTCAAAATCACAGATTACGGTCTGGCCAGCTTCCGCCAGGGCCATGAGAGTGAGGGCAACCATGCGCTCTATGCCAGTGAGTGCCCGGCAAGCCCCTCTAGAGCCTGGTCTCCTGCCCATCCCCTGGGGAAGCCTGAGCCCTGTGCCCCCCTGACCCCAGACTCTCTGGTTCCTGCTTCAGAGAAGCTATGGACGGCTCCAGAGCTGCTGCAGAAGGGGACCCTGCTCCTGCTCCCCCCGGCCATGCAGAAGGCGGATGTGTACAGCTTTGGGATCATCCTGCAGGAGATTGCATTGCGCAGCAGCGCCTTCTACGTGGAGGGCATAGAGCTCAGTCCCAAGGGTGAGAAGGGGCCAGGGGTCTGAGCAGAAACCTACAGCCTAGGAGCCTATCCTGGTAAATGCCAGCCCTGCCCGCCTACAGCCTCCGCTGACATGAAGGGGGATGCTGCTTAGCCCAAAGAGGATCAGGAAAGGTCAGCAGCGGAGGCTGTCTGTCTCTCCCTGCCATGCCCTGTACTGACCTCTTGCAGCTGAGGTGTCCTCCAGCCTGGATGGGTTCAGCAGTGGGCCCAGCCATCTAAGGAGTGCTGCAGGAGGGGCAGGGGAAGTAATGTCTCTGGGTTCCTTGGACACGTACTGCTTGGAGCCCATCCAAGGGGAGAAACTGGGGCTCACCCAGTTTCTTCAGGGGCTCACCCGGGGACTCCCCGGAGGTAACCCCAGCCCAGCCTGTTCCAAAAGCTCACCTGGGCTTTGGCTGCCATGGCCACACCTGGGTGGAGCGAGAGGATGGTACTACCTGAATTCAAGATGGAGGCTTCCACACCAGAGAACGGTAAAGGGGTGATGCTGCTGGCTGTGCCATTGGCTGGTGTTCTGCTGCTTGTGATGATGCAGGTTTGACCCTGTGACCTCTGTCTTTCCAGTCTCCTCCCTCATCCTCATCCCTCACCACCCTTCAGGATTGCCATGTTCACTTCTCTCTCCTCATTGCTCTAGCAGCCAAGTCACCACCTCCCCCCACAAGTCAGCTGCGCCTCCATCCCATCACCCCCACATTCACTCCTGTGCATCCCGCCCCACTCCTCCCCCCCAGAGATTGTGCAGAAGGTGTGCAACAGCCAGCCGCCCTACTTTCGGCCCACCATCGACACTCGCCTGCACAGCGAGGAACTAGCTGTCCTGATGGAACGCTGCTGGGCTCAGCACCCGTCCGAGCGCCCAGATTTTGCCCAGATTAAAGTCTTCATCCGGCGGTTCAACAGGTAAAGTATCCGGAAGGGATTGGGAGTGGGAGTGGCAGCAAGAGACCTGCTTCAGCTTATGCTCCTCTGGGCGGGGAAGCACAGAAGGTCTCCTCCTCACACAGCCTTGGAGAACCTCTCAGGAAGATAGGCAAGGTGCCTGGTTGCGACCATCCCAATGTTGTCTTCTCATGAGATGCACATGTACCTCAAGAAGGCTCCAGTTGGCCCTGAAGAGAATCTCCCTGTATTCCTACCAAACATGGGCTGAGAGTCTCCACGGGGAGGCCCCCAAAGCCTGTGGCTTCTGCTGGATCCCTGAGACAAAGTGGCCACAGGATGAGTGTGTGGTATCCAGGAGAAGCTCACTGTGGCAGAAAATGAATCTGGCTGTGGGAAAGGAGGGTCTCCCAGACTGGGCCCCAAATCTAGCCAGTTTGGCTCTCTCAGGCACTTCTGTGGCTTGGCTGACAGATAGCTCCCCCCTCCTGCCCAAGAGGCAGGCACTCTTCCCACCTACTGGATTCAAGGATGGGCTGTCTAGAGGAGATCAGGGGCAAGGGGGGTTAGGGGATAGATACAGAAGCTGACCCCAGCTGGTTAGATGCTCCATAGTCTTGTGGGGGAGGCTCAGTCCCCAACCTGCAGCAGTATTGCCTGTCATCCAAAGGCTTCAGAGTGAGGGGTTCAGTGGTGGGGGAAGTAATGGCACAGCACCCGCCATACCCTAGCACCATTCCCCTCACCCTGCCTGCACCACTGTGAACTCTGCCCTCCCCCTCTTCCTCAGAGAAGGAAGCACCAGCATTCTGGACAACCTGTTGTCACGCATGGAGCAGTATGCCAACAACCTGGAAAAGCTGGTGGAAGAGCGCACACAGGCCTACCTGGAGGAGAAGCGCAAGGCAGAGAACCTACTCTACCAGATCCTGCCCCAGTGAGTCCAGCCTGCCTCCCTCCAGGGTGCTGTAGCTTGACGCCATCTCCTGCTTGGAGGGTCAGCAGCTCCTGTCCTTTCTATTCCACAGTTCGGTAGCCGAGCAGCTGAAGCGGGGTGAGACAGTGCAGGCTGAAGCCTTCGATTGTGTCACCATCTACTTCAGCGACATTGTAGGGTTCACCTCCTTGTCAGCAGAGAGCACTCCTATGCAGGTAGGCTGCAGCATGGGTGGGTGGGTGGGTGGGCAGTACCTTGCATGCCTGAAATGGATGTGTCTGACTCTAGTCCTGCTTGATTTGTGCTTGGAAAAGTCTCCTCCACACAGCCCACCCCCTGGCTGGAGCAGGTCCAAGGACAGATGCCTGCTAGAGAGTTTTCCCATGAATGTGAGGCGCTCCCTGGTTCCTCTGTTTAAGAATTGGGCTATGGCTTGTTTTCTTCACCCAATGTAGATATGGAGCCCTGTCCTACTTGCATGTGGTGCTGCAACCAAACATGGCTGGCACATTGCAGAAGACTAGTACTTAGCTATCAGTTGCTGAAAAAAGTGGAATGGCTATGTTAACATGCCAGGCCTCCAGAAACTCAGGAAGTGTTCTCTGAGAGTATAGTCCAGACGAGAGGGCAGAGGGAAGAGGCGGGGAGAGGGAGGGAGATCTGGAGAGGCCTCTTTTGACCAGGGTGAATGTGGAGGGTTACATGGCACAGAGTCAAAGTAGGCATATTCTGAATTTTTGACATGCTGAGCCCAAAAGGTTCACCATCTATGATCTATGTTTATGACCATGGCCGATAGATCCCAGTTGCCATGTTCTTACCAAAGAGTTTAGAATGATTATGAATCAGGCTGCTACTTTTACATCCTCCTGTGGATCATTGCTTCGGCATGACATATTACAGGGACACAGCAATCAGGTTTCGCTGCAGATTTGGGCTGTTGTGTCAACGTAGCTATTGGGAAGCAGAGGAAAGGCAGAGCTTGCTATTAATTACCCTCCCAATGTTCACTTATCCCTTCTGCAGGGTGTGGGTGTGGGGTCCCAATTTGACCCTTTTTGTTCAACTTTGTCAGTTGGTCTTTACTTGCTTTCCCAAAAATGTCTTTCCATCTGCCCTGGGCATTTGCAAGCACTGCTGTGCCACAGCCGCGTCTGGTCTTGCCCTGGGCAGCCACCTGTTCTTGCTAGATTAGACTCCCTCCACCTGGCCAGCCAGCTCACCCATCTCCCCCCATCCCAATCACCAGGTGGTGACGCTCCTCAATGACCTCTACACTTGCTTCGATGCCATCATAGACAACTTTGATGTCTACAAGGTGAGATTGGCTGGGATGGGAGGGGGTGTCTTCCTGGATGACCCCCAGCTCAAAGCAATGCTGCAGGGAGCCCCCCCAGCTCACCCTGCTCCTTGGCCCTGGCCATAGGTGGAGACCATTGGTGATGCCTACATGGTGGTATCCGGCCTGCCTGTTCGAAATGGCAAGCTCCACGCCCACGAGATCGTCCGCATGGCCCTTGCACTCCTGGAAGCTGTGAAGACCTTTCGCATCCGGCACCGTCCCAGTGAGCAGTTGCACCTGCGCATAGGGGTCCACTCTGGTGAGTGAGGCGGGCAAGCACGGTCTACCTTTCCTGAGCATGCACAAAGCACCAGCGGTTCAGCCATCCTCTTCTACCTACCTGCAGGGCCAGTGTGCGCGGGAGTGGTGGGCCTGAAGATGCCACGCTACTGCCTCTTTGGGGACACAGTCAACACGGCTTCACGTATGGAATCCAATGGCGAGGGTGAGATACCCCCCCATACTCTTTCTGTAGGGCCCGTGTATCCTTACCTCCCCTCCCTTGGAGCCTGCTACTGGTGCTTCTCCCCACCCAGCCTTCTTTCCAGCCTCCCCCCCCTCCAGCTTCCTTGTGAACTTTCATTCCCCTTCAGTAGATGCTCAGTGGGATGCAATCCAGCCCAGCTGTGCCCCATTTCTGGGAGGCTGAGGGGACTGAGACATTGCCTCTCCTTGAGGGCCTCCTGAACACAAGAGGGTTCCCATCAGGAACAGTTAAAAGCTTCACTAGTTTAGACTAATCAACTTTATTGTGGTACTCTGTAATTGCTGTGGACCGCGAGACTCCCAAGCATGCCACTGGGCCCCTTTGGCAGGGGATCCTGGGGGGCACTCACTCTCCTGCCCCTGTTCCTTCCAGCCTTGAAGATCCACATCTCTGCTGCCACCAAGGAGATCCTGGATGAGTTTGGCTGCTTTCTGCTGGAGCTCCGGGGGGACGTAGAGATGAAGGTGGGCATGGGAAGGAACAGGCTGGGCCCTGCATGGGGGGGGGGGAGGGGAAGGAGGGCAAAGTGGAGGTATGCCTCTCACTTTCATTGCTCTGGGGGGGGCTGCATTGCAAGAAAGGGGGCAAGAGCGCTTCACCTGTCTGCTTTCTGGCAGGGCAAAGGAAAGATGAGGACCTATTGGCTGCTGGGCGAAGAGAAGACGGCCGTCATCTGAGGGGGCCCCTCCCTCTGCAGGGACCCAGCAGCAGCAACTGCTCCCATGAACTTGCGGGGGATTCACTCTGCCTTGGAACAGGGAGGGAGGGTGAGAGGCAGCCAGCCTGCAGGCGAGGATGGCTTTGCCCGAGGGAGGCAGCGGCTATGACTGGAGGCGGAGAGGGGGGCTCTAGTTGCCCCAGACATCAAGGGGTCTTCCCTGCCCAGTCAGCAACAGCCAGGCAGCAGGCACTTGGGAACCCACCTGCTGAGGCAATCACAAAAGCCCTTTGCCCAGCTGGGGCTCCTGGTCCCAATCGATGCACCCCCACCCCTTGGCTCAGCAGGCTGAGCCAGTCTTCCAGCCCTGCTGCTCATTTTCCCCCTCTGGTTGCAAATCCAGGAATCAGGCAAGCAGTCTTGTCCAAACAGAAAGGGGAGGGGAGAATAGCCCCCTCCCCTTCCATTTAGCAAGAGAAAGGATGGCAAACGGCTCTGCCCAGCCCCGGCTGCTTTTGTGGCAGGGGAACCGTAAGGAAGCTTCCTGGAAACGACTCTGGCGGTTGGGCCTTCAGCTCTTGCAGGAATTTAGCAGGGAAATCAACATTTTGAGGAGGGGACTCTGCATCCCCCCCCACCTGCATAAGCTTGGTGTTTCCCAACCAGCCCAGATAGTGCCAAGGTAGCATTCATAGCTTGGGGTAGTTTTCTGGGCTGTACGGCAATGGCTGGTCAAGGTATTCGGACATGGGAGTTGTGAACGTTGCGCACTTCCTGAAAGGGGTGTCGCCAGTCCGGATGCTGGAGATGCCCTGTGGAGAGGGGTAAAGAAGCTGAAGAGCAGCCGGGTGGGCGGGGCTGCCCTCCGGGCCTGCGTCACCCACCCTCGTGGCTGGCTCCGAGCTGCCTGGCCAGAACATACCCTCCATGCTAGGACAACAGGTGCCCGGGCTGCCTGCCCGCCTGCCATGTCCTTTGCAGCCTCTCAAGGACAAGCCTCATGGGAGGAGGCAGGAAAGGCATGGCAACACCAGGTTGGTGCGGGACAGGATGGCACTCACCGGCACCTGCTGGGCATGTTCGAGCCAAAATGTCTGCGGTTGTTCCAGCCGGTAGTCGTGGGGCTGCAAGAGGAGAGGTGGTCACGGAGCAGCTGGGGTGTGTCCAGGAGGGAGGGGGTGGGGAGTCTGGCTGCTACTCTGGCCTGCAAGGCCCCCTACCTGGGTGGGGGGCAGGGGCACAGAACGGAAGCCCTCCTGCTTGTAGTCCCGGTGGGTGATGGAGAGGGACTCCATGGGCTCGGGCGGAGGGTACATTTCGCTTGCTAGGAGGCTCGTCCTGCAAATCAACAGCGACAACAGCAGCTGAGCCAGGAGCTGCACTGGCAGAAGGGGGGGCTGGGCACAGAGGGCTCTTGCCCCCCACCCCAGGGCAGAAACCACCTCCGGGAGTGACAGTGCTTCCTTCATCAAGCTCTGTGAGGGACCTCAAGCACCGTCCACAGCACTGAACCCAGGAAATCTTTTCTTCTTGTTGTCACCAGCACTTGGAGGGAGGGAGGCTGAGTAGGGACAGTGCGGCCCCCAGCCCCATTGAAACCTCATCCTGGAGAGATTTTATACATTCATTTTCTAGGCAGAGAGCAGAAGGGCGAGGCTTCGTTTTTCAACTTGTCCCAAGTGTTTTATGAATAAAAGAGAGCACCCTGCATGGTTATTTCAATGGTTTCCCAAACAAAATGGGTTTTGGCACTGCCGGACCTCTGTGTGCTAATCTCAAAGACTGCCACTCCTGCCGGGTAAAAGGTTGGAAGCAACACTGCAAATATTTATGGGGCTGTATGTCCAAGTTCTAACTTGGCTGCCTCCTTTGTTGTCCAATCACCACAGCCGAGGGGCGGGATCTCCCCTCAGGCACAGAGAAAGGTTGTGCAAAGGGTTGGCACAGCCCTTGCTGGTTTGTGCCATGGTGTCCACCCTGCCTGCCGGTTGGAGGAGAAGGGCAACAAGGAAACTCCAGGGAGCAGCACCAGCACCGCTGAAGGGAGCTTCTGCTGGGCCCAAGGTCCCCCCCCCTCTGTCACTGGTGGATAAGAGGGCCCTGTGCATGGATCACTTGTTTTCAGCAGGGAAAGCCACAGCGGGGGCTCCAGTACTTCTTGTGCAAATGGGGAGGGGAGAGAATTCCTTTGCACGGCTCCACCTTCCAACTTGTTCTCGTCAGATGTCTTCCCGCAGCTGCAGTAGGCCCCGGGGAGTGTTCTTGCACGTGTACCAGCTACAGTGGGCTTCTGCAGCCATGGGCTTGCTGAGTTGTTTCAACTCAAGGAAACCCTAATCGAGTGGGAGAGGAGACGGGGGGTGTGTGTTGTGGGAACAGCCCACCTCCCTTTCCCCAGTACTTCTGTGGAAATGCTCAGTCCTGCTGCTGCTACTTGCCTTGGAGATGGTTCTCTCCACCCCGGTCCCCCTGTGCTGCTGCTGCTCTCTGCCCCGCTGATTTTTGCTCTCCCATGTCCCACATCCCACACTAGTCCTTTCTCCATGGTTGCCCTTCATCCCCCTTTCATCTTCCAAAGTGGAGGCAACGTGGCCTCCCACCAGTCTTTGGGCAAGACTGGAGGCAGTGGCCTTCCATGGTTGCTGCTGCTGTTCAACTGCCAGGCAAAAGGCCCTTGGAGGACCTCGGCTCTTTCCTTCTCTAAGGGAAGAAATGCCCGTGTAGTCCCAACCTCTAGTTTCAGTCCTTGCACCAACCACCTCAGGCTGGCACTCGACCACTCACTCCTAGGCTTCCCCTTCGGAAGGTGCTGATAAGCAGGCTCAAGGATGCCAGCTCTGATCACCCCAGAAAACTTTTTTAGGCAGCTGAAGATGAAGAACGATTGCAAGAACTGGGTATGTCTAGCTCAGACATGTCAAACACAAGGCCCGGGGGGCCGGATGCAGCCTGCAAAGTGGTTTCATGTGGCCCGCGAAGCCATCCTGGAAACAATGAGGGAACGGCCCCCGCTGCCTTGGCCCTGGCCCAGGCCGGCTGGGGGCCAATGTAAATTTTGTGGTGGCCATCTATGCTGAAACGGATTCAGTCTTAGCTCCACAAGGCCATCTGGAAACAGCGAGGAACCAGCCTCTGCCGCGTTGGCTCTGCCCCCTGGGTGCATGCTGGGGAGGTATCACCCTTTGTGAGGACTGAAGAAATGGACCATACCTTGGTGCTTGCCCCAGTCCCACCCCCTTTTGCCAGAGACCCTCAGATCTGTCCCACTCCTGCCCAGGCCCCCACAGGTACCTCTGACGTGAACGATGTAGAGCTGGCCATGCCCACCCAGTAGGCCGCACCACCCTGCCCCCCCCACCCGAGGGCAACCGCAATGTTGATGCAGCCCTCAATGAAATTGAGTTTGACACCCCTGGTCTAGCTTAATGAAAAGAAGGACTAGAGTGGACATGATAGCAGCCTTACAATATCTAAGAGATTGTCACAAAGAAGATGAGGTCCACCTGTTCTCCAAAGCTCCTGAAGGCAGGACAAGAAGCAACGGATGGAAACTAATAAAAGAGAGAAGCAACCTAGAACTAAGGAGAAACTTCCTAACAGAACAATTAACCAGTGGAACACCTTGCCTCCAGAAGTTGTGGATGCTCCATCACTGGAGGTTTTTAAGAAGAGATTGGACAGCCATTTGTCTGAAATGGTATAGGGTTTCCTGCCTGAGCAGGAAGTTGGACTAGATGACCTCCAGGGTCCCTTCCAACTCTGTTGTTCTGAAGCAAGGTGGCCTTGACTCAAGATCTCCACCTAGGCTTGGGAAAGTCCCTGAAGATACAGTGGAGGAGGACTCCCACGCTAGTACAGTATTTAAACTCTCACCCAGCAATCTGACATAGAAGGACAGTGCTCAGAATGGCTAAGGGAGGTCTTCTTGTCTTCTGCAGCTCTGTGGCCTTGAGTACCCCTAGGGTCCTCTATCTCTGGGTCAAGGTTTGATCTGCAAAGGGGCGAGTGGCTCTAGAAAAGGGCTGAGCAAGTTCACAATCCAGACCAGTTGAAGGAAAGAGGTCACCCGTTGACCTTGACAGGTCCACAACAGCTCAAGCTGCTAAATGTATGGGGTGGCAGCGGGGGGGGGGGAGAAGATCCTGTTCCTTACCTGTGTTTCTGGTACAGAAGATGCTCCATCATGGCCTCTCGCTTCCCTGGGGATATAAGGAGGAGACAAGTGAGGTGGGGAGCATCTATGGAGTGGCTGGAAAAGACCCTTGCCCAGGGACGGAGACAGGAAGGTGGGCCCCGAGCCTTCCGCAGGGAAGGAGACGGGAGAGAGACATCCCCACCAGCCCACACACACCCCAGTGCCCTGAATTGAGCCAGGCACTATATTGATGCCAACCTTCTTCCAACTCTCTGTGCTTCATTCAAGGGAGAACCGGAAGGCCTGCTGGGGGCTCAAGCAGGCTCTACTTCCCATTACGGAGGATTAGGTGCCTCCCCACATGACTTGGGGACCACACACAGCCCATTTTAAGAGGCTCTAGGTGGACTTCTGTTTAAAACACCATGGAGCCATTTTTTAAAAAAGTAGCATATTCACAGCCACACTCTGGAAGGATTTACTGCCAGGGCCCTCCAAGACTCACTGCAGCTGCCAGCTCCAGCTCTGTAGATGCTCTGCTGGCCACAAAGCAGCTGATCTACACGCCAGCTGTTTCTTAGGACCTTCCCAAGATTTTTAACTGAGTCCCCTGGCCCTTTCTGCTCAAGGAGATCTGCATAATCCATTCCAACTTTGAGAAATTAAAGCCCTTCCTAGAAGTTGCTTCTTGTCTTTGCTCGCCCCCCACCCCAAGGAGTCCGACCGAAGGCAAGATCTCCCATCCCAAGGAAAGGGATGTCAGAGATTGCCTGTTGTCCCTCTACACAGTTTTACAGTACAGGCAGTCCTCAACTTATGTCCATCCTTGGAACTGAAACATTCACCCTTCAGAGAGACATGGTATGACTGTGATTTACAATCCTCCTTCCAGCTTTCCCACAGAAGTTGCTTGTCGGAAGCTGTCTGGGAAAGTTGCAAAGGGCGATGACAGGACCGCAAGGATCCTTCAGCAGTTGTAAGTCACTTTTTGAAGCACTATTGTAACTTTGAGCAGTCATTAAACAAATGGTCGTAAGCTGAGCACCCCCATCTAATTACAAAAACAATCCCTCGATTTGGGGTAGGCAACCTTGGCTCTTTTATGACTCCTGGACTTCAATTCCCAGAATTCCTGAGTCAGCTGACTCAGGAATTCTGGGAATTGAAGTCCAGGAGTCATAAAAGAGCCAAGATTGCCCACCCCTGCCCTAGATGCTTTAAAGGACAAAAAAAAAAAAAAAAGGGGGGGGGGGAGAGACTAGAAGCCAAATTGTCTTTTTGAAGTATTTTCGGAAGGAATTGCTGTTCACCAAAGAACTGGCCCAGGGGGCTGTCCCAAAGATGGTTTTTTTTTTCAAAAAGCAACTGAATTTTTTTTCGCCTTGAAGATGTTTCGCTTTGAGGAATGGAAGGATTTATATTCCTTGCAATCATCTGGTTGTTCGCTCTCTTTCTGAGAGTCATTGAGGCCACTTGGAGGTTTATCTCTGTCTTCCAAGTAGCCTCAACGACTCTCAGAAAGAGTGCTAGATGTGCCAGATGAGAAAGAGCGCCAGACCAGAGGACTGCAAAGAATATAAATTCTCCCATTCTCCACCATTCAGTTAGAACTGAAGAAGCTTCTTGGATGAGGAGCAAAATGTCTTCAAGGGAAAACCAGTCCAGTTACCTTTTGAAAAAGCACCTGGATGACTGAGAGCCTCATAGACTTGCGGAGGGGGCTGTTTAGGGGGAAGGCCAAGAAGTGGGCAGGGCAGCAGTTGCACATCTGGGCTGCCCAAAGGGAGCAGCCAGACTGTTGCCTAGGGTTCAAGGAGTTCGGTTCCAGCTGCTAATAACTGCATCCTTGACATGGGCTGGGGGGGGAGTCTGCCTGGCTTTCTAATGTGAGTGGAAAACTGCACCTAACTAATTCTCCAGAGTAGCATTGCAACCAACCCTGGGCCGGACCCCCTTCCTCTCCCTGCGTAGATGTTGTTGGCTAAGCCCATCCTGGGCTCCACTCCAGGCCTCTAGCCGCCTCTTGTCCCGCTGCCCACCTCGTACAGGAAGCCCTGTCTTCATGGGACGAGGGTAGGAGTCCTTCAGGGTGGTGGTCGTGGGCATGCCGGCTAGGAAGTCAAGGGTGAGGAGGCCAGGATGCCCGTGCCGGTGGAAGGACCCCTCGGTGCCACACTCGGGTCTTGGCACAAGGTCCAAATCTTTGGTGGCTCTCTGGGAAAAGCAAAAATGAAAACAAAGGAGGCTCCTTCCTCTTGGGGCCATGGGGGGGGGGAGGACAGTTGCTCTTCCCCCACCCCTGGGGAGGGCACAGCTTGGTCCCGCCCTCTCCTTCTGCAGGTCAGGAACAGAAGGGTCGCGCTCCAATTCCTGGAGAGGCTGCGCTCATCCGAGGGGATGCCAGGCTGGGGCTGCGGAGAACCCGGGTGGGGAGCGCCTGCCAAGGGGCAGCAGAGCCTGGGCGCCGTCCTGACCTCCCACCGCCAGCGCCAGACCGCCAACTGGGGGCGAGGAGCCCCGCAGAGCAACCTCACCTCTTCCTGCCAGTTGTGCATCAGGCACTGGCCGCGGGTGGGCGGCTCCCTCGGCGGCTCCGGGACGCAGAGCGGGAGCGGCTGCAGATCGGCGGCCGGCAGCTCTCCCAGGTAGGGCCCCGGCACGCCGTGACAGGGCGGTAGCTCCACCGGGACCGTGGCTCCGGCCTGCGGCTCTGCCTCGGGCTCCGGCGGCATCTCCGCGGGACACGGGGCCGTCTCCGCCGGGCTCCCGCGGGGCTCCTCCGTGCTGCTCTGGGCGGCCTCTCCGCCGCTCGGCACCTGGGCTCTGTCCAGGGAAGAGACAGGAGAGCGCCGGGTCGCGGGCGGGAAGGGGCCCCGGCTGCTCCGGCGAACCAGCGCCCTGCCGAGAGCGCCGCGGGCCCCGAGGGCCCCCCTCCCCGAGTAGCGGGCGGGGCGGTTGACGGTCGCGCCCAAGCTCACCCTTCCGGCTCCATCCTGGCTCCTGCGCTTGGTTGGTCTCCACGGAGACGCGAAACCCACCGCGGGCTGTCCTGGGAGGCGGGCGAGCGGCCGGGGCGACCGTTGGTTGGCCGAGGGCGAGGAGGGGGAGGGGAATGGGGAGGGGCCTCGGGACTCTCCCTCCCGGCCTGGCCCTCCGACCCGGCCGGCGCAGGCGAGGGGGGCGGGGCGAGAGGCGGGGCGGAGAGACCGGCTCAGGACGTGCGTGGACCAAGCGAGGCAGCCGAGAGCGCTGTCCGGAGACTCGGCGGGCCCGGAGAATCCCCGAAGGAGGCGATGAATTGCCTCGCCCGGCGGCAGGTGAGCCTTGCCCCCCCTCCCCCCGACATCCTCCCCAGAAGCGGAGGCCCAGCGGGTGGCTTCTTACGTGCTTCGCTTGTGCTGACTTTTGCTGCTCGCTTAGAGGTTTGGGGGATCTGGTGGGCGTCGGACGGGGGTCGTTGCTTCCTTGTCCTCGGTAAAATAGCACAGGGAAACCCGTAAGAATACGGTCAAAGAAGGCAAGAGGGCAGTTGCGACAGTGCGATTTAAAGTCCACCCAGTTTTTAACATGTCACACATTGTCCAGGTCCGTGGAGACAGGTTGGACTGTCCTCTAACCTCATGTGTCTCTGTGCGCGTGCGTGCGTGTGTGTGTGTGTGTGTGTGTGTGTGTGTGTGTGTGTACATGCACTCATGCACCAAGGGAGAGGAGAGACTGCTTCTATCCAAAGTAGAAGGAAGAGAAAGAAGGGCTGAAGGCGGGGGGGGGGGCTCTGTTGCCTGCAGCCCCGAGGCCCAAGGAGCGTCCTTACTGCCCTTTTCTCCTCCTGAAGGAAGAGATTCTGGCTCCTGTCATTGGTGTGGGGCTAACTGCAGCCAGCACCCTCTTTGGCCCAACCTTGGCCCCTCACTGGCTTCGCTAAGTGGCCTGCATGCCATTTAGCCATCCTGAAAGTAGCATGCAAAGACACAGCCAGCCTGCTGGGAGGCAGGTGGGAAGCTCCTCTAGAGTGGGAGAAGAACAGCTGGGACAAGAACAGCGCCTCTCCTTCTGATTCCTCCACCCACCTCAGCAGCAAGGAAGGGGAAAAGCCATTTGGAGGCCTGCAGGAGCCTGCTCTGAAGCACTTGCGTGGGAGGCCAGTGCTTAAGTTGGGCCAAGGACCAGTGGAGGGTCTGCTTGGAGCCGCTTGCCCTGCTGCCCAGCCGATGCCCTTCTGGTGCTGCAGATTGCGTGGCCTGGGGATTGGCACCTTCCATGCCCATCCTGCGACAGGGCGAGGCTCTCAGCGAGGTGGCCCCGTTGCAAGTGGGGACAGGCTGGAACATCTTCAAACTGCTATCATGATGTGTCTGCACAACATTTGCCAGTAAAAGTGTTTAAATTCCCCTGAGCGTTGATGCTGGTAAAATGTTTGGTAATTGTGAAGGTGGTGGGAGCCCCACTTGCAGAAATGGATTCTCTGCACATTGTCAGTCAGGTTCTTTAGCCTCTAAGGCAGGGGTGTCAAACTCAATTTCATTGAGGGCCACATCAGCATTGCGGTTGCCCTCTGGGATGTGTGTGTGTGTGGCCAGGGTGGGTGTGGCCTACTGGGTGGGCATGGCCAGCTCTACATTGTTCGTATCAAGGGTGCCTGTGGGGGCCTGGGCAGGAGTGGGACAGATCTGAGGGTCTCTGGCAGAAGGGGGTGGGACCAGGGCAAGCGCCAAGGCATGGTCCATTTCTTCATTCCTCACAAAGGGTGACACCTCCCCAGCATGCACCCAGGGGGCGGGGCTGACACAGCAGGGGCTGGTTCCTCGGTGTTTCTAAACGGCCTTGTGGAGCTAAGACTGAATCCGTTTCAGCATTGATGGCCACCACAAAATTGTACATTGGCTCCTGGCTGGCCTGGGCCAGGGCCAAGGCAGCGGGGGCCGTTCCCTATTTCCAGCATGGCTTTGCGGGCCACATGAAACCACTTCGCGGGCCACATCTGGCCCCCGGGCCTTGTGTTTGACATGTCTGCTCTAAGGCCCTCGCCATTCGTGCTGCTTTCCTCTGGACTCTTTTCTGTTCCTCACCATCCCTCCCGTATGGTGGCTGTACAGCTGCAGAGAGGATTCTCAGGGCAATCTGACAGTGCAGCGGAGAGCAGAACTGGCTTCCCGTGATGTCAACATTGTGCCTCTGTTGGTGCAGCTCAAGGTGGCTGTTTTTGGCTGCTGCAGCACACTGCTGGCTCATGCGCAATTTATGGTCTCCTTCGAAGGGCTACTCTTGAGCCAGGCACTGCCCATCTTCTTAAATGTGACTTCTGGGCTACTGCGAGGACCTCCCAAACCAATTCACTTTAATGTATTTAGGTATTTACTACCAAGCCAAGTTGTAGTCAGGTATACTTTATTTTAAGGAGACCGGGGGAGGGGGGATCAGAAAAAGAATGGTTAAGGGTGGCCCTTTTCATTCTCAGTGAACCTCCAGCTTCCTTGTTTGGTTGCCTCAGACCCTTGAGGCCACCAGGGCCATCCCTTGTCGACAACCAATCAATCAGAATAGAGCTGGAAGGGACCTTGCAGGTCTTCTAGTGCAACCCCCTGCTCAAGCAAGAGACCCTTTAGTATTTGAAGTTCACCCTGTTTGTTCCCTAAGCTTCGAGCATTCGTATATAGCCATTTGAGTCCTTTATGGATCTTGGGTATGTTTCTTATATTTCCTACTTTGCTTCTGGGTTTTCCATCCTTCTTCTTCTTCTTCTTCTTCTTCTTCTTCTTCTTCTTCTTCTTCTTCTTCTTCTTCTTCTTCTTCTTCTTCTTCTTCTTCTTCTTCTTCTCCTTCTCCTTCTCCTTCTCCTTCTCCTTCTCCTTCTCCTCCTTCTCCTCCTTCTCCTCCTCCTTCCTCCTCCTTTTTACTCCCTACTTCCTTATATGATTGGTTATCTAGTGGTTTTTGCTTGGAATCAGTTTTTAAGCCAGTGGTTCATTTCTAAAACCCTTTGCTCCCTCATTGGATGTTGGCCTTTTGTTGGAAGTATAGATGAAAACACCACAAGCTCCTAATTCTTCAACTACCTTCCTTAGCTGCTCGTAATCTCTTGTTATTGTTTTTAGATTCATTGTTGTATCATTAGTCCCTATGTATAAGAGAAGAAAGGGGTAGTAATCCATGGGGTTGGTTATTTTAATAGGTTTCTCCATTACATCTTTGATTTTTATTCCAGGGGAGACAACATACTTCCCTAGACTGACTGTTTAGTCTGCAGACTATAGTTTCTGTTCCCCAAAGAATTGAATTTCCTATCGCCAATATTCGCTTTTTTCCTTGGAGAGTGTGGAATATTATACTTCCTGTCAACAGGAATGGTGGATTGTGCGATTATTAGAAACTATTGATGACTGCTCTTTTATAGGGGTCTGTATATTTTCTTCCAGAGGGAGGCTATGAAAGCAGTTGTTAGTTCCAGAGGGGCTTCACTGGATACTAGGGTAGATAGTAGGGGCTTTGCACTTGGTTTCTTCTAAAAGCGACAAGTTTCCATCGATCTTCCTCTTCGGGTGCATGAATAGGGTCATTGTTTTCGGAAGCTGTTTGTTCCCTATTGTTTTCAATTTAGATGTTTTGGTTTTCTTCTTTTTGTTCATATATTGCAGGGGTAGGCAATCTTGGCTCTTTCATGACTCGTGGACTTCAACTCCCAGAATTCCTGAGCCAGCCATGCTGAGGGGAAAGGGAGTTTCCAAGCTGAGCCTTGCTGGCTCAGGAATTCTGGGAGTTGAAGTCCACGAGTCATAAAAGAACCAAGGTTGCCTACCCCTGGCCTAGTCTATTAAGCCTGACAGGAGTAGATTATCAGAAACTGGTAGGCCTAGTCCACGGGTAGGCAGCCTTGGCTCTTTTATGACTCGTGGACTTCAACTCCCAGAATTCCTGAGCCAGCCATGCTGAGGGGAAAGGGAGAGTTTCCAAGCTGAGCCATGCTGGCTCAGGAATTCTGGGAGTTGAAGTCCACGAGTCATAAAAGAGCCAAGGTTGCCTATCCCTGGACTAGATGGTGCTGGTGGAGGGAGGCTGGATCCAGGCCCAGCCCAAACTTCGCCTTTCCCTGCGCTCGTGTGAGAGCAGCGCCTTCTACACTCGATCCCCCACCATACGGCCTCCCTCGTGCTTGGGTTGGGAGCCCGGCCGTCGGCATCAGGGGACCGGCTGGGCAGGGAAGCGCTTCCTCTAAGGAGCGATTCGGGCAAAGGGCTCACTGGCGGGGTACGGGGGCGAGAGCTCGGCGACGCCGTGGCCGGCTTCCCGGGAACCCCGTGGGACAGCAGCGCATTCAGCCGCCTGCGGCCGGACCGACGATGGGGCCTAGTTCCTCAGTGCTTCTGCCAGCCGCTCCCGGAGAACCGGAGCAACTCGGCGGAGTCCACCATTAGCCGGCGCTGCTGGCCCGCTTCGGGCTTAGTACGGAGGGTAGCGCCGCGGGGCGATGGCGGGGGGGGGGGTTGCCCGTCAGCGCCGGCCAGGCTATTATTAGCCGGGCGGGCGGCCCCTAATTGGCGGCCAACAGACGCACCTTCCATTGCAGGCAGCACGTCCGCAGCGCTCCAGGCCCCCGGCTCCCCTTGCAGGCTGGCGAAGAGCGGGAGGGGGGGGGCGAAAGGGCCTTCTGGCGGGTGCATCTGCCGCCTGGCTCTTCGCCTTGGCCATCGGTCTGCACGTAGCCGATCGCTCCAAGAGAAGAGGCTGTTCAAAGGGAGCCCGAGCCCGGGACAGGCGGGAGGGAGGGACTCTCATGGCCTCCCGGGGACGTCCGAGGGGGACTCCCTGCGCCCTTCGACGGCCAGGCCCACCCCAGCCAAAGGCTCCGGTGGGAGGGAGGCGAGACGCGTCTGGAGAGACCGCTGGAGACGAGCCTTCAAGCCTGCTCCATCCCCCCCCCCCCTCGCCCGGAGGTCCCGGTCCCAAACCCGCGTGAGCCCTTGGCTCCCTATCGGCAATTGGTCGCGGGGGACCCCGTGTGGGAATCCTGGGCTCCCCCTGGCTCCCGGTTCCTCATGTCCAGGGTAGCCGCAGAAACTGAGCGGCGCCGGAGATGCGCGGCCCACCTGAGCCCCCAAGCGCGGAGGGGTCGGCCAGAACCGCCTCTCCCCTGGGGAACCGGGCGGGCTCGTTCCGCTCTCCTTGCAGCGCAGCAGCGCCCCCTGGCGTCCGTCCCGCGCACGGCCCACTCCGCCAGAACAAGAGGGTCTTTCATCCCGCGCTGCTCCCCGCAGGGCCCGAACCTCGCCCCGCCGGCCTTCCTCCCGCGGCGAAGCCTCGAGCCAAGCGGCTAAATTTAGACGCGCTGGGGCGGAGTAAGGGGTTCCCGGTGGGCTGCTTAGGGAAAGGCAGCCGAGTGACGACAGGCACAGGAGGAGACCCTGACATAGTCCAGGCTGGGGCGGGGAGGTGGACTCCCCCGCCCCCTGCAGCCGCGGGACTCGATCCCGCCCCAGAGAGGCAAGGAAGGAGGTGCCCCAACTGACCGTCGGGTATGAGTTCCCTGCTCACTTCTCCTGTCTTCCCACAGAGACCCTGTTCCCGCAATACACAGACCAGGTCCTTGAATTCAGGCGTTTATTGGATTCCAGCCATGTGTTTAACCATACATTGCTGCTGCCTTTTCTTTTAATGTTTAAGATTCTTATAACAGCTGCAAGATTATTGGTGGGGCTATATTGGAAGAAAAACTCACTGCCTACCTTGGAAGAAAGGATACTTAAGGTGTCTAATTTAGCAGAAATGGCGAAAATCTCAGCCTATTTGAAGGATCAATCACAAGAAAAATATATTATGGTTTGGAGAAGATGGATTAATAATATTCAAAAGAAATATGAAACTGATAAGTATTTTGCATATGTGTAGATGTTAGATAATTATTAATAGTTTTAATTATATTATTTTTGTTTTAATTTGTTAATATTTGTTTTGAAAAGGAGTTAAAGTGCATTATGGTTTTGTTTGATAGTATAGTTGGTTTACGTTAGATAGATTATGTTTGTTTATTTGTTACCCTGTAATCAGCTCTGGGAAGGGGGGGAGGGGGGAAGGGGTGGGAGGGGTTTACATTGTAATTTTTTTAAAAAACTTTTAATAAAAAATAAGACAGATTCAAAAGAATATCAATACTTAATGAGAATTACATACCACTTGTTGTTGTTGTTGTTAATTGCGAAGTCGTGTCCGACCCATCGCGACCCCATGGACAACGTTCCTCCAGGTCTTCCTGTCCTCTACCATCTTCTGGAGTCCATTTAAATTCACACCTACTGCTTCAGTGACTCCATCCAGCCATCTCATTCTCTGTCGTCCCCTTCTTCTATTGCCCTCAATCTTTCCCAGCATTAGGCCTTTCTCCAGTGAGTCCTTCCTTCTCATTACGTGGCCAAAGTATTTGATTTTCAACTTCAGGAATTACATACACTAGTGATGCTCAATATAACAAATGATATAAAAGCATCATACAACGTATAATCCTTTCAGTGCGGTACCAAAATCTCCAGTATATATTATCTGTAAATGGTAAAAATCCACCCAGATAGTATAGAGAAGTGTTGAATGTCTGCCTCTCTCGTGCTGATGGCCGGCTGGTTGGGGCCTTCCAAGCGCCCTGCAGTCAGCAATGCCCCTGTGGGGACCCAGCAGCCCTGCCCTCTGGAGCGAGGTTCCCTTCCCCCAATTTTAACAGGTCACTCTCTCCTGGGATTTTGAAGGGCCCTAAAGACTGGCTCTGCACCCAGACTCAAGGACCACTGAAGCCCTCCTTCCCTCCCTCTTCTCTTGGTTCATCGTCTGGGCCAACATCCTTCTCTTGTCTTGTGTTGTTTTTGTAGCTTTTGTACTGAGTCGCTGGGAGTGAAGCGGCATATAAATTATTATTTTTTAACATAAACTTTAGAAAGCACACTGTATTTGCGTTGCCATTCTTAAATTCTGCTAAATTTCTGTTGTATATAGAAATGAGTTTCACCACTGCTATACATATTCTCCAATCAAGATATTGTGTCTTTTCTCCAAAGTTGTGCAAAATTTGTGCTTTGCAGCTGTGAACACCATATGCTTGATACTTTATGGTACTTTTTAGTGATGTCTTCCGTTATCTAAAGGTAGCCCTCACTTAACAAAGGTAATTGGGACCAGAAAATATATCGCTAAGAGGCACAGTCATTAAGATGACACATGACTTCAATATCACCCCAGCAGTTAAGGATGCCACATGGCTGCGACATGCAACTTCTTGTCAGCTTTTCCCTTGACCTGGCTTGTGGGCAGCTGGCAGGGAAGGCCACGTTATGCTCAGAACTGTGGGATGTGCAGTGGTCAGAAATGTGGATCAGTTAACCGCATTGTTTGTGATCACGTGCTGTAACAGCCACAGCTACAAGGACTTTGGATGTTTGTGTTATTACTAGTCAGCTGATATGCACAATTTTGTCTTTTTGGGCTTATTTTTTCCAAATCAATGTAACTACCCTAACTGTGCTAACTAAACGGATATGTTGGACAAAGTAGGTGCCATGAATGTAGGTGCCAACAGTCACTGAATGAGTGGCCATTAAGGGAGGACTACCTGTACAAAAAAAAAATTCATTTTGAGGCTTTTTACTGAATCTGGATTAAGAGTGCTGTGTGAACCCAGCCTCCAGCAGGTGCTGAGAGACCTGTGCCCTCTTGCACCCAAATATTATCCAGGGACACCTGTTGGGAAAGTTTGCTGGCACAAATCTTTGGCTGGCCATAGCACTGTGGGGGGAAAACCCTTTTGGGGACACTGGATATTGATGCTTCAGTTCCCCTAAGGACACCGGCCCTCACTCGCTCTTCTGACCAGCTTCTGCTTTGAACTTCTGCATTAGTACAGAATGGCAGGTCAGCGTAGCCCAGATCTGCCTATGAATTTGAACTCTGCTGCCAACTCTCGGGTGCCGTGCCCTTTTCCAACCCATCAGTCCTTACAGAGCTTCCTGCGGCTCCCCAGAACCTCGTGATCAAGGACAGGTGAGGGGCATTGAAAGTGTGCAGCAATCCTTACGTCAGTGGTTCTCAACCTTTCTAATGCCGCGACCCCATAATACAGTTCCCCATGTTGTGGTGACCCCCAACCACTTATACATCACCGGGTTCCAGGGGCGTGGCCAAAGAAAAGGGGGAAAAATGGCAGACAGCCTTGTTTGGCGACCCCCGTGAAATGGTCATTCGACCCCAAATGGGGTCCCGACCCACAGGTTGAGAACCACTGCCTTAGGTGGAAGGAGCCCCCCCCCCGGAAGGCACAGCTGCTCTGCTCAATAGGAACTGGCACTGGAAGGCCTGAATCTGCTCAAGGCTGCTGGGAAGCAGGCTTTGGATGGGGTTCAAGCACTTCTTGGAAGCCCCCAATTGGGTTCACTGGATCGGGCAGGGGAGGCTGAAAAGATCAGGCCCAGACTATATAAAGGGCTGCCCTCCCACTATCAGCTCCTCAGACCTTAAGACAGAGATGGGATGTGCACCATCATGTGCCTGGGCTTCTCCTGCAGAACTCAGGTGTGGCAAAGCCTTCCTTTCAGCCCTCTACAGAGACATGTCAGGGGCCTAAGGGCTGCCACTGCCCTCACCCCCGGGGGGAGATGCCCCAAAGCCGCTTTCCCCTCCCAGATGTGCATTTGCCAGGAACTACAGCAAAAGCCCATGAAGAAGCCTGGTTTGGTGGCACCCAGACGCTCAGCTCCTGCTTGGCTGCTGTTGGAAAGGAAGGTGACCTGGCTCGCCATCTCCACCTTCCAGGCCCACCTTGTACCAGATTCCATGCCTGGGGGTGGGTGGGAGATGACTCCACACCTGTCAGCACTCACACACCTGACTTACTTTAGTTCTCAGGGCGGTTGTGATGAAATCTATGGTTGGAGGAATACCTGTGTTCTGACACAGCCAGATCCTCCTTAAGGCTTTCGGCTTGCTGGTGCTGGCTCCCTCTTCCTGCAGGATGATGGATCAGGAGCTTGGCAGGACCCTGAAGGCTTTCAGAGGGCCCTTGAGATGTTTCCCAAGAACAGGGGTAGGCAACCTCGGCTTTTTTATGACTCATGGACTTCAACTCCCAGGAATTCTGGGAGTTGAAGTCCATGAGTCATAAAAGGCCAAAGTTGCCTAGCCCTGCCCAAGGACCTGCTGGGCACCTAGAAGGTGGCTAGTTGCTGCCTGGCATGGACAGGCAAGAAGGGCCTGCCTGGGAGTGAACGGCTCACCTGAAGCTTTTCATGGCTCAGTTGAACCCAGCAAGAGATGCCTAGAGCAAGCACCATGGGGAGGGGGGGGAGGCAATGCAACAGCAAGTCCAACCAGGGATGTGCAAGTGCCATATTAACATTGTGGGGTTGTATGTACCTAAACACACTAATTTCTCCACTCTTCTCACCTCTGTGCAGACAACCAGCAACCCTTTTTGGGAGGAAGAGCCTCAAGGACACCTGCTGAGCTCCCGTGGGGATTTTTTGTAGGCATCTGGCAGAGGAAGCGGCTTGGATCCAGCTGGACTAAGCTGGCCCAGTTGCTGGGTCTGGGTCTGCCGATCTTGCCGGCTGATCTGGGAAGCCCTTGAGCAGAAGACCCAGGACTCGTGAACTTCCGATTCCTGTCCCTCCTGGCTGGCTCAGGTTACCTGGAAGGCCAGGTGGATCCATGCAATGATGGTGGCCTGCTTGGGGGAGGGGTGTGTGTGCTGGGCCTGAAGGCAGCAATGCCCCTTCCCCATCACAGGGCCTTCCCTGCAGGTGGAGATTGGGCTTCTTACAGAGGGTCCCAGAAAGAATGAGTTAGGGCAGGGGTAAGCAACCTTGTCTCTTTAATGACTTATGGACTTCAACTCCCAGAATTCCTGAGTCAGCATGGCTGGTTCAGGAATTCTGGGTATTGAAGTCCACAAGTCATAAAAGAGTCAAGGTTACCTACCCCTGGATTAGGGAGACCCTTTTTCAGGCAGGAGTGTTGTTGATGCTTGTGGACAGCTTGTACTTGCTATAACTGATAAATGAAGTAAATAAATTGGTGGCACAAGCACAGCACTGGGCGGTTCTCCTTTCTCCAGAGCCGGCTCATCAATGTTGGCAAGAGACGGCCATGTGTGAGCTGAGCCTCAGAGCTTTTATTTAATTCCTGCGTGAAACCTCTGGTCAGGGTCACCTGTCAGTTTGAGGTCAGGTGTCCTTATTCTGAACTGCCAAGAGCGTGGCACAAGATGTGTAGTTATAAAATTCATCATCTGCACACCCCCTCTCAAAAAACTTCTCCCCAGAAACCAACTCTTCCCCCCCCACACACCATTTGAGGGCCTTTAAAACAAGGGTCCTCAACCTGTGGGCCATGAGGGCTTTGCAACCAGGCTGCGGAAATGGCTGGAGAGCACACGTGTGTGCACACGAATCCTCACTTGCGCAAGCAGGTGAGAACGTGCTCCATTTAAGTGAGCGGCAGGCACACGCAGAACCATTCCCCCCCCCCCATCCAGTGTGCAAAGCCAGAAATAGTGGGGAACTCTGCTTTAAAAAGGCACTGGTACTCCCAAAGGCCTGTTCATGCAGGCTTTCTTCTATTTCAGTGTTTCTCAACCTTGACAATTTTAAGGCATGTGGACTTCAACTCCCAGAATTCCACAGCCAGCATTGCTGGCTGTGGAATTCTGGGAGTTGAAGTCCACATGCCTTAAAATTGTCAAGGTTGAGAAACACTGTTCTATTTCCTCTTTTGGGTTTTATTTCTTGATTTTATGTTTTTTTATATGTCAAGCAGGCCTGGGGTTTATAAAATCTGACCCCTGGATGACTGTTCTTGTACTGTTTGTTTTGTTATGTTTTATGTGTTTTTATTGTTAGCCACCCAGAGTCCTCCAGGAGTGGGGCGGCTTATAAATTTTAAAAATAAAATAAATAAAAATAAGCCAACCAGAGGTGACCAGGCTAGAAATCTGATTAATAAATAAACCATCGTGGCTGGAGAGGAGGAACATCCCCTTGTCCACCAGTTCCCGGGTGTCTACTTCAGAATCCAGCCCCAGGTCTTCCTCCCTCCCCCCCACGGTCATTTGGCCAAGCCCTAGAAGATGCAGTAGCAGCTGTGAGTCCCCAGACAGAGTGGGGGGAGGGGGGCCTGCCAGGGTGGCTCCTGAACATTTTGTGTGTTTTTTCATTGCTATTTCACAAGGTTTACTTGCCTCATTTTCCAACTCCCAATCTAATCAAAGCCCTGCGGCCTCTGGACGGTCCCCATCAGCCAAACAGCCACGGCCAGCAAGGCCACCCTTTGGGAAGAAAGAGACCCACGCAGACTCCCTGCAGCCCGTCCAGCGCAGGCCTTTATTGAGAACAGCTTCTGTCCAGGGCAGCTTTACTCAGCCGGGTGGCCAGCCCATCTGGCGCCCCCCCAGCACGTGGAGGTGGAGATGATAGACGGACTGCGCCCCATGCTTGCCCTCGTTGATGACTGCAAGAGGAGGGAGAAAGGGCTGGAGGGGGCACAAGGCGACAATGGACAAGTGCCAGGACCCCTTGCAGCAGGATGAAGGACCAGCCCCTCCCCAGGACAACAGTGGGGCTTCCCAGCTCAGCCCCCTGCACACTTTTCGTGGGGAGGGAGACATCTTTCTCAGCAAAGCCCTGTTCGAGGTCCAAAACAGATCCAAAGGATGAGTTCAGAGGACCAAAGACAGGAAGCCCAGCAACGGGGGCCCCTTCCAGAGAACTTGAGCGCATCCGTCTCCCCTCACTGGATCTCAGGAATTATCAGGCAAGACAGCCCCCGCCCTCCACCCCCGTCCCTGACACTGTTCCTGGTCCTGCTCCTGCCCAGACAGGCAGCCTTCTACTCACCCACTCGATAGCCATCCGAGAGGCCCTCTGCCTTGGCTGTCTGGCTGGCCACCACCAGCAAGTGTCCCAGGAGCTGGGCAGGGAGGGAAGGAGATCGAGTGGTGGTCGCACAGCCCCTCCTCCCGCCAGGCTTCAGAACTGAAATCCAGCAACGAAGCAGGAAAGCATCGACGGAAAGCCCCGCTCCCTGCCAGTGACCCCAGATGGCCCCGGGTTCACCAAGGGCCCGCCCGCCTTTGGCCTGGCCGGCCAGATCCCCGCTCACCTGGGCGTCGCTCGCGGCCACCCGGCTGAGGCGCGCGAGGGGGCGGCGCGGGATCACCAGGAAGTGCACCGGAGCTTGCGGCGACACGTCCCGAAAGGCCATGCACTGCGAGAAAGCCCGGTGAGCCTCCTGCGCCCGGGGGGGGGGGGGAAAGAACCCTCCGGCCGCACCTCCCCACCCCCGCCCGCCCCCTCTGCGCTGCCCACCTGGTCGTCCTCATAGAGCAAGTGCGCCGCGATGGAACCGTCCAGGATCCGGCTGAAGACGGTGGGGCCGGGCTGCTCGGCCGCGCACTGCGCCCGCTCCACTTCCTCGTCCGGCCCGCGTGCCACCAGGCTCCTCTGCCGGACAGACGGCAGCCGGTCACCCGCTGCGGCCCAAGCCTGCCGACCTTCGAGGAAGTTCCCGCGGTTCACCCCCTCCCCACTGCAGCGGGGACGCAGGCCGGGAAATCCCGCAGGTGGGCTCCGGAAAAGCCCTTCTCCGCCGCCCTACCTGCCCGGGGCGCCCCCAGGCACGAGCCAGCAGCGCTTTCCTCGCGGCTGCCACCACCACCGCCATGCCTACTAGCGCCGCCCCCTCTGCCAAGCGCAAGCGCACTCCCGCGCCTTCCCACCTGGCGGCAGGACAAAGGATTGCAGCCCCCCCCCCTCCAAAAAGCAAGACAACCAGCATGGCTAAGAAAGAGCCAACTTTATTCACCAGGTGCTCAGCTGTGCCCAGACAGGCAACCCCCTCCCCACTCAGAAGCCCATGCGGGCCCGTTTCTGCTGGGGTCCCTGGGAAGAGGAGGGGCCCCGCTGGCTGCTGCCCAGGGCTGAGGACTGGCTGGCCGGCAGGTCGTCCTCAGGCGGCTCCGGGGGTTGGTCCAGGACCGCCAGGTACCTTCGCAGGGTCTGGCGACGCTCCCTGGGGATGCCCCGAGCGCTCAGGCTCTGGGAGGACAGCAGTTCTGAGTCCTCCTGGGAACTGAGCGGCAGGGCTGGGGGAGCCTGGAGGGGGGGCTCCATGGGCAAAGCCGGAGGGGACCTGGGGGCCCTGCTGTCCCTCCCGGACCAGTCGCTGAGCTCTGACTGGTAGCTGGTGGAGGAGGTGAAGCTGCCGGACAGGCTTTGCGTCCCCCTGCGCCGCTTGGCTCGCCTCCGCTTCTCCCTCAGCGCCTGTTGCCGGGCCTTGGTGGAGCCCAGCCTCTCCAGCCACCAGGCCACCCAATCGCCGGCCCAGTTAGCTGCCAGCCGCTGGCCAAGCTCTCCCAGGGGCCCCAGGGAGACAGGAGGCACAGGGACCCTACTCTCGTCCCCCCAGGAGCAGAAGAGTCGCTCTTCCTGCATGGCCATGCGCAGGCAGTGGGAAGCCTCCAGAGAGGACGGGACACTCCCCTCCACTCCCCTCGTCTCTCGGTGGGCGAAGAGGCAGCCCTGGTTGAGCGTGGCCGGAGGGAACTGCCAGTTTTGGGCGTGTGGGGTGGCCCGCTTCCAGGCCCTCAGCCAGCGCCGGTAGAGGGCTGCGGCTACTGGGCTACTAGCTGTCTTTGCTCCATCTGGAAAACTGGGTTCTTGGCAGGCTCTGTCCACCACGGCATCTCCGAAGCTGGCCTCCGGGTCCAAGTCAGTGGGAGCGTGCCCCCCGGCCTCCTCCCCACTGGCCTGTGGGAGCAGCGGCTGGTAGAAGAGGTCCCCGGCCTCAGAAAGCTGGAAGACCAGCAGTGTCTGGATGCCGTCCTGCTGACCGAGGGCTGCTGCAATGCCTGGATCGGGGAGGGGGGGCGAGAGGAGGGATGAGATGGGGTGGAGGGGCGGACTCATTCCTGAAGCCCAGCTGGGAATGGCAGAGGGACAGCTCAAAGGCTTGGGTCAGACATGGTATCCTGCCCACCTGCTCGGGGCCAGCCCCAGCCCCTCTTTTCACAAGAAGGGAAGGTCTCTGACCAACCAAGGAGGATGCCCTCCGTTGAGCCCAGGGGAAGAGGACCATCTGCAGGGGAGCCTGACCATCTGGGGGGGAGGCCATGACTCCTACGAAAGATGTCATCACATGCTTTCCTCCCCCCCCCCCCCATGGACCCAGCCATGAAGATGGCAAAGTATATTAGATTATGCTTGATCACATGCAGAAAGGCAAGAGAAGCCAGCCTGTTTCTTGGATTTGGGGGGGGGGGGCAGCCTCTCTTCTGGAGCTGCAGGGAGGCAACCCAGAGCCCTCCTCGGAATGCAGAGCCCGTTTCCCTCCATCTGGTGTCGCTGCCAGCCCCACCTCCTTGCCTGGCCCCTACCTGTCGTGGGGACGGAGAGACGCTGGTTGAGGGCGCTCTGCCTCACAGGCACCTGCACAGGGAAGTGGGGCAGGCACTCCTTGATGGATGGCAACTTCTGGGGGGCACCTTGGAGCTGGCAAGGGAGGCTGTGGCCACCTGTGGAGACAGCCCAGCCCAGCAACCTCAGAGTCCGGCAGCCCCCAGGACATAATTGCCCCAGTGACAGGGGACAGTGAAAGGCGCAGGGGCTGCTTCCTGTGCTCACCTGAGTACTGCAGCAGGAGCAGCTCCTGAGAATGGTGGGCACTCAGGAGCACCCTGTGGTTGTGCTGTGGAGCCCCGGCGGGCGTGAGGTGGGCGTAGATGGGTGGCCACTGCATCATGTGCTCCCAGCGCAGGACAGGCACCAGGGGGAAGCGTTCGTCCAGCACAAAGACCGAAAACTGTGGAGGAAGAATGTTGCAGAGTGTATGTGTGTGTGTGTGGGGGGGGTGTTTTCCAGACAGAAGGACCCTCCAGCCAAGGAACCAACCGCCTGCCTCTGCCAAGCCATGCCAGCTGGGTAGAGACAACAGGGAAGGCGACCTAGCAGCCTCTGCAGAAGGTGGAGAGGTCGGGGGAATGCCCCAGTCTGCGCAACAGAAGGTGCCCACAGCTGCCCCCAGTTCCCAAACACACACACACACACACACACACACACACACACCGCTCCCTGTTACCTGTGTGGTCACTAAGTGGTGGAAGGGCTCTGAATGGCCCAAGTACTTGGAGAGAACCAGGCGTTCCCCACGCTGGCAGTCTGCTTCACTCCCTATCTTGAAGAGCTCAAAGCAGCCACCAGAGGACACCTGGGGGGAGGCCAGGAAGGTCAGCAGCCAGGTGGGGCTTCCCCACCCCCTGGGCCCAGGGCCTTTCCCAGCAGCCCCTCCATCACAAGGGGGAAGGGTCGGCAGCCAGCAGCACTGCTCAGGGGCACCCCCTGCCCCCCACCCACTCAAGCCTTACCCTCTGGTCGAGACCCTTCAGGCCAGTGCGGTCGGCAAATGTCAGCACTCGTGGGTGGGCAGAAAACTCACTCCAGCGCCAAGGAGAAGGGTCCCGGAAGAAGAGGCTGTCGCGGTCCTGGTGCAGCCGTCGGAGCCTGGTGGGAAACGTGGTTAGTCCCTGCCCCCTTCGCAACCAAAAGCTGGCCTGCTGGCAAGAGAGCAACACCCAACTTTCAGAAGCAGCAGGGCCAAAGCACATCCCCCCCCCCGCTCAACGTGTTCAGGGGAGACTCTTTGACCCATTGGCTATTCTCTCTGGCTCCCCCCATCATCACATTTGGGCCAGAGCTGCTTGAACCTCATTCCCCTCCCCCCAGGCCCGGAAGAGCTAAGCAGTACATTCCCCTTAAGGCTGCAAGAGTCCCCCACCAAAGCCCTTCAGTCTGGGGCCCCACCCATAAAGGCCATCAGCCCTGACCTGGCTCACCCCGTCTCCACGTTCCACAGGTACAGCTCCCCTGCCAGGGTGCACAAGGACAGCTCGCCGGGTAGGTGGGGGCTGCAAGGAGAGAGTGGGGCTGGGGAAGGGCAGAAAGACCATCCTCCTGGCCAGGTCTATTGCCCCTACCCCCCCACACATGTCCCCTTGTCCCACCAGCAGATAGCTCCATGAACCCCCACCCCCCACCCCAGCCCCCCCTTGGAGAGAGGCCATGTACCTGACTGTGATGGAAGAGCAGGGGGCTTCTGTGCAAACCACTTGCAGAGGGGTGGGAGCCCTTCCACGCTGCTGCCTCCATGCCGCACAGAAATGGTCCGAGCGGACCCCCAAGAAGTCTGGGATGGGTGGAACAGAAAGGCCCCTTTCAGGACTGGAGCAGCAAGGACAGCAGAGCATGGCCAACCTTCCCGGGACCTGGTGTACCCACCGCTGCCCTCCAGGTGGGTGGCTGCCACTTGCCGGACTGCACCGTTCAGCTCGAACTGGGCGGGGCAGCCACGGAGTTCAGGTCTCAGGGCATTGCTGCTGGCCGCTGGTCTCAGGACCGCCTCCTGGAAGCCTGCAGCAGCCGCTAAGGAAAAGCCCTGCTGCAAAGGGGGCTGAAGACACCCTTGCGCCACGGCCCTGGACCCCATCCCCATCCCCTCCTCACGGAGGATACAGAGCCGGTCCTTGGCCTCCCCGGCTGGGAACACCAGGCAACCCCGGCGTGTGGGTTCTCCAGGGGTGCGGTCAGGCAGCCAGGCCAAGGCACCGCCGGTGGGGGTGTCGTCGAACGATAGGCGCCGCCGCCGTTCGGCCAGGTCCTCGTGGAGCCACTCGGCCACCAGCTTCAGGGGTAGCTCAGACAGCCAGTCGCGGCACACCGAGGCAACGCCGGAGAGGCTGGAACGGGACAACAGAGCAGCCGCCAGTCACACGCCGTTCCGCCTCCCCGACGGCCGCAACGGGAGAATCCTCGGGAGGGCCTGGCCGGACGGGCGGGGACAACGAACCACCTCCCATCCCGAGGGCGGCTCGGGGAAGCAGGCTCGCTGGCCGAGAGCACGTCCCGGGATCCCCCCGCCGCTCGCCCCGCGGAAGGCACTTACCTGCCGCCTCGCGTCGGGCCTTCCAAGGCACGAAGAAAGCGGGTCATCCCGCAGACGCCTCCGGCTCTCCGCTGCGGAAGAGAGAGGCCGGCGGGGGTGACGAGGAACCGGCGGGATCCCCTCCCCGCAGGGCTCCATGGAGGAGAAGCAGCAGCAGCCGGCCGCCCCCCTCCCCCCGTGCGCTCACCCAATTCGTCGAGTCCCCCAGGTAGACGTGCTGGTGCAGCAGCCGGGCCGTGGCCCCGAAAGCCGCCTCCGGGTGGTCTAGGAAGAGCCGGCCCAGCTGCGGGACCAGGGCGGTCAGGGCCGGGCCGGCGGGCGGGCCGGCGGTTCGGGGCGCCGCGTCCGGGGTCTTCAGCGGCAGCGGGGCGGCCTCGGCGGGCAGCCAGTTCTCCCGCGCCCTCCGGCAGCGGCGGGGCAGGAAGAGCGGCGGCGCTCCCGGCTCCCTAGCCGCGACGCCCACCTGTCCGCACTGGCCCCAGCCGGCCACCCGCAATCCGGCCCCGGGACCCTCGCGCCCGGGCGGCCCCGGGCGGAAGAGGCCGGGCAGGAGAGCATCAGGGAAAGCCGCCATGGGCGCGCAAACGTGCGAGACTGCCCGGCCGCGCATGCCTGGAGCCGCCGCGCGACGGTCGCGCCTGCGCCCCCTGGCGGCCAGAAGCGGCGCCGGCGATCTCCGAGCGAGGGGCGGGGCGAATTGCCCCGCAGCTGCGAGCGCCCGCCGTCCGCCCGCAAAGCTCAGAATCGCTCGCCTTTGGCGAGTCCAGACGGCCAGACAGGCGGACGAAAAAGCGGCGGGGCTGAGCAGCCCGAAAGCTTTCTCTCAAGGGAAAAGTGCTACGACTTTGCTTCCTTGCGACGTCCAGGAAGGAAACAGACGGGCGTGCATCACGCTGATCGTTTCCAGCCAGCCGAAGGAAGCAGAGCAGAAAACACGGAGCATTCCCACCCCCCCTTACCCCGATTAGCGCTGTTCTCCTTCACAGGTAAGTTCGGGTGCAGAAAAAGGCCATTTGCACCCGGGCCGGCCTGGAGCCATTCCTCTCCCGCCATCGCTCAGCCCCTTCTTTCCACTCTTCCCCCCCCCCCATCACCTAATCCAAAGCAAAGAAATGCTGGCCAGTTTGGGGGGAAGGAAGCAGCCGTTCAACCCACAAGCCAGAGAACTCCTGTCTCCTGTCGGTGCTCAGGACCATCGGAACAAAATTTCTCTTTCAGCCAAGCCCCCCCCACACACACACTTTCTTCCATGCCCAGAAGACAATTCCCAAAGCCAAGCGCAGCAGGCAGCGGGACTCCTGGATGGAAGGCTGAGGCCCTCTGCTGCTTCCAGGGAGCAACCTGGAGATTCTTGTCCTGCAAGGCACCCCAATTCTTCCAGGCAGTTCCTTAACTGGTCCCACCCCCCCCCCACTTGTGCGTGACAGAGGGTCTGCGCTCACACAGCCCAAATTGCCTGTCAGGTCCCCATAGATCCCTATCCGGAGGCTGCCATTCTGGTGGGAGGGGGGAACCTCGGGGCTTTTTGTGATGTAACCATTTTAACCTTCTTCCTCTTTCGATTTGACATATCTTCCTGGGAAATGGGAGAGGGGAAATGGGAGAGGGGAAATGGGACAAGCCTGGCGACTGGAGGCTAAAACATATAAAGAGCCGAGGTGGCACAGCAGTTAGAGTGCAGTACTGCAGGCCACTTTAGCTGACTGTGTTCAGCAGGTCAGCGATTCAAATGTCACCGGCTCAAGGTTAACTCAGCCTTCCATCCTTCCGGGGTAGGTAAAATGAGGACCCAGATTGTTGGGGGCAATGTAAATATATATATACATTGCTTACTGGTGTACACCGCTTAGAGAGTGCTTGCACTTAAAGCGGTATATAAGTCTCATAAATAAATAAAGAAAGAAAGAAAGAAAAAAAGAAAGAATGGTTGCTGGAATTGGGTATGTCTAGTTTAATGAAGAGAAGGACGAGGGGGGACACAATAGCAGACTTCTAATATCTAAGGGACTGTCTCAAAGAAGAGGGTGTCAAGCTATTCTCCAGAGCACCTGAAGGCAGGACAAGAAGCAACTGGTGGAAACTAATCAATGAGAGAAGCAACCTAGAACTAAGGAGAAACTTCCTGACAGAACAATTAACCAATGGAACAACTTGCCTCCAGAAGTGGTGAATGCTCCAATACTGGAAGTTTTTAAGAAGAGACTGGACAGCCATTTGTCCGAAATGGTGTAGGGTTTCCTGCCTGAGCAGGGGGTTGGACTAGATAACCTCCAAAGTCCCTTCCAACTTTATTATTATTATTATCGATCATCGCACAGTCAGCCAGATGTTCAGACTGAATTTGGCATTTTGTCTACCTATCGAGTCCTTACCCAGGACCTGGGATAGGCAGATGTGGATGTTTGATGGTATTACAGATATCGTCGCAGGATGGAAGCAGTTCCTAATAAGGCCGCCTTTTGCAATTGACTAATAGCGAATTTGTCAATGCCAATGGTGTTCAAGTGGTGCTCCAGTTGTTTTGGGATTGCACCCAAGGAGCCTATGACTATTGGTACTACCCTTGCTTGCTTTTGCCACAGTCTTTCTATTTCTATTTGTAGGTCTTTGTATTTTGTTATCTTCTCCAGTTCTTTCTCTTCTATTCTGCTATCTCCAGGCACTGCCACGTCCACTATCCAGACTTTTTTGTCTTTCTTATCGACAATTGTTAAGTCTGGGGTGTTATGTTGCAGGTGCTTGTCTGTTTGAATTCTGAAGTCCCAGAGCAGTTTAATTTTATCATTTTCTATGACTTTCTCTATTTTATGATCCCACCAGTTTTTGCTTACAGGCAAATGATATTTTTTGCAGATCTTCCAATGCACCATTGTTGCTACTTTGTCATGCCGCTGCTTGTAATCAGTCTGTGCAATCTTCTTGCAACAGCTTACCAAGTGGTCCACTGTTTCTTCAGCTTCTTTGCATAGGCGGCACTTACTGTCTGTTGCTGTCTTCTCAATTTTGACTTTGTATGCATTTGTCCTTAAGGCTTGGTCTTGTGCAGCCAGAATTAGTCCCTCGGTCTCTTTCTTCAATTTTCCTGCTCTTAGCCATTGCCAGGTTTTATTATTATCTGCTTTCCCAGCTATTTTTTTCATGTATTGGCCATGTAGTGCTTTGTCTTCCCATGCCTCTATTCTGTTCTTCATTTGGTCTTTCTTGTAGGCCAGTTTGGTCTCTCCAGTAGTTAGTAAGCCTTCCTGATATACTAATTTCAGTGCATCTTCATCATTGTTCTTCAGATATTCTTCCAAAGCCATTTTTTCTTCTTCAACCATCTGATGTACTTGTAGCATTCCACGCCCACCTATTTGCCTTGGTAGATAAAGTCTATCAATGTCACTGCGTGGATGAAGGGCATGATTCATTGTCATTATTTTTCTGGTCTGCCTATCCATTGCTTTTAGTTCTGCTTGAGTCCAGTCCACTATTCCAGCTGTGTACCTAATGACTGGGATTGCCCAGGTGTTGATTGCCTTTATGGTATTTCCTCCATTGAGTTTGGATTTTAAGATCTTCTTCACTCTCTTGATGTATTCACCTCTAATCTTTTTCTTGACTTCAGTGTGCTTGATGTTGTCAGCTTGAAGGATACCCAAGTATTTGTAGTACTCTTCCTCATCCAGACTCTTAATGTTATTTTCGTGGGGCATCTTGATTCCTTCAGTTTTCACTATTTTTCCTTGTTTGATAGTAAGTGTGGCACATTTGTCCAAGCCAAACTCCATTACAATATCTTGGCTATATATACGGACAGTGTTGAGCAGCGATTCTATTTCAGATGATGTTTTTCCATACAGCTTCAGATCATCCATATAAAGGAGGTGGGATAGTCTGGCAGATGTTTTTGATGTTTGATAGCCATGTCCTGAGTTATTCAGTATTGTTGACAGAGGAAACAGTGCAATAACAAATAGTAATGGTGATAATGAATCTCCTTGAAATATTCCTCTCTTGATATTAACCTCTCCCAGCCTCTCACCATTGATCTGCAACTGTGTCTTCCATTGTGCCATCGATCTTTGCACAAATTTTCTGATGTTTCTACTGACTCCTGTTATTTCTAGGCACTTTATTATCCAATCATGTGGCAGAGAGTCAAATGCCTTTTTGTAGTCAATCCATGCCACATTCAGGTTGGTCTTCCTTCTCTTGCAGTTTTCCAAGATCATTTTGTCTATTAGGAGTTGATCTTTTGTTCCTCTGCTATTGGGGCGGTTTCCTTTCTGCTCAGGTGGAAAGAGATTGTTTTCAACTAGATGCTGTTGTACTGCATCAGCTACCACACCAGTTAGTAATTTGAAAGTTGTTGGTAAGCAGGTAATTGGCCTGTAGTTACCTGGTGTTGCCCCTTTTGCTGGATTTTTCATTATTAGGTAGGTTTTCCCAGTTGTTAGCCACTTTTCAATTTCTCCTCCTTGTAGTATATTGTTGAACTGCTTGGCAATGAGTGGGTGTATAACAGTTAGATGTTTCAACCAAAACCCATGCAGTTCATCTTCACCTGGTGCTGACCAATTTTGATTTTCTTTGCTCTTTTTTCTACCATTTTTGTTGTTATTACTAGTTCTTTCATTTCAACTTCTGTTTTATTTGCATCCACCTCTTTTAACCAAGCCGCATCCTTGTTGTATTTCTTTGGGTTATCCCATATCTGCTTCCAGAACTGCACTGTTTCTTCCTTGTCAGGTACTGACTGATTCCTTGCAGTTTCTCCATTGATGGATTGGTAGAAACGTTTCTGATTGGATTGAAATTGGAGGTTCTGCCTATAGTTTGCAATTCGAGCTTCATATCTACTGATTTTCCTGGCTATAGCTGTTATTTGTTGCTTTATTATTTCCAGTGCTTCCTTGATCTTCCTTGTTTCTAAGTGGTATTTCTTGATTAGGTATTCTTTGGTCTTCTTGTTCTTCAGCTTCTTTTCTTTCATCTGTTCTAGCTTGCTTGCATGTGATCTTAACTTGCTGATCTTATTTTCTAGTCTAACCTTCCATTTTTCTGGTGCACTGTTTGTTTGTTTTTCTTTTTTGTTGATTTTGCATCCCAGGTATTCTGTTATAACTGCAGCTGTGCTGTACATTAGTTGGTTTGTTTCTTGCAGTGAATTGGTGCTTATACTTGATATTGCAGTATTTGCATCTTTTAATGCTTGTGCTAGCTGTTTCTTTGGAACAAGCTTCAATGCAGGCAGCCTTATTCTGTTGTTTTTGTGCTGTTCTAGATGCTCAGTTATTCTTTGTTTCAATTCTTTTATTTCTTTAGTTAGAGGGTTTTGTTCTTCCTGAGGAAGAGGTGCCTGGTTTCCAAATGAGAACAGTTGTATATCTCTGCTGGATTCCTTCACTGCCAACTCCCCCTGGTTTGCCTCTACATTCTGAATTACTTCTGGTAAGGCTTTGATTTCTTTGCCCTGGGTAAACCTTTGCAGTTCGTCCAATTCTGTTTCTGTGAATACTTTATTTCGTGTTATAAATCGGCGTTGATCTGCTAGTCTCTGTTCTGTTATTTCTGATTCTGGATGTTGTTCTTTCCAGAACTGGTGCATTCATTTTAGATATCCTCTTCTTGTTGGACTTGATCTGTAGTAACAGATCATTATTTCTTTGTTTTCCATCACTGTGTATCTGCGACGGGTAAACACCTTTTCTTCCAGTAGTTCTGCAGCTGCTGGCCCTGGTTGCTCAGCCAACAGTCCTGAGTCCTGTAACCCATTTTTCACCAGATATCCAGGAACTCCATATCTAGCGCAGACCTTGTTAACCCGGGCGACGTCCGAGCCGGTATGGCATTCTGCAATTTACGTCTCACCATATTTTTTATGGGAGAGACACTCTTTGTCTGACTCCTCTGATGAGACCTGTCCAGTATGGTTGAACCTCTGGCATAGCTCTCATCTTCCTCAGAGTACACAAGCCCCACAACCACGTCAAGGTAGTGCCTCACTGGGGGTTGTTGTTGTTGTTGTTGTTGTTGTTGTTGTTGTTGTTGTTATTATTATTATTATTATTATTATTATTATTATTATTATTATTATTTTGTCTCATCTCCAGAGAACCAAGGTCCAGGTGTCTGAGAACAACTTCTTATTACTTTCCCAGCTCGAAATTCTCACAGCATCTTTGCCCCTCTGGATTGGCTCTCAATGGACTGGGCAGTTGGGGGGGGTCTGAAAAAGGGGATTTAATCTAACCTTTGTTTGCATGGGAATTTTAGGTCCTGCTTGTCTTCTCTCCAATCACTCTCGATAAAAGATCCTTTTGAAATGCTGCCTATTTCAAGAGCTCCACTTCCTTGAGGGAATAGCTGAGGTGAGATCTTACATTGCCTTTCTGGGATTAAAAGGCAAAATAAATAAATAAATAAATAAATCCCAAAATATACTGCCTCTGTGGTGCCACAGGCAGGAGAAGCATAGATGCAACTCTTGCTGCCTTCTTTAAGAGATAAACAACATCTCACACACCCTGCCCTCTTTTGGGTGGGCAGGCATGGGGGGGGGACGACTTTGCTTTTGGCAGAAGCAGAGAAAAAGCTGGGGGGGGAGGATTTGCAACCCCCAAGATGCCCATGCAGCCCAGGCGGATGTCCTTGACTCGAAGGTGACTCAAAGCAAGCCTACAGCCCAGGAAAGTCAGCTGTGCCCCTCCCATCCCTTGTGCAGGAATGCCCCACATCCCAGGACCAGGGCCTGGAGTGTGCGCCCCCCAACTGGGTGGGGGATGGTGTGCAGACATCAGTCAAGAACCCCACCAGGGCAGAGTCAGCCAGGGAGAAGACCTGCCAGGCAGCTACAGGCTTCTCTTCAGCAAATCAGGATTTGTGCTGTATTATTGTGTTGTCCAACTGCAGCTGAATCGCAGCTCAGGAGGATGGACAATGTCCAGCTCTGGGCCCCCCTGATTCCACACACCCCACCATCTCCGACTCCCTTATCCAAATGGGGGAGGGCAGGTGCCTCTCCCTTGCCTCAACTAAGCAGACAGCCAAATGCTGAGCACATCCCTCTGCCAAAGAAAGGCCTCTTCAGACCAGCCAGTGACGGCTCTTCTGGCAGGCTTGGATGCCCTCTTAGAGGGAGGTGGAAAGCCTGGTGAGTGCCCTCCAATGCTGCCAGCTGCACCCAACGGAACCAGACCAAGGGCCCTTCCCGTAGTCACAAGTGGCCAGAGGGCAGCAGCTCCTCAGCTGGATGTGCTGCAGCCCTTCTGGAGCTACACAAAAGCAGAGGGCCTCTTTGCCCTGATAGTGGAAAGTCTGGGGTGGAAGGGAGATAAGGCTTCATGGTAATTCAGGACCCGCCCCCTAGTAGGCAGCACAGAGCAGTGCCAGCGGGCGGGGCTCCTTTCTAAAGGGGAGGACAGTCTCTTTTCCCTCCAACATCCCTGCAGGGCTGGCAGCTAGGGCAGGGGATGTTCACATCCTGCTGGGCACAGAAGGGGATCCTACCAGCCCCCCACCACCACTCCAGGGAGAAGAATCCCACCCTCAGCCTTGAATCCCCACTGAGCCCAGGCCCCCCACTTGGGACTCCAAAGACAAAGCCACAAAGACCCCCGCCGAGTAAGCTCTCTTTATTGTGCCTCCCATGCTCAGCAGGAAATAGGGCGGAGGAGGCCGCCTCAAGCCTTCTTGTCGTCTTTCTGCAGGAACCGCCGGGGTCCTGGGGGGGGAAGAGGCAGAGCCCTTGAGCCGGAAGAGGTGGGCAGGGTCTGACAGGCCTGGCCCTGCAGAGCCCTGGAGGCGGAAGGGTCCTCAGCGCGCCCCGTCAACACGACCCCATGCAGCTCGGGCAGCTCGGTAAAGGGCAGGTAAGCTTCTCCTGAGGGAAGAGAGGCCACAGGTGTGGGACACGCCCACGGAGGGCCCCGATACAGTAATGCAGATAGGGGGGCCCAGGTAACAGCCTGCCTGGGAACAAGACTGAGGGAGATGGGGCAGCCCCTGATCTGGATCCCCCATTCCCCAACCCGCGGCCCTGGGGGTTTCTGCTTCAGCTCATAAGCAAGTCTTTGTCCGGCTGTGGCTGATTCAGCCCTCCGGACTTGGGGTGAGGCTGGTTTCCCCTTTGGGTCATCTCTGCCTATTCTGGAATGTATAGCCTAATGTAACCCTAATTAGAGAGCAGGTATCGGTATGTGAGAATATCTGGCAGTTATTGGGTTAAATGCTAGGTATGTTGATGGGTCAGTGGGAGGAGTCTCAAAAGGTCATTGGGAGACTTCCTGGACACAAGCCAGGGTGGAATCTCTTTGTCTGAAAGAAGCATGGCCATTGAAGGTCACACAATGAGCTTGAGTCGTTATAAAGATGGTATGGAAGAGAGCATCATACTTTTACCTAAAGAAATGGTCTAAAGAAATGGACAAAGGATGTATTTTCCAGGAGTAACAACCACAGCATGAATGCAAGTAATCTTTCTAATAAATATATTTTTTTGTTTGTTATGAGATCGTTTCTTTTGAGTTATCTATTTGACTTGATTTAAAGAAGGCGTTTTATATCAGAGTCAGAATAGTAAAAGTATGCTCATAATTCATGCCAGCTTTGTAAAGGCAAATAGTACTGCCCTTGGCTGCAGCTGGACTGAGCATGGGTCTGGGGTCTGCCAAAAGGGCTTCGAACCCACCGGCCCCACAAAGCCAGGGCACGGCTGGCTTTGCATCTTCCCCTGGGCAGTTGGGGTCCCTCAACATGGAGGACAAGCAGGGAGCAAGCCCCAGGGCTAGACCCCCACTAGGGGCTCTCCTTGGGACAGCCCTGGATTAGGGTCACCAGCCTGAGCAGAGGCAGAGTCCTGCTGAAAGGAAGAGGAGGAAGGAGCTGGCTAGCGGAGTAGCAGAGGTTCTACTACGGGGAGAGGAAGGACCCGCACTTGGCAAGAATGGCTGCTAAGATGTGGGCAGGTCCTTGCCCAGGCCAGAGGAACAGACACCCTTCCCCCCCCCAGCTGGGAGAAGCCCTGCAGTTGCCACTGGATAGCAGAGAAAGGGGCAAAGGGTGGGAAGAAGCCAGGGAGGGGGCCAGGGAGGGGCCACAAACCGCCTGCCACCCCCATACCGTAAGGTCGGCCACCTCTGCGCCGCGTCTCCTCTGACTCAAAGAAGGTTTCATGCTCCTCCCAGCGTCGGTCGCAGGCTGCACACAGGAAGCTGGAGGTGAAGGCCATGCAGGAGCAACCTGGTGGGGCAGGAGGGGCAACAGGTTAGGGTCAGCATAGCCGGGCACAGGGAGGGGGGGCAGAGCCTGGCACCTGAAGCAACCGCAGAGCCTTTTACAGAGGCATGGGGGTGGGTGGATGGGTAGGAAGGAGGGCTTCCCACCCTGCTGCTGCATTGTTGATGAGAGGGCCAGCTGAACTGTATGTGGGAATGATCTTCAGAGATGGGTCAGGGTCAGGGTTACTTTGAGTCTTGCAAGCTTCTCTTAATGTAGCCTCACAATAAAGATGCACTCGTTGTTCAGCTTCTCGTCTGAATGCATTTCTTCCCTCCTTTCCTTTTCCTCTCTGGAAAAACAGGCCAAGGCCCCCCCTGGCCGGAAGGCAAGAAGAGATGCCAAAGCCCCCAGGAGGACACTGAACAGGCACCGATTGTCCTCGTCCCCCCCCCCACCTCAGCCGGTTGCCACTTTGCCTGCAGGAGGGCTGTCCTCGCCTCTTGGTCAAGCTTTGCACAGAGGGATAACTTTCCACTCTCACCATCAGAAGTAACCCCCCCAATCTCTCAGCCCAGGAAGAGGGGGTGGATGAAGGGAAAAAGGACCCTCCCCCCAGTGCTGTCAGGCATAGGTTGCTGCTGCTGCTGATATTCAGGCGGTTCCAGGAGGCTTGTTGAGGGGAGCCCCTTTGCAGGAGCTGCCCCAGATGAAATGCTCCTGGGGGACGGTGCCCAGATCAGAGTGGAGAGTCTCTGTCTAGGGTGGTCTGGGGGGGGGGCAGGAGGAGGCTCTTTAGCTGTGCAGCTCAGGGATTTGGTGCCACTTTGGAACTGACAGGCTGCCGTGGCCACAGGATACAGAGGCCCTTTATGCCTGCCAATTGAGGAGGGGGCTCTGCAGGGCTGGTGACTGGAAGAGGCTCAGATTTTCTCCTGGACTTGCCGGAGATTACATGGCCTTGGTGAGAGATGGGGGTCAGGATGAGCAAACCCTGGAATAAGACAAGATGGGGCTGGAAGTAGAAGAGCAGCCGGCTGGGGTATGTTGGATAGAGAGGGTGATCTTAGCAGACGGAAGGAAGGGCAGTTACCAAAGCAATGAGCCCATAAAGGTGGCTTCAACCCAATCCAAAAAGGCTGCAGCAACTGGGATTGCATTCCGGACGTGCTCAGCAGCCCCGGGGCACATCCTCTCCACTCCAAGTGCTCACTAAGAGGAGGAAGGGGCCCAAACTGGTCATCAGCTTCAGGTGGTGGGCAACGGGGTGCTCACCTCGGACGCAGCATCTCCGTGCACCGATGGGCGTGTGTTCTTCATGCGTGTGTGTGCACCGGCATTTTGCTCGCCAGGCTGCCACATCAAAGCCGGTTCTTCTCCGAAGCCAGAACTCACCCACCTCCTCTGGGCGTGAAGGAACGAAGAGGAATCCCTGGCATTGGCAACCTGGCACAGTGCAGGGCACAGTGGCTCGTTTCTCTGAAACACAGAATAGGCCGTCTGGCGGGGCAGGTCTCCCGGCAAAGCAAGTGAGGAGCCTCTGGTCCCCAAAGCCTCCTCTGGGGGGGGGAGAGAACCCCCTGGGCAACTGGCTGAAGATCCTCCTCTAAGTGGGAAGGCAAAGGACCCCCGAGTTCTCATATTTGGCTTTATTTTGGACAAGGTACGGTATTTGATAGAGGAAGAGGAGGTCTGTAAAGTCCTCTTAAAAGCCCCAGCCTGCATTCAAGATGGGGGGAGGGTTCATTAAGGCCATTGTTGGGTGCCCCTAAGCTAAGACTCCAGAAAACCAAGATCATAGCATCCAGCCCTCTCTATTCGTGGCAAATAGTTGGGAAAGAAATGGAGGTAGTGACAGATTTTATCTTCCTGGGCTCCAAGATCACCGCAGATGGGCACTGCAGCCAAGAAATTAAAAGACGCTTGCTCCTGGGGAGGAAAGCTATGGTAAATCTAGACAGTACACTAAAAAGCAGAGACATCACCCTGCCAACAAAAGTACGTATAGTCAAGGCCATGGTTTTCCCAGTTGCAATGTATGGCTGTGAAAGTTGGACCATAAGAAAGACTGAACGCCAAAGAATGGAGGCCTTTGAACTATGGTGCTGGAGAAGACTCCTGTGAGTACCCTGGACTGCAAGGCAATCAAACCGGTCAGTCCTAGATGAGATCAATCCTGACTGCTCTTTAGAAGGCCAGATCCTGAAGTTGAAACTCAAGTACTTTGGCCACCTAATGAGAAGGAAAGACTCACTGGAGAAGAGCCTGATGCTGGGAAAGATTGAGGGCAATCGAAGAAGGGGACGACAGAGAATGAGGTGGCTGCATGGAGTCCCTGAAGCAGTAGGCGTGAGCTTAAATGGACTCCAGAAGATGGTAGAGGACAGGAAGGCCTGGAGGAACATTGTCCATGGGGTCAAGATGGGTTGGACACGACTTGCAACTAATAACTACAACAAAGACTCCAGAATCTCTGGGCTGGGCAATAAAACATGATGGGGATATATGAGTTTTATATATATATTACACAGGGTGCCCCCCCCCAGAGGCCCACAAGAAGCCTGTCTCTCCTGCATACGTCCTTAAGAGTGATTGTGGGGAGAGCAGAAAGCAGGTTGTGACAGCTGGGTCCTGCCTGTGACCAGAGAAGCTTAGTTCCAAAGATCCAGGAATGCACCCGACTCTCTGGAACAGAAAAAGCTACGATGGCCTCCAGACGGAAGAAAACAGCCCAGCTCGGCTTCTTGGAAGGCAGCTCTGCCTTCTTCTGCCTATTTGGGAAAGAGCTGCCAGGTCTGCAGCCCCAGGCTTTAAGCCTTGCGGCACAGGCTGGCATGGCTTCCCACTCTCCCTTGGAAGAAACGATGATCAGGATCCCTTCCATCGGATAACAGGCCTGGATCTGAGATGGAAATTTAGTTACAGGAAGTCCTCAACTTATGACCACAATGGAGCCTGCTGATTACCGTCATGTCAAGATCGTTATAATTAACACATCATCATGTGACCAATTTTACGAGCATTTTCTGCGGTGGCCATTAAGCAAATCACTATGGTCATTAAGTGAATCCAGTTAATGTCATTAAGTGAATGCCATGGTCCTTAAGTGAACCCATTGTTCGCTAGGGGGCATTTTTGCCAAAAACATTCTAAATTGCTGGTCACATGACTGGAGGATGCTGCAAAGGTCCAGAAATCTAGGCCAGCTGCCCAGTGCCCAAAATGTGCTCATGTGACTGTGGGAAGCAGGACGACCTTTGGAACTTTGGGATCCGGTCATCAGTAACTTTGGGGGGATCCCCCATAACCCTGAATAGCCACTAAGCAACCTTCGTAAATCCATTTCCTGTATTTATTTAAAAATTTCTATGGGACACATCTTGCACCATACAACTCTGGGAACTTAACAACAGCGATGAGAAAAATAAAAACAACAGGATAAGAAAATAAGAACCAGACTTCCCTCTCCCTCAACAACATTCACTCATCCATATGATCCCCTAAGACATTCTTAGGGAAGTGCAGATGACCTGACTCTTTGCCACGTGGGGCTTTAAGCATGATAGCAATAGCACTTAGATATATCTACCCCTTCACAGTGCTTTACAGCCCTCTCTAAGCAGTTTACAACCTCTTGCCTCCAGCAATCTGGGTCTGCATTTTACAGACCTGGGAAGGATGGAAGGCTGAGTCAACCTTGAGTGTGTGAGAATCGAACTGCCAAACTGCTGACAGCCAGCAATCAGCAGAAGTAGCTTGCAGTACTGCATTCTAACCACTGCGCCACCACGGCTCGTGATATATAGAAAGGGCACCTTCAGTTGCACCCAGGAGGAAACTGGGAGCCACTATATCATATGGCCAAACTGGCGAGTGTCCAGTACCATATGAGCTGCCAAGTCCTGAACCAGTTATAACTTCCAGGTGGTCTTCAAAGACAATCTCATCTCCAGCGTGTTGCAATAGTCCAACCAGGAGGTGACCAAGGCATGAGCAACAGTAAGCGATGGGCCCCAGTCCAGGAATGGGCACCACCTGTCTGTCAACCCCCCCAGTCATATTTTCCACCTGCTCCTCCAGGAGGACACCCACATAGTCTATCAGCTCTGTCTGGCCTGTTTGACGTTTCTGGAACACACACCTGCCGTGGGCTTCCGCAAGGGATGAAGGCCAGCCACGGACCAGCAGAGCCTATCTACTACACCTCCGAATGAGCTGTGGTGTGTGCGCCAGAAGCACCCCGGAGGATGGCCAGCAGTGCCTAATAAGAGCTGTGGCAGTGAGTAGGAGAAGATCTCCTAGAGAGGCAGTCTGCAGCCTTCAGCACATTCATTGCTGCTGGCCCTTGGCAAGGCTTTGCAGAAGGAAGGCAGGCAGGGCTGAGAGCAAGCAGAGGGCCTGTGAGTAGACTCTACCAGCGCTGGGCTTTCCTCCAACCCTTGCTTGAAGGGTCTTCAGACTCTGCCTCCTAGCCACATGAGCCACCACAGCCCCTTGTCCCACTGCCCCCTCCCCAGCTGGCCCATGCAACCTTCCTTTGGCAAACAAGGCTCTGGCATTCTGCTGCGCTCACTGTGCACATCTCAGAGTTGCACCCCCGTTCAGTGCCTGGATCCTAGGCCAGCAGTAGCAGGTGGAGGAAGATAGCCGATTGCCAGCAGCAAAGAGACAAGGGTCAGTAGCAGAGTGTGGAATGGCCAAAAGGGCAGAGATGGGGAAAGAGGGGGTGGTGAAGCAGTGTGTGGTAGAGCAGAACTGTGAAGTCCTGCCTTTACAACGGTGCTGTCCTGACATAATGATCACAACTGGGACTTCTGGAATTGACATTGTTAAGCAGTATGGTCACAGTTGTAAATCAAGGACTACTTGCAGTGAGTCCATTTAATCTGCCCAGTTAAGTGTGAAAGGACATTAAAATAGACAGCAAGAGAAAAAAACGTAGATTCTGAGGCTTCCAGTTCCAGGTTGCGGTGCTGTGGTTGTGCAAAGTGAGTCGTCTCTTCACCGGCCAAGTTTCCTCTGCAGTAGACCCCCGAGTGGGTCGAAAAGTCACTCTGGAGGAGCGACTACCGTTGAGGATGCTCCTCGTATGACTGTAGAAGGGCAGCAGCATCTTCTGCAGTCTGAGTAAGCTCCTTTGGACCGACGAAGTAAAGATCGGTCAGTAAAATGGCCGATCACTTAGCTGCCCCAGCTGTAAGTCATAAGATCATCTAAGCGAAATAGACCCACTGTGGAAGATTCAGTGAAACCTTACCTCTACTTTTCCTACCTATTCCTGTGAAAAGCCTTTTTGGAACTATTTCCCTACTTTGTTAAAGTGGCATTTTTGATGGGGGAAGAAAAGCTTTGGAACAAAAGAAAATTAAATTTTTATCTTTTAATGGTTGATTTTATGGGGGTCCCAAGAAACTTTGTTATAGAGATTTAACACGCTAGTTATTTGGAGAATATTGCTTTCTTCTATTTTTACTGGATCTGAAAAGACTGAATAAGTTTGGTTAACCTTCGGGGGACATCTTGTGGTGAAATTATTTACTGCAATTGTTATTTCCTTCTCTTGGAGTTTGACTTTGGTCTTCAAATGATCACCAAGGAAAAAGATAAAGAAGCTGTACAGCTGGGTGGAGGCAGATATTGACTGATTGCTTTTAAATATAGCCTCCTCCAAAAGAATAATGGCTTCAAATATTATAGAAATGGAGGAACTCTGCCTAGTCTTTAATTATAAGTAAATACTGGATAAAATTCTTGAAAATACTGAGCTAATAGTTGCCTGTACGAAAGAGATTATTCTTCAATGACAAATTAAAGCACAAGGTCTAAGTGAGCCCTTTGTAAGCCAAGAAACAGTAGAGGGGATATATACCCAAGAGACCTGTTCTCAACTTCACTTACAACCTACTGAGGTGGAGGAACTAAATTTACATTTGGATTATCAATTTATATTGGAAAAAATCCCTGGTGCTAATGAACAAATGATTTTTAACATGGAAATTAAGGATGTTATCTCAGAAGGGAAAGCTGACCTGCAGACTCCAACTGACTTCTTGACAGATAAAAAAATCAACAGAAGAAGAACAAAACATGACTAAAGAGAACTATACATCATTTTACTTACAACCTACTAAGAAAATGACTGCAATTAAACTATATGCAATCTCAAAAAGGATGGGAATTGTTCAGTTATGAGCTATCGAGAATTGCTGTAACTTTTTTACTTGGTTTACATACTAACCTTGGTTTACATACTATGGCAAGAGATGAAGGGAGACCTATTTGCAGAACTAGAGACTTTATTATGGAAACCTGTTTGGAATAGAAAGAAAGCTAGAATAAAATATAAATATGGAATCCAAGACTACAGTTATGAGTTGCAAAGGTTTCATAGAGATCCGGACTGATTTGGATTTGGATTTTTTAAAAGAGGTGTCATTAGGATAAGATTTAGAACTTAATATTGAAATATAGTAAGAATATACTTTTTGGAACAATAGATTATCTTTTTTTTCTTCTTGGTTTATTTCCATCCTTTTTGTGTTATTTTTTTATCTTCTTATGTTTTTTCTAATATTAGACATGACAACTAATTTGTGGAGGTATAATGAGAAAAAGATTGCAATAATGGAAGAGATGAAATTAGTAAATGAAGAATTATTGAATAAGAAACAGAATATAGTTGAGAAATGTAAGAATCTAATTATGGAAATAACATGTTTAAATGAGAGAAATTAGGGACACCCGAATAGTAAATAATATGTCTGTCTAAGTCTAAATATTTGGAAATTAATAAAGCTAAAAACAGGATTTTTGAGTTGGAAAGATAATGAGTTGTTGATAACTTTCATTGATTAATGGAACTTTTACTTAGGAATGTATTAACGAATGAATTGCATTTAGATATTTATTAATTTGATTATACTATCCTAATTGATAGAGAGGAAAATCTAAAGGAGTATTATTTGAGCTGTATATTTATGATGTTATCTTGGCATCTTGGTGTAAAAATGGAAAAACCAATACCATTGTTTGGGGAAAAAAAAACATGGATTCTGCTGGAGGAAAGCTGTGTTCATCTATGGTGGCAAAAGAGCCAGAGGATGAAATGTTGCTGCCAGATTCCTCCTGACTTTCTGCTTATTTGGTGGCTGAGGCTTCTTCCATGTCTGGGCTCTCCTGCCCTATCTGGGCATCCCGAAGGCAGCTGCCACGTGCAGGATGCCTGGCACCACTCTCAGCCAGGACCTCTCCTGCCCATCTCCTGCTTTGATACTCACCCACGTACACCTGGTGCAGCTTCAGCAGGTGCCCACAGAAGCACTTGGACTTATCACCCACTCGGAAACAATCCCAAAGGTATTCAGGACAGCGCCAGCCGATGTAGAGACCTGCAGAGGAACAGAGGGGCCTGCTGGGTGGGTGGGCTTGCAGAAGGATGGGAGGCTGTTTGGATGGCCATCAGGGGCCCAATCCCTGCCCCAGCAAGCTCAAATCCCACCCAGCAGCCTCAACACTCATTCCTCTCTCTTGGGGGAAGAGGAGGGCATCCCAGATGCCAGACTGGGAAACAGCTTGGATTCTGCCCAGGGTCGTCGTCCTCCTCATCATCATCCCAGAAGGGAGCATGCAAGCTGCTTCTCAGAAAGCAGCCCCTGGTTGCTGGGCCCACCTGTCCAGAATTCTGTGAAGAGGGTCCCTGCTGAGGCTTGTGGCTGGCATCATTGCAGCAGATCCTGGGGCCTCCCCTCCATGGTCCCTGCAGGGAGGCTCCCACCCACCTGTCTGGATGGACTTGAGGGCCGCCTCCTTCTCCAGGTGGAAGAGCTCCTTGGTATTTTTGGCGAATTTCTCTCGGTGCATGGCCTTGGCCACCGACACCAGCTCCTCCTTCTCGGCTGGCACGATGGTCCTCACCGCGTAGCCTGTGGGGAGAGGAAACGGCCTCAGACACTCCCCAGCCTGGCTCCCAGCCTTGCTTTATGTCCGCTGCCTTCTGTGTTGGGCTCCCGCTGCTGCCCTCCAGCCCTGCTTTCCCTCTGCTCCTTTCCCTGCCTGCCTGCTGCTTCTGGAGGGCTGTGGAAACTTCTACCCTTCTTCAGTCTCTCCCCCAGGGCAGCCCTTCCCCTCCCTGTCCATGAAGCTTCCTGCCTGGTTTGGAGGGGTGCCATTTTCCTGTGTTCGGCTTGGGCCCTGGACAGAAACCACCCACTTCGCTGCCAGCGTCCCTGCTGTTCTGTGGCCAGAGCCCAGCCCGGCGGCCAGAGGGAAGCACAATCTGGACAAAGACTCATGGCTCTGGTGCTTTGTCCTCTCCCTTCCCCCCTGCCCATCAGCCCTGCCTGCCCTGGGCCCAGCTGCACTTCTGGGGGGCCATTGCTCTGGCTGAATCCCACTGACTTGGCATGGCCTTCTTGGCCGGCGGGCCCTTCTTCGTGGCTTTCGTCTGGTCGCCCGGGCCCAACATGGCTTGGGCACCGGTATGCTCCCCACGGCCTTCTGTCTCTTCCAGTTGTGGAAGCAACCCATTGGAGGGCTCCTTCCAGGACAGCGGCGACAGGGAGAGCGAAAGTGAGGAGCACGTGAGAGGGGAACTCTCAAGCGGCACGGAGGATGGTTCACTGAGACTTGTGCCCTGTGGCTCTGGCCACTCAGACGAGGAGGGCAGGGAAATGTCCGGGAGCTCATCCTCCCCTTCCAAGGAGGTCGAGTGCGGGAAGACTGTATCCTCCTCGCTCTGCAGGGAGGTGGAAGCAGGCAGGATCAACTCTTCCTCCACCTCGCAAGCCGTGGGTGATGTGCTGCTGGGGGGCACCACCTCCTCCTCTGCAACTGCCCTTGCCTCCCAAGACTGAGATGTTGCTGCTGGAGGCAATGAGGCTGATGCTTCCATGGGTTCCACTTCCATGCTGGCTCTGCTGGATATAAGCAGGAGAGGCAATCGGGTGGGCCACGTGGCCCGGGCAAGGGCACGGGGAGAGTTCAGTGGAAGGGAGCTGGGCAGAGGCCAAGATGGTTCACATGTGCCTGGCCAAGGATCCCTCGATAGCCGGGCTCTCCCACGGGGGAGTCAAGTGAACCATCTCCCTCTGGCTGTTCTATGTCCAGCAAATCATGGAAAGCCCACCGGTAGACTTTCTGCTACTGGATTGCACCCCTTGTAGTGCGAACACCAGAGCTGCCTTGCCTGAGACAACCACTGGCCCACTGAGCCTCAAGCCCTAGTCAGGCCTCGTGATCTGGCTGCTGGCGGGGCAATTGGGCACTTTCCAGGCACTCCGAGGTGCTTTTTTCTGCCAATGCGATGAAGAGGACAGGTGAATTGGCAGGCTGGGAGGGGTGCAGAGGGAGACTTGGGCAGCTGGGGGGTGGAGGTTGAACAGGAGTCTCATTCCCCCCCCCATTGCTCCTCTACCTTTGTGGGATTCCCCGTTGGGCAGAAGAGCAGCAGCGGCCTGGAGGCCTGGATTCTCTAGTGGGGGGAGGAAACGTTTCCAGGGCAACAGAAGCCTTGTTTTATTGGCATAGCAGCAGCCAGCTGGGTTCCACTTGTTGAAAGAAAAATCTTCATCAGGGTTCAGTCCAAGCTGGGAATAAACAAAATGGAGACCTCTTTAGAAAGAAGGTTGTAGTTTATTGAAGAGGAGAGCCAGACAGGTAACCGTTTTTGGATCTCAGGTTTTTAGCAGTCTCCCTAAAGGAGACATCGGCAGAACCTTGGAATCAGAGCTTCCCATAGTTCAGTGGTTCTCAACCTTTCTAATGCCGCGACCCCATAATACAGTTCCCCATGTTGTGGTGACCCCCAACCACTTATACATCACCGGGTGCCAGGGGCGTGGCCAAAGAAAAGGGGGGAAAAATGGCGGACAGCCTTGTTTGGCGACCCCCGTGAAATGGTTGTTCGACCCCAAATGGGGTCCCGACCCACAGGTTGAGAACCACTGCCATAGTTTCAGGCAAGATTCTGACCATTTACCGCAGTGAGTCTTTTTCTCTGCTTTCCTGGGTCCCCAGAGTGACTCTTTCTTGGAGTCCTGTTTTCTCGCCTGGCTCCTTCTGAATTCAGCCCCTGCTGGGGCACGGACGGCACCCATAGAAATGAGGAAGCTCCAGAGGACCAGCCTTGCCCCGTGGCCCACAGCAGCTCTGTGAAGCTTTGGGGAAAGGAGGTCAGCCTGGGGAGGGCAGCAGAGACCACCCTGAGAAGGTCCAGAGGGTTAGCTCCAGGATAGCATTTCCTCTTGCTCTTTCTTCCACCAAATGAAATTGCCAGCAAGGGAGGACCAGGGTGCCTGGATAATTGCCCCCCCCTTATCACTCTTGCAGGCCTCTCTGATATCTCTCTGCTCATCTGATTCAGAAAGACCTGGCCTGTATCTTCTGCCTGCCCAGAGGGTCCATAGTATCCTCCTCCCTATCTGTTTTCTGTACTACCTGCCATCCTGCATTAATGCCTTTGATTCTTCTTTCTACACAAATGTTGGACTTTGCATTTATTTCTCATTTTTGCCCATGATCCCAGCTTTTAAAGATTCTTTGAAATCTTCATTCTGCCCTCTGAAGTATTTTACATCCCCCCATTTCGTATCATGTCCAAAACTGATTACACTGTTTTCTCCTAAATTAACTTAATTAGTTATTAATTATAATTAATTAATTATAAATATGTCAAACAGCACAAGCCCTGCAATTCCTCACTTCCTTTCAATCAGATCTGCAGCCTTTAATATGCCCTTGTTGGGTTTGATCTCTCCACAGGGTTTGTCCATTTAATGGTGGTGTAGGCCAACCACAGACTGCCGCCTCCTCCTCCTCCTCCTCCTCCTCCTCCTCCTCCTCCAGGATTTCACTAATATTTGTCAAATGTTTTGCTGAAGTCAAGGTACATTGTGTCAGTGCATTCCCATAATCAACTAAAACAGACAGTGTGTCCAAAATATCAGGTTGATCAGGCCAATATTTACTTCCCAATATTAATGAGAAAAAGCCAATGCTGAAACAATGGTTGCCGATTCCCAATTCCTTCTTTAAGGGGAGAATCTGCAATCAGACCGAGGCAAAGGAGCGGGCAAAAAAGACAGGCTAGTTTTCAGGGAAGGATTAGACCCTAACCCCTCCCCCTCCAAACTGGCTTTCTCAACAGCCCCCCCAGGTGATTTACACCCACACCTGCCCGGAAACACAAGCGAAGACTCTAAGCCCCCCCCCCACAAAAAAAAACCTCGGCAGTGCAATAGGTGAGGAAAAGCAAGTATTTTGCGAGAAATTTGAATCTGGTCCTGCGACAGGTTGGGCGAAAGGGGGGGGGGAGGGCGAGGTCGTCCCGAAAGTAAAAGGACACAGAGGAACTTCCCCCTTCCGCCCCCCATCTCTTTTTTTGAATCTCCTCCCACTCCATCCAGGGATCCCTGGGGGGGAAGGGGGAGAAAGCAGGGAGGGTTTTGTTTTGTTTGTGTGAGTGTGTGTGTACGTGTGTGAGAGAGAGGGGGAGGGAGGAGGGGAGGAAAAGGGAAGAGGAGGAAGGCGAGGTGCTGGCCAGTAAAAGATTGGGGAAGGGAGAGCCTTGTAGAGGGGGCAAGCAAATTTACAAAAAGGGAAGCTCTCTCTCTCTCTCTCTCTCTCTCTCTCTCTCTCTCTCTCTCTCTCTCTCTCTCTCTCTCTCCCCCTCCCTCCTTCCGTCCCTCCCACACAAATACACACACACAAAATGCTTTCTCTCCCTTTTTCTTCAAAGGCACCTGGGGGAAGTGTGAGTGTGTGTGTGCAGCCATGCAGCGAAGCTGGTCGGATTGTTATTAACCATCCTATTATGTGGGCAGGAGTGGCAGCCTTCTGAAAGGCTGGGAAGGGACCCTGACCCCCCCCCCGACTGCTTTTTTTTCTCCTCTCCTCATGCGTACATCAAAGCAAGCTCCCCCGCATCCTGCACCCCAGGCTCCCCACTTCTTGGCGTGGGATTGGCTGCCCGGATGAGAGTTTAAATGTCCCACGCAGCCAAATAGCCCTAGAAAAGGGTCCCTCCGTGAAACGCCCGGGAGGAAGGGCGGGACTGGAGCGCTGGCGGACCAATGGCGGGAGAGGAGCGCTGGCGGAGAGCCAGCCAAGAAAGAATGTCCGTGTTGGATCCGCCGCGCTGGGGTTCCCGAGAAGAAGCGCCCTCCCCCGGACCCCCTTGCTGTCGAAGTGCTGCTCAGCGCTCGCAGCAGAACCAGCGATTTCGCAGAGGCGTCCGCCCCTCGGGCGGGGATCCTGCCCCTCCCAGACGCGGGCGGGGGAGGAAGCGGCAACTCGGGGTGGGGGGAGGCGGTGCGAGCGGGGCTTTATAAGGGGCGTTCTGCCTGGGGCTGGCACGTCTAGATTCCTGGAGACCACCATGGCGATTGACCTGGCAGCTCTGGGGCTCCTCGCTTTCCAGCTCGGCTGCTCCGGAACCTTTGCTTCACCCCAATGGGACTAACTGGCCCCTCTCCTTCCAGTGGAAGCAGCCTAATTTGGATCCCATTGGCCAAAAAAATTCTGCTGCTGGGCTCCAGGAGAAGAGCCTTTTCTGCTGTGCCCCCCCCCCCACCCCAGAATATTCTACCATCAGAGGTGAATCCCCCCAGACACACAATCCTGGCCTTCTGGAAGACCCTGAAACTTTATTTCCATTTGGCAATAAAGCAGTTGGTGGTCCATCAGTTTGGTTCTTAACTTTTAATCTTTTTATTCTAGCTTCGATTCTTTTTAGCACTTTATAACTTTTATTAAAATGTAAGCCACCCAGAGTTGCTTTATTAGTGAGATGGGTGGCATAAAAAGGTATTAAAATAAAATAAGCTGACCACTTCTGGGGTTGTTTTTTGACATGCTAAGGTGGAGGTATTTTTTCCCTCTGGATCTTTAACCAAAATACCACATTACTTTTTCTTGTTCCTCTGATGGCCCCACTTGCAAAATTCTTGATTGCAAATCCAATTATTATAACTGAACCGTTTGTAGCCAGTCTCTTTGGCTTCTTCAGGTAAGTGTCGAAATAGGTTCTAGCTAACTGCTGGTTCTAACAAAGACTCTGTCAAACAAAGCTTAGGCCAAGTGATTAGGATGGACCAGCTCTGGATGAAGCTAATTCATGGCTCATTTGCAAAATCCTTTAATAATTTCCTAATAAATTAATAGGTCAGATCCTCAGTGGATTAGCTGCAGGATCCCAAAGTCTTCAAGGGCAAAGGCTGTGTAAAGTGTAGAACAGTAGTAGAGCAGTAGTAGAGACAAAGCTAACTCTTTATCCCAGAGGCCCTCCTCCAAATGGGGGCCCTACCAATCCTCTCCTGGAAACCTGCAGACTGGCCCCCAGAGAGCTTCTGAAAGACCAGGGAAGCTGAGACTGCTCAGGTAAACATTTTATTGGAGAAGAGCATCTGATGGGTGAGGTTGGAAGGGTCACCCCCCCCCAAGGCCCCCCAAATCAAAAACGGAGAAGCCTTGCTCTCTTCACCCTCTCACTTGATGCGCCAGAAGATGTTCGTGCCAACGCTACAAAAAAGGAGGAGGGAGGGAAATGTCAAAATTCATACTGGCATGATTGGTGTCCCCCCCCCCAGGCTGAGCATCCCACCCCCACCGCATTCCCTGCTTCCACCCACTCACGTGATAATGAAAAGGGGGGGGGAAGGATGTTGCAGGTTCTGGGCGATGGCGAGGCCAAGTCTGATGAGGGGAAGGGCACTGACCCAAAGCAGGCTGGGCGAAGTCTCCTCGGTGTTTGGGGCTCCCTTGAAGCAGCTCCCTCCAGGTGGCCAGAAAAGTGGCCTCTTTGGAGGGGAGCAGAAGAGCTGCAGGCCTTGTGCTGGGGGAAGGCACCCAGGTGGCCTCTTTGCCCCATACAAATGTGGGGGCTGTGCTGGACTACTGCTCTTTAATTTGAGTAGAGCAATTTATGCCAACTGTCCAAGTGTTGCCAGCAGTGGGCAACCCAGACTGTGTTGCCACCCAAACCACACTTGTCAGTGAGAGCGATCTGGGGAACCTCCTCAAAAGCTTTGCTCTGTTTCTTTGTGGGGGGAGTGGCAGAAATGGGGTCTCCAGCCTCCCCCGCAGGAGCTGCTCAGCCCTGGCTGCGGAAACATCCTCCAGAGAGGCAAACCGTTGGTCGTCCTCTCAAGAGACACTGGGGGGGGGAGAGAGAAAAAGAGGAGGTGCCCAGGGTCCTTCCAGTTAGGGGGCACAGCAGTTCAGCCCCTGCGTTTCCTTACCGGGTCGCCCCCCAATCCTCTGCTGCGGATCGCACCTTCGCACGCAGTAGCCAGGTTGTCTTCAGCTGCTCCTTTCCGTTCTCGTCCATCAGACACTGGCCCACAAAGACTGTGATGGATTCTGTCAGATCAAAGTTTTTGTACCAATTGGGGGGGGATATATTTCACATAAGGACCCCCGTTCACCAATGCTACCTATAGATTAGGAATATTTTATAAACTCCAAAATATTTGGGCAGCTCCATCTGATTGGGGGGGGGACATTCAGTGAAAAAAGCAGATCTAAGGAAAGGGCGATCCACTAGATTCCCTCCTCCCGTTCTGTTTGCTTCCACACCAAATAGTGAGTGGCTCTACCAGTGACTTTCCAGCTGACGGTGAAGCCAAAGGTGGGTTGAGACCCCAGGTGCTGGATGCCCTGCAGCGGGGATGACGGGACGGGCTTGCCGGAGCTCGAGACTTCCGTTTTGTAGAGGCCGCTGAACACCCCCGTGTTACTGACGCTGGGGATCTCCATGGTGGAGTTGAGGTCATTCTTCCAGGTGCCGAGCAGGGAGCACTAAAAAAGAGCGGGAGAGGGGAGGAAAGCGGCTCACGGCGCTAGCCAAGCCCAGCTGTCCAACAGGTAGTGCCTCTGGCTCCATTTTCTCCGGGGGATCTGAAAACACCCGCTGCTCCCACGTGCCCGACCCCCAAGGCTGCCCACGCCGGGCCGGGCTGGCAAAGGCGGCCCATCGCAAAGTCCGTGGGTCGAGGCACCTGCCAGACCGCGTCCGGGACGACACCCCGCGGCTGGATCGCTCTGCCATCAGCGCAGCGAGCGAGGGCATCAGCCCCGGTGGCAGGCTGCCGAAATCGTGGCCGAGCACGGAGGAGGAAACGCTTGGCCGGTCGGCCTTCGGGGACCAGGGCCTCTGGCGCTGAGGGCGACGGGACCGGGTGCGATCAACCCCGAGGAGCGGCACCCTCTGCGCAGCCCGCCGGCTCCCACCACCTGCTCCTGCCGCCCACCCGACCAGAGGCTGGTGTGTGTGGGGGGGCTTTCCACACGGGAGGCTGGAACCCTCCGCCTCCCACCCCGCATCTGACCTCGGCGGCTGGCTCCGAGTTTTGGGGTTGGGCAAAGATTCCCGAGCAGCCGAGCAGGAAAGCGAGGAGCCCCAGAGCTGCCAGGCCAATCGCCATGGTGGTCTCCAGGAATCTACACGTGCCAGCCCCAGGCGGGACGCCCCTTATAAAGCCCCGCTCGCACCCGTTCTTTCCCCCCCCCCTTTCAGCTGCCGCCTCCCTCCACCCACCGCGGCTGGGAAGGGCAGGATCCCCGTCCGAGGGGCGGACGCTTCTGCGAAATCGCTGGTTCTGCTGCGAGCGCTGAGCAGCACTTGGGCAGCAAGAGGGGCGGGGGCATTTCTTCTCGGAAACCCCATCGCCTCTGACCCAACACGGGCATTCTTACCTCCTCCTACTCCGTCTCCTCCTTCTCCGCCTCCTCCGCCGCCGCCGCTGCCGCCGCCTCCCACGACTGAGACGACAACGCCGGAGGTAGTGAGGGCGACGCTTCCGTGAGTTCCGTTTCCATGCTGGCTCTGCTGCATGCAAGCAGGAGAGGCGATCGTGCGGGCGGCGTGGCCCGGGCAAGGGTGCGGGGAGGGTTCGGCAGCGGCCAAGACGGGTCACGCGTGCCTGGCCAAGGATTTCTGGGTAGCCGGGCTCTCCCACGGGGGAGTCGAGGGAACCCCCTCCGTTTGGGTGCTCTACGTCCAGCAGATCGTGCAAAGCCCACCCGTAGGCTTTCTGCCGCTGGCTTGCGCGCCTTGTGGTGCGAACGCCAAAGCCTCCTTGCCCGAGACTACCGCTGGCCTCGCGATCTGCCGGCCTGCGGGATAATTAGATTCTTTCCCGGCGCCCCGAGGTGCTTTTTCTTGCCGATGCGGCGAAGAGGGCATGGCGAATTGGCGGGCCGGGAGGGGCTCAGGGGGGACTGGGGCACCCGGAGTGGAAGTTGACCAGGCGTCTTAACCCACATACCCCGCAGTACCTTCGTGGGATTCCCGTCGGGCAGAAGAACAGCGGCGGCATGGAGGCCGGGATTCCCCGACGGGGGGAAGGAAGCGTTTCTGGGGCAACAGAAGCCTTGTTTTATTGGCATAGCAGCCGCCAGCTGGGTTCCGGCGTTACTGCTTCGCTTCTCCCGCCTCTCTTCCGGCTGCCGAAACCCGGGTCCCCGCCTGGCCCCTTCCGAATTCAGACGACACCCATAGGAATGAGGAGGCTCACGAGGACCAGCCCTGCCGTGCGCCCCACAGCAGCTCTGTGAAGCTTTGGAGAGAGAAGCCCAGCCTGGGGAGGGCAGCAGAGACCACCCTGAGAAGGTCCAGAGGGAGCTCCGAGGTGCTGAACTCGGCCTGGGATTCTGGGTTAGCTCCATCTTGCTCTTTCTTTCACCAAATGAAGTTGTCAGCAAGGGAGGACCAGGATGCCAGGATAATTGCCCCCCCCCATCACTCTTGCAGGCCTCTCTGGTAGCCTCTCTGCTCATCTGATTCATAAAGACCTGGCCTGTATCTTCTGCCTGCCCAGAGGGTCCATAGTAACCTCCTTCTGCAGGATCCTGTATGGCTTTTCTATACCAGAGGTTCCCAACCTTTTGGTCACCAGGGACTGATTCTGTGGAGAGAGTTTTTTCTGTGGACCGGAGGGGGCGTGGTTCTGTGTACTGCCTGCATCTCATGGATGCAGCATTACTTTTTTGTGGGGACTGGTTCCTGGCATGCCACAGCCTGGTACCTGTACACAGACGGGGGGGGGGGTTGGGGACCCCAATACTATCCTGCAGCGTTTGATTCCCTGTTTCTACACATACTTTGGACTTTGCATTTATCCCTGTTGAAATGAATCATCCTGATTCCAGCTTTTAAAGATCTTTTGAAATCTTCATTCTGCCCTCTGTAATATTTTATATCCCCTCATTTCGTATCATGTCCAAAACTGATTACAATGCTTTCTAACTCCTAAATTAACTTAATTATAAATATGTCAAACAGCACAACGCCTAAAATGGAGCCCTGCAATTCCTCACTTCCTTTCAATCAGATCTGCATCCTTTAATAAGCCCTTGTTGAGTTTGAGCTCTCCACAGGCTCTATCCATTTAATGGTAGTGTAGGCCAGCCACAGGTTGCCTTTCTCTTCACCAGGATTTCATTGATATTTGTCAAATGTTTTGCTGAAGTCAATGTTCATTATATCCACTGCATTCCCATAATCAACTAAAACACACAGTGTGTCAAAAATATCAGGTTGATTAGGGGGTCACCCCAAACCCTTGATGGTCCTGCTAAGCATTAAAATATGATGGGTCTGAGATGGCCCCAGGAGCTCCTTTCAGACTCCTGGACAAGCTGACTTGGAGACTTCAACTCACCCATGCTCTCTCTGTCTCTGTCTTCCTCTCTCTCTGTCGATTCTGCCCAGCTCCATTTGGAGTCTTGGGAGAGAAGACCCAGGGAAGCAGCAGCTCTGCTCTTTTGCCTCTTCCTTGATCATCTCCAACCAGATGCTCCTGGCAGCAGATCCACTCTTTCCTTTCCCTTCCTTTGATCACTGACCCAGTGAACCCCCCCCCCCTTTCCTTCGCTTTTATTTTCTCTTGTGAGCATCTGTTCCAGTTTTGCCTCAGTTTACCTATTTGCTGGAGCACCTCCATGGCGACATAATGGGCTACAAGAGGAAACAGGAGGAAGAGCCTCAACAGAGATGACAATCTCTGGGAAAAAAAAACTGTGTCCAAGGGAGAAATGAAATTTGAGGAAGAGTCTCAGACCTAAGGACTTTCTTCCTTTTCACAAAGATGAAGAGAGGGAAGTGGATTGAATTCATTAATGAGCCTGTCTCGGAGTTGCACCTTAGGACCTCCCCGAAGAAGGCACCTGGGCCTCTCCTGGTAGCCAGCCGGGCAGACTCATTACGAAGCCAAGCCTATTCTTGATTCTAGGCTTTTTAAGGGAAACCTGGGTCTGCCGCTCAGCCTGGGGTCCTGACAAGATAGGGTACATTGGGGCTGTCTCATGGGGTAGACAAGATTCTTAGCCCCAGAATGTCCATCACCTGGGTTCTTAACTTTTAATCTCTTTATTCTAGTTTCATTTCTTTTTAGGTTTTTAAAACTTTTATTACAATGTAAGCCACCCAGAGTTGCTGTATTAGTGAGATGGGTGGCATAAAAATTTATCAAAATAAAATAAGGTCTCAATTCTGGGGTTGTTTTTTGACATGCTAAGGTGGAGCTTTTTGCCTCTGGACCTTTAAGCAAAAATGCCACGTTACTTTTTCTTGTTCCTCTAACTGCCCCACTTGCAAAATTCTTCATTGCAAATCCAATTGTTATAACTGAACCGTTTGTGGCCAGCCTCTTTGGTTTCTTCAGGTAAGTGTCGAAATAGGTTCTAGCTAACTGCTGAGCCTGTCTTGGGGTTCCACCTTAGGACCTCCCCCTAAGAAGGCACCTGGGCCTCTCGTGGTAGCCAGCAGGGCAGACTCATTATGAAGGGAAGCCTATTCTTGATTCTAGACTTTTTAAGGGAAAGTTACAGTACTTAGTGCAGTGGAAAGGATATCCTTTGACTGAACCCACATAGGTAAAATCTAGTGATGTAATTAATAAATTATATGAGAAACACCCTAACAAACCAAGGGGCAACCCCTAACCTATGATTTTGTTCGAATTGCAGGATTTGTCTGCTTTTAGGGGGAGGGCGGATGTCAGGGCTGCTAACATTGGATGTTCCCGCTCTGACAACTGATGAAAATGCAGCCATTTTCCCTATTCCTTTAATAGGCTTTTTCTTAGGATTAGAAATCAGGTGCGGGGGGGGGGGTGGATTGGGATGTAAGCACAGGTAGCCATAGTAATAAAGCTGCTGTGGGAACACAAGGACAATGTGATAATGTTTTGGCGAGCTGAAGAGAAAGCCCGGACTTTAAGCTAATTGGGGAATGTGATTTATGACAGTTTATTGGGGGTGAGAATTGTACTTTGTTACTTTGTATCTGGGTGAAGGGAATTTAGTTTTGGGGTTAACTATGTAGTACTTATACTTTGTTTCCTGAATAAAATGTTCAAGGAAGAACTTTGCCTCCAAGTTATTTTGATGGGTTTCATCTATCAGAACCATGAGACGTGGCCTAAGTTTTGCTTGATAGAGTCTTCATTACAACCAGCAGTTAGCTAGAACCTATTTCGACACTTACCTGAAGAAGCCAAAGAGGATGGCCACAAATGGTTCAGTTATAAAAAATGGATTTGCAATCAAGAATTTTGCAAGCGTGGCCATTAGAGGAACAAGGCAAAGTAATGTGGCATTTTTGCTTAAAGGTCCAGAGGCAAAAAGCTCCACCTTAGCACATTTGAAGTATTTTACAACCCCCATTTCGTATCATGTCCAAAACTGATTACAATGTTTTCTAACTCCTAAACTAACTTGATTATAAATAAATATGTCAAACAGCATAAGGCCTAAAATGGAGCCCTGTAATTCCTCACTTCCTTTCAATCAGATCTGGAGCCTTTAATAAGCCCTTGTTGGGTTTGATCTCTCCACCAGCTCTATCCATGTAATGGTAGTATAGGTTGCCTTCTTCTTCTTCACCAAGGTTTCATTGATATTTGTCAGATGTTTTGCTGAAGTCAAGGTACATAATGTCCACTCCATTCCCATATTCAACTAAATTAGACAGAGTGTCAAAAAATATCAGGTTGATTTGGGGTCACTCCAAACCCTTGATGGTCCTGCTAAGCAGTAAAATATGATGGTCTGAGATGGCCCCATGAGCTCCTTTCAGACTCGTGACAACCTGCCTTGGAGACTTCAACTCATCCATGCTCTCTCTGTCTCTATCTCTGTCTGTCTCCCTCTGTCTGTGTCTGTGTCTGTGTCTGTCTGTCTGTCTGTCTGTCTGTCTGTCTCTCTCTCTCTCTCTGTCTCTCTCTCTCTCTCTCTCTCTCTCTCTCTGCCTCCCTCCCTCCCACCCTCTTGTCTCCTGGTTCCTGCTGGTGATTCTGCCCAGCTCCATTTGGAGTCTTGGGGGCGAAGACCCAGGGAAGCAGCAGCTCTGCTCTTTGCCTCTTTCTTGTTCATCTCCAACCAGGTCCTCCTGGCAGTGTATCAAAAACTATCAGGTTGATTTGAGGTCACCCCCAAACCCTTGATGCACCCTAAGCACTAAAATATGATGGATCTGAGATGGATTGAGACTCCTGGACAACTGGCTTAGACAGTTCAACTCACCCATGCTCTCTTTGTCTCTCTCGCGCTCTCTGCCTCCTGGACAACTGGCTTAGACAGTTCAACTCACCCATGCTCTCTTTGTCTCTCTCGCCTCTCTCTGCCTCTCTCTCTCTCCCCCCCCCCCTCTTGTCTCCAGGTCCCTGCTGGTGATTCTGCCCAGCTCCATCTGGAGTCTTGGGGGAGAAGACCCAAGGAAGCAGCAGCTCTGCTCTTTGCCTCTTCCTTGTTCACCTCCACCCAGGTCCTCCTGGCAGCAGATCCACTCCTTCCTTTCCCTTCCTTGGACCACTGACCCAGCCAACCCCCCCTTTTCCTTTGCTTTTATCTTCTCTTGTGAGCATCTCTTCCAGTTGTGCCTCAGATTACCCATTTGCTGGTGCACCTGTATGGCGACAGAATGGGCTACAAGAGGAAACAGGAGGAAGAGCCTCAACCTAAATGATGATCAGATGAAAAATAAAATGTGTCCAAGGCAGAAATGAAATTTGAGGAAGGGTCTCAGGCCTAATGACTTTCTTCCCTTTCAGGAAGATGAAGAGAGGGAGGTGGATTCAGCCTTGCAAAGTCCTGTTACTTTGTAATAAAAGTAATGTAAGAATTTCCTGGTATTTCATCCTGATCTGCTGAAGACACATGCAGATGGGTAACATCCCATAACAAGCATGGGGGGTGCACTTAGTGAAGTTCTGGGGTATCTGAAGAACTGCTTCTCCCCAGTGAGACTAATTGGCCCCTCTCCTTCCAGTGGAAGCAGCCTAATTTGGATCCTACTGGCCAAAGAATTTCTGCTGCTGGGCTCCAGGATAAGAGCCTTTTCTGCTGTGCTCCCCCCAATAATATTCTACCACCAGAGGTGAGATTCCACACACCACACACCCACACAAACACACAAAAACACAAACACAATCCTGGCTTCCGGAAGAGGCTGAAAACCTGGCTCAGCTTCTCAGCCTGGGGCGGGTCTCACGGGGTAGACAAGATTCTTAGCCCCAGAATGTCCATCACCTGGGATCTTAACTTTGAAGCTCTTTATTCTGGTTTCATTTTTTTTTTAGCACTTTTAAACTTTTATTACAATGTAAGCCACCCAGAGTTGCTGTATTAGTGAGATGGGTGCATAAAAACTTATCAAAATAAAATAAGGTCTCAATTCTGGGGTTGTTTTTTCACACGCTTTTTGCCTCTGAACCTTTAAGCAAAAATGCCACGTTACTTTTTCTTCTTCCTCTAATGGCTCCACTTGCAAAATTCTTGATTGCAAATCCAATTGTTATAACTGAACCCTTTGTGGCCAGCCTCTTTGGCTTCTCAGGTAAGTGTTGAAATAAGTTCTAGCTAACTGCTGGTTCTAACAATGACTCTGTCAAACAAAGCTTAAGCCAAAAGATTGACCAGCTCTGGATGAAGCTAATTCATGGCTCCTTTGCAAAACCCTTTCATAATTTCCTAATAAATTAATAGGCCAGACACTGAGTGGATTGGCTGCAGGTTCCCAAAGTCTTCAAGGGCAAAGGTTGAGTAAAGTGCACAATAGTAGTAGAGCAGTAGTCGAGACAAAGCTAACTCTTTGCCCCAGAACCCATACTATAGATAAGGGTCCTACCCAGCCTTTCCTGGAAACCTTCAGACTGGCCATCCAGAGTTGCTGTATTAGTGAGATGGGTGGCATAAAAAGTTATTAAAATTAAATGAGCTATCAATTCCGGGGGTATTTTTTGGCATGCTTAGGTGGAGCTTTTTGTCTCTGGACTTTTAAGCAAAAATGCCACGTTACTTTTGCTTGTTCCTCTAACTGCTCCACTTGCAAAATTCTTGATTGCAAATCCAGTTGTTATAAGTGAACCATTGGTGGCCAACCTCTTTGGCTTCTTCAGGTAAGTGTCAAAATAGTTTCTAGCTAACTGTTGTGTCTAACAGTGACTCTGTCAAGCAAAGCTTAGGCCAAGTGATTAGGATGGACCAGCTCTGGATGAAGCTAATTCATGGCTCCTTTGCAAAACCCTTTAATAATTTCCTAATAAATTAATAGGTCAGATCCTCAATGGATTGGCTGCAGGTCTCCAAAATCTTCAAGGGCAAAGGCTGTGTGAAGTGCAGAGCAATAGTAGAGCAGTAGTAGAGACAAGTAGAGACTCTGTACCCCAGAGTTAGCTTTGAGCCCCCTCTCCACATGGGGGTCCTACCCAGGCTCTCCTGGAAACCTTCAGACTGGCCCCCAGAGAGCTTCTGAAAGACCAGGGAAGCTGAGGCTGCTCAGGCAAACATTTTATTGGAGAAGAGCATCTGATCGGTGAGGTTGGAAAGGTCACCCCCCCCCAAGGCCCCCCAAGTCAGAAACAGGGAAGCCTTGCTCTCTTCACCCTCTCACTTGATGCGCCAGAAGATGTCCGTGCCAACGCTACAATAAAGGAGGGAGGGAGGGAAATGTCAAAATTCATACTGGCATGATTGGTATCCCCCCCCCAGGCTGAGCATCCCACCCCCACCGCATTCCCTGCTTCCACCCACTCACATGATAATGAAAAGGGGGGCAAAGGAAATGGATGCTGCAGGTTCTGGGGGATGGCGAGGGCCAGGTAGGTCACCAGCCACGCAATGCAGGCCAAGTCTGATAAGGGCAAGGACACTGACCCAAAGCAGGCTGGGCAAAGTCTCCTCGGTGTTTGGGGCTCCCTTGAAGCAGCTCCCTCCAGGTGGCCAGAAAAGTGGCCTCTTTGGAGGGGAGCAGAAGAGCTGCAGGCCTTGTGCTGGGGAAGGCACCCAGGTAGCCTCTTTGCCCCATACAAATATGGGAGCTGTGCTGGGCTACTGCTCTTTAATTTGAGTAGAGCAATAAATGTCAACTCTCCAAGCATTGCCAGCTGTTGGCAACCCAGACTGTGGTGCCACCCAAACCACACTTGTCAGTGAGAACGACCTGAGGAAGCTCATCCAAAGCTTTGCTATCTTTCTTTGTGGGGGAAGTGGCAGAAACAGAATCTCTCAGACTCAAAATGCTGCCCCGAGAGAGGCAAACCATTGGGGCGCCCCTTCAAGAGCCACTTTGGGGGGTGGAAGAGAGAGAAAAAGAAGAGGTACCCAGGGCCCTTCCAGTTAGGGGGCCCAGCAGTTCAGCCCCTGCTTTTCCTTACCGGGTCGCCCCCCAATCCTCTGCTGCGGATTCCACATGCTCACGATATAGCCGGGTTGTCCTCAGCTGTTCCTTTCCGTTCTCATCCACCAGACATTGGCCCACAAAGACACCGGTGGGTCCTGTCAGATCAAAGTTGTTGTACCAATTAGGGGAGGATATATTTCGCATAAAGACCCCCCTCACCGATGCTACTTTTAGATTGGGAATGTTTTATAGGCTCCAAAATATTTGGGCATCTCCATCTGATGGGGGGAGAAGGACGGAGGACATTCAGTGAAAGAATCTGCAAGAGGCAGATCTCAGGAAGGGGAGATCCACTAGATTCCCTCTTCCCCTTCTATTTGCTTCCACAACAAAGACTGAGTGGCTCTACCATCGGAGATCCCGCTGATGGTGAAGCCAAAGGTGGGCTGGAGCCCCCGGTGCTGGATGCCCTGCAGCGCGGCTGGAAAGATGTGTATGGAGTACCGCAGTGGTGTATAGAAGATGCCGCTGAACACCCCCGTGTCACTGACGCTCTCGATGTGTATGGTGTTGGTCAGGTTATTCCTCCAGGTGCCGGTCAGGGAGCACTAAAAAGAGCGGGAGGCAGGAGAAAAGCGTGTCAGGGTGATAGCCAAGCCGAGCTGTCCAACAGGCAGAGACTGTCACTCCATTCTATCCGGGGGATCTGAAAACACCCGCTGCTCACTCGTGCCCGACCCCTGGGGATGCCCACGCCGGGTCGGTCTGGCAAAGGCGGCCCATCCCAAAGTCCGTCGGTCGAGGCGCCTGCTAGCCCGCGTCCGGGACGACACCCCGCGAGCGGATCGCTCTGCCATCTGCGCAGCGAGCGAGAGCACCAGCCCCGGCGGCAGGCTGCTGAAGTCGCGGCCGAGCACGGAGGAGAAAACGCGTGACCGGTCGGTCATCGGAGATCCAAGGCCTCTGGCGCTCAGCGCGACGGCACCGGGTGCGATCAACCCCGAGGAAGCGGCAGCCTCTGCGCAGCCCGCCGGCTCCCACCAGTTGCTCCTGCCGCCCACTCGAGCAGAAGCTGGTGTGTGTGTGGGGGGGGGGCTTTCCACATGGGAGGCTGGGACCCTCCGTCTCCCACCCCGCATCTGACCTCGGCGGCTGGCTCCGAGTTTTGGGGTTGGGCAAAGGTTCCCGAGCAGCCGAGCAGGAAAGCGAGGAGCCCCAGAGCTGCCAGGCCAATCGCCATGGTGGTCTCCAGGAATCTAGACGTGCCAGCCCCAGGCGGGACGCCCCTTATAAAGCCCCGCTCGCACCCGCTCTCCTCCCTACCTTCAGATGCCGCCTCCCTCCACCATCCCCAACGGCTGGGAGGGGCAGGATCCCCGTCCGAGGGGCGGACGCTTCTGCGAAATCGCTGGACTTCTGCGAGCGCTGAGCAGCACTTGGGCAGCAAGGGGGGCGGGGCATTTCTTCTCGGGCACCCCCATCGCCTCTGACCCAACACGGACATTCTTACTCTCCTCCTCCTCCTCCTCCTCCTCCATTAGCTTCCCCAATTAGCTTAAAGCCCGGGGATTCTCCTCCGCTCCTGAGCCTGGGCAAAACCTTATCAGCTTCTCCTTGGGTTCCCACAGCAGCCTTATTATTACGGCTAGACGAGCTTACATCCCAACCCTCCCACCCCCCCCCCCGTGCACCTGATATCTAAACGTAAGAAAAAGCCTATTAAAGGAATAGAGAAAATGGCTGCATTTTCATCAGTTGTCAGAGCGGGAACATCCAATGTTAGCAGCGTTGATATCCCGTGGGGGGGGGGGCTTAAAAATAGGACAGATCCTGCGATTCAAACAAAATCATAGGCTAGGGGTCGCCCCTTGGTTTCTTAGGGTGTTTCTCATAGAATTTATTAATAAGCCTGTCGGCTTTTACGTCACTAGAGTTTACCCATGTGGCTTCAGTCAAAGGGTATCCTTTCCACTGCACTAAGTACTGTAACTTTCCCTTAAAAAGTCTAGAATCAAGAATAGGCTTCGCTTCATAACGAGTCTGCCCGGCTGGCTACCACGACACGCCCAGGTGCCTTCTTAGGGGGAGGTCCTAAGGTGGAACCCCAAGACAGGCTCAGCAGTTAGCTAGAACCTATTTCGACACTTACCTGAAGAAGCCAAAGAGGCTGGCCACAAACGGTTCAGTTATAACAATTGGATTTGCAATGAAGAATTTTGCAAGTGGGGCAGTTAGAGGAACAAGAAAAAGTAACGTGGCATTTTTGCTTAAAGGCCCAGAGGCAAAAAGCTCCACCTTAGCGTGTGAAAAAACAACCCCAGAATTGAGACCTTATTTTATTTTGATAAGTTTTTATGCCACCCATCTCACTAATATAGCAACTCTGGGTGGCTTACATTGTAATAAAAGTTTAAAAGTGCTAAAAAGAAATGAAACCAGAATAAAGAGATTAAAAGTTAAGAACCCAGGTGATGGACATTCTGGGGCTAAGAATCTTGTCTACCCCATGAGACAACCCCAGGGTACCCTACCCTGTTAGCGACCCACGGCAGAGCAAGGTTTTCAGGCTCTGCCAGAAGGACAGGATTGTGTTCTTGTGTGTCTGGGGGGGGGGGAAATCTCACCTCTGATTGTAGAAAATTCTGGGGGGGGGTACAGCAGAAAAGGCCCTTCTCCTGGAGCACAGCAGCAGAAACTCTTTGGCCAATGGGATCCAAATTAGGCTGCTTCCACTGGAAGGAGAGGGGCCAACTGGTCTAATTGGGGTGAGGCAGTTCTGCACATATCCCAGCTGCATTAAGTGCACCGCCCATGCTTATTATGGGATTTTACCCAGCTGCATTTGTCTTCAGCAGATCAGGAACAAGCAATGAAATATAATGAAAGTCTGATGTATTTAGGATATTACTTTTATTACAAAGTTAGGGCAACAGAAACTTGCAAGGCTGAACCCACCTCCCTCTCTTCATCTTCCTGAAAGGGAAGAAAGTCATTAGGCCTGAGACCCTTCCTCAAATTTCATTTCTGCTTTGCACACAGTTTTTTTCATCTGATCCTCACTTCTCTTGAGGCTCTTCCTCCTGTTTCTTCTTGTAGCCCATTCTGTCAGCAGGGAGGTGCACCAGCAAATGGGTAATCTGAGGCACAACTGGAAGAGGTGCTCACAAGAGAATTGCCCCGCTGGCAGGCGGCTCGGGGCTCAGTGGGCCATGGTCCTCTCAGGAAAGGCAGCTCTGGCATTTGCACCACCAGGCGTGCAACCCAGCGGAAGAATGCCTGCCGGAGGGCTTTGCATGGTCTGCTGGATGGGCATGGAAGGTGCCAATCCCCAGGCTTCACAATCTGGCAGCACCAGAAAGGCATCGGCTGGGCAGCAGGACAAGCGGCTCCAAGCAGACCCTCCACTGGTCCTTGGCCCAACTTAAGTACCGGCCTCCCACGCAAGTGCTTCAGAGCAAGCTCCTGCAGGCCTCAGAATGGCTTTTCCCCTTCCTTGCTGCTGAGGTGGGTGGAGGAATCAGAAGGAGAGGCGCTGTTCTCATCCCAGCTGTTCTTCTCCAGCTCTAGAGGAGCCTCCCATCTGCCTCCCAGCAGGCTGGCTGTGTCTTTGGGTGCTACTTTCAGGATGGCTAAATGGCATGCAGGCCACTTAGTGAAGCCAGTGAGGGGCCAAGGTTGGGCCAAAGAGTTGCAGCTGCAGTTAGCCCCGCACCAATGACAGGAGCCAGAATCTCTTCCTTCAGGAGGAGAAAAGAGCAGTAAGGACGCTCCTCGGGGCTGCAGGCAACAGAGCCCCCCGCCTTCAGCCCTTCTTTCTCTTTCTTCTACTTTGGATAGAAGCGGCCTCTGCTCCCCCTTGGGGCATGGGTGACACATGAGGTTAGAGGACAGTCCAACCTGTCTCCACGGACCTGGACAATGTGTGACATGTTAAAAACTGGGTGGACTTTAAATCGCACTGTCGCAACTGCCCTCTTGCCTTCTTTGACCGTATTCTTACGGGGTTTCCCTGTGCTATTTTACCGAGGACAAGGAAGCAACGACCCCCGTCCGACGCCCACCAGATCCCCCAAACCTCTAAGCGAGCAGCAAAAGTCAGCACAAGCGAAGCACGTAAGAAGCCACCCGCTGGGCCTCCGCTTCTGGGGAGGATGTCGGGGGGAGGGGGGGCAAGGCTCACCTGCCGCCGGGCGAGGCAATTCATCGCCTCCTTCGGGGATTCTCCGGGCCCGCCGAGTCTCCGGACAGCGCTCTCGGCTGCCTCGCTTGGTCCACGCACGTCCTGAGCCGGTCTCTCCGCCCCGCCTCTCGCCCCGCCCCCCTCGCCTGCGCAGGCCGGGGCGGAGGGCCAGGCCGGGAGGGAGAGTCCCGAGGCCCCTCCCCATTCCCCTCCCCCTCCTCGCCCTCGGCCAACCAACGGTCGCCCCGGCCGCTCGCCCGCCTCCCAGGACAGCCCGCGGTGGGTTTCGCGTCTCCGTGGAGACCAACCAAGCGCAGGAGCCAGGATGGAGCCGGAAGGGTGAGCTTGGGCGCGACCGTCAACCGCCCCGCCCGCTACTCGGGGAGGGGGGCCCTCGGGGCCCGCGGCGCTCTCGGCAGGGCGCTGGTTCGCCGGAGCAGCCGTGGCCCCTTCCCGCCCGCGACCCGGCGCTCTCCTGTCTCTTCCCTGGACAGAGCCCAGGTGCCGAGCAGCGGAGAGGCCGCCCAGAGCAGCACGGAGGAGCCCCGCGGGAGCCCGGCGGAGACGGCCCCGTGTCCCGTGGAGATGCCGCCGGAGCCCGAGGCAGAGCCGCAGGCCGGAGCCACGGTCCCGGTGGAGCTACCGCCCTGTCACGGCGTGCCGGGGCCCTACCTGGGGGGGCTGCCGGCCGTCGATCTGCAGCCGCTCCCGCTCTGCGTCCCGGAGCCGCCGAGGGAGCCGCCCACCCGCGGCCAGTGCCTGATGCACAACTGGCAGGAAGAGGTGAGGTTGCTCTGCGGGGCTCCTCGCCCCCAGTTGGCGGTCTGGCGCCGGCGGTGGGAGGTCAGGACGGCGCCCAGGCTCTGCTGCCCCTTGGCAGCCGCTCCCCACCCGGGCCCTCCGCAGCCCCAGCCTGGCATCCCCTCGGATGAGCGCAGCCTCTCCAGGAATTGGAGTGCGACCCTTCTGTTCCTGACCTGCAGAAGGAGAGGGCGGGACCAAGCTGTGCCCTCCCCAGGGGTGGGGGAAGAGCAACTGTCCTCCCCCCCCCATGGCCCCAAGAGGAAGGAGCCTCCTTTGTTTTCATTTTTGCTTTTCCCAGAGAGCCACCAACGATTTGGACCTTGTGCCAAGACCCGAGTGTGGCACCGAGGGGTCCTTCCACCGGCACGGGCATCCTGGCCTCCTCACCCTTGACTTCCTAGCCGGCATGCCCACGACCACCACCATGAAGGACTCCTACCCTCGTCCCGTGAAGACAGGGCTCCCTGTGCGAGGTGGGCAGCGGGACAGGAGGGCAGAAGCCTGGAGTGGAGCCCAGGATGGGCTTAGCCAACAACATCTGCGCAGGGAGAGGAAGGGGGTCCGGCCCAGGGTTGGTTGCAATGCTACTCCAGAAGATTAGTTAGGTGCAGTTTTCTACTCACATTAGAAAGCCAGGCAGACCCCCCCCCCCAGCCCATGTCAAGGATGCAGTTATTAGCATCTGGGACCGAACTCCTTGAACCCCAGGCAGCAGTCGGTGAGTTTGGCTGCTCCCTTTGGGCAGCCCAGGTGTGCAACTGCAGCCCTGCCCACTTCTTGGCCTTTCCCCCTAAACAGCCTCCTCGCTGTGGGGGCCGAGCGGAGACAAGAAGCGACTTCTAGGAAGGGCTTTAATTTCTCAAAGTTGGAATGGATTATGCCAGTGCTGCAGAGCTCATTGAGTGGAAAGGGCCACGGGGCTCAGTTAAAAATCCTGGGAGGGCCCTAAGAAACAGCTGGCATGTAGATCAACTGCTGTGTGGCCAGCAGAGCATCTACAGGGCTGGAGCTGGCAGCTGCAGTGAGTCTCGGAGGGCCCTGGCAGTAAATCCTTCCAGAGTGTGGCTGTGAATGTGCTACTTTTTTAAAAACTGGGGGCTCCACGGTGTTTTAAACAGATAGGAGTCTACCCAGAGCCTCTTAAAATGGGCTGTGTGTTGTCCCCGGGTCATGTGGGGAGCCACCTAATCCTCCATAAGGGGAAGAAGAGCCTGCTTGAGCCCCCAGCCGGCCTTCCGGTTCTCCCTTGAATGAAGCACAGAGAGTTGGAAGAAGGTGGGCATCAATATAATGCCTGGCTCAATTCAGGGCACTGGTGTGTGTGTGTGAGCTGGTGGGGATGTCTCTCTCCTGTCTCCCTCCCTGCGGAAGGCTCGGGGCCCACCTTCCTGTCTCTGTCCCTGGGCGAGGGTCTTTTCCAGCCACTCCATAGATGCTCCCCACCCCACTTGTCTCCTTTTATCCCCAGGGAAGTGAGAGGCCATGATGGAGCATCTTCTGTACCAGAAACACAGGTAAGGAACAGGACCTTCTCCCCCCCCCATGCCCCCCCATACACTTAGCAGCCAGGTATTGTCGTGGGCCTGTCAAGGTCAAAGGGTGGTCTCTTTCCTCCGACTGGTCTGAATTGTGAACTTGCTTGGTCCTTTTCTAGAGCCACTTGCCCCGTTGCAGATCAAACCTTGACCCAGAGATAGAGGACCCTGGGGGTACTCAAGGCCACAGAGCTGCAGAAGACAAGAAGACCTCCACCTTAGCCGTTCTGAGCACTGTGCTTCTGTGTCAGATTGCTGGGTGAGAGTTTAAATACTGTACTAGCGTGGGAATCCCCCTCCACTGTATCTTCAGGGACTTTCCCAAGCCTAGGCGGAAATCTTGAGTCAAGGACACCTTACTTCAGAACAACAGAGTTGGAAGGGACTTTGGAGGTCAACTAGTTCCTTGTTGCCTTCTCCCCCAACAGGCATGCAGGGTGGATGCCATGGCACAAACCAGCAAGGGCTGTGCCAGCCCTTTGCACAACCTTTCCCTGTGCCAGAGGGGAGATCCTGCCCCTCGGCTGCGGTGTTTGGACAACAAAGGAGGCAGCCAAGTTAGAACTTGGCATACAGCCCCATGACTACCAGCTGGAACAACTGCAGACATTCTGGCTCGAACATGCCCAGCAGGTGCCGGTAAGTGCCATCCTGTCCCGCACCAACCTGGTGCTGCCATGCCTTTCCTGCCTCCTCCCATGAGGCTTGTCCTTGAGAGCCTGCAAAGGACATGGCAGGCGGGCAGGCAGCCCGGGCACCTGTTGTCCTAGCATGGAGGGTATGTTCTGGCCAGGCAGCTCAGACCCAGCCACGAGTGGTGGGTGACGCACTTAGCTTCTTTATCCCTCTCCACAGGGCACCTCCAGCATCCAGACTGGTGACACCCCTTTCAGGAAGTGTGCAACTTTCACAACTCCCATGTCCAAATACCTTGACCAACTACCCCAAGCTGTGAACGCTATCTTGCCACTATCTGGGCTGGTTGGGAAAAACCAAGCTTATGCAGGTGGGGGGGATGCAGAGTCCCCTCCTCAAAGTGTTGATTTCCCTGTTAAATTCCTGCAAGAGCTGAAGGCCCAACCGCCAGAGTCATTTCCAGGAAGCTTCCTTACAGTTCCCCTGCCACAAAAGCAGCCGGGGCTGGGCAGAGCCGTTTGCCATCCTTTCTCTTGCTAAATGGAAGGGGAGGGGGCTATTCTCCCCTCCCCTTTCTGTTTGGACAAGACTGCTTGCCTGATTCCGGGATTTGCAACCAGAGGGGGAAAATGAGCAGCAGGGCTGGAAGACTGGCTCAGCCTGCTGAGCCAAGGGGTGGGGGTGCATCGATTGGGACCAGGAGCCCCAGCTGGGCAAAGGGCTTTTGTGATTGCCTCAGCAGGTGGGTTCCCAAGTGCCTGCTGCCTGGCTGTTGCTGACTGGGCAGGGAAGACCCCTTGATGTCTGGGGCAACTAGAGCCCCCCTCCCCACCTCCAGGCATAGCCGCTGCCTCCCTCAGGCAAAGCCATCCTTGCCTGCAGGCTGGCCGCCTCTCACCCTCCCTCGCTGTTCCAAGGCAGAGTGAATCCCCCGCAAGTTCATGGGAGCAGTTGCTGCTGCCGGGTCCCTGCAGAGGGAGGGCCCCCCTCAGATGATGGGGGTCCCCTCAGATGACAGCTGTCTTCTCTTCGCCCAGCAGCCAATAGGTCCTCATCTTCCCTTTGCCCTGCCAGAAAGCAGACAGGTGAAGCGCTCTTGCCCCCTTTCTTGCAATGCAGCCCCCCCCAAGCAGTGAAAGTGAGAGGCACACCTCCACTTTGCACTCCTTCCCCTTCCCCCCCCCCATGCAAGGCCCAGCCTGTTCCTTCCCATGCCCGCCTTCATCTCTACGTCCCCCTGGAGCTCCAGCAGAAAGCAGCCAAACTCATCCAGGATCTCCTTGGCAGAGATGTGGATCTTCAAGGCTGGAAGGAACAGGGGCAGGAGAGTGAGTGCCCCCCAGGATCCCCTGCCAAAGGGGCCCAGTGGCATACTTGGGAGGAGAGGTAAGGATGCACGGGCCCTACAGGAAGAGTATGGGGGGCTGGTATCTCACCCTCACCATTGGACTCCAAAGAGGCAGTAGCGTGGCATCTTCAAGCCCACCACTCCCGCGCACACTGGCCCTGCAGGGAGGTAGAGGAGGAGGGCTGAACCGCTGGTGCTTTGTGCATGCTCAGGAAAGATAGACCGTGCTTGCCCGACTCACTCACCAGAGTGGACCCCCGATGCGCAGGTGCAACTGCTCACTGGGAGGGTGCCGGATGCGAAAGGTCTTCACAGCTTCCAGGAGTGCAAGGGCCATGCGGACAATCTCGTGGGCGTGGAGCTGACCATTTCGAACAGGCAGGCTGGACACCACCATGTAGACATCACCAATGGTCTCCACTTAGGGCCAAGGCCAAGGAGCAGGGTGAGCTGGGGGGCCTCCCTGCAGCACTGCTTTGAGCTGGGAGGGCTTTTCTTGGTTTGTATGATTCCATGAGGAATCATACAAACCATATGTCAACGTTCATACAAGCCATATGTCAATGTTCTTCTTTTCACAGCCTGTGTTGGTTGTACTATATTAGGTTGAGTGGTCAGGCAGTTTTTGATAAAGTTGTGTGGATGTCCATTTTGTTGGAAGATGTTGTACAGATGATCTGGGCAACTGTGAGCATCCTAGATCAAGCCAAATAGAAATACTGTCTTCCAATGATGTCTGCTTTTATGGATAGACTTTGTCTAAGAGATGTAATTGAAGGAATAGCAATAGCCCTTAGATTTATATACAGCTTCATGGTGCTTTACAGTCCTCTCTAAGTGGTTTACAAAGTCAGCATATTGCCCCCAACGAACTGCTGGCAGTCAGCAGAGAGCCTGCAATACTGCATTCCAACCACTGTGCCACCATGGTTCTTGACAGATAGGAAGCAACCCATTTTATCCTGAATGAAGGCAAATATAGGTATCCCAGGATAGCATTGCAGAACCCAATCTGAGTCGGTCACTGGGACCAAAAGCTGATTCTTCCAAGCTTTCAAGCTCATGCTGGAGCCCATCCCCAGAGAACTCTCTCTCCAGAATATCTGCCCTGGGCTGTTCTATGCATTGTATTTATATGCTTGCTGGTTGTGTGTAGCTTTTAGTTATTAATTAGGGTCTTGGTGGCTTGTTATTAGGTCACTGTTTCCTTGTGACTCGTCGCTGGTAGACCACTGGCAAATCAGCACTCTTATTCACAGGAGGCCCGTTTCCCAAGCTTCAATAATTTATCTAGTTATTATTGTTTCTGCATGGCCAACAATTGTAGCAGCTGTGAAACTGAATGCATGTCCTTGTTCATTGCAATGTGAGGCTACCAATGAGTTCAGGTCTCCTCATCTAACCACTCTCTCGCTCCTGTTCTTGTCATCTGGTGGTTAGCTTCCTCCCCACCTGTCCTACATAGTCACAGAAGCAATACATGCAGGGAATCTGAATCAAAGTTTCTCCCACTTCCAAACAACCTTTGTGGTGCATAATTTGTCCTTGCATGGTTAGCCTCTGGGTGTTTAGAGATGCCCACTTGCACAGCGGTCCCCAACCGTTCTGGCTCCAGGGACCAGTTTCAAAAGAAAAATTGGGGTTGAGGGTGAGAAATAGGAAGGAGCCGATTCCTGGGACCTTTTGAGCAAGAGAGAGAAGAGGGTCAACCGAAAGGGGAAAAGCCTTGTTTAAAGCGAGGCTGCTGCAGATTCCGACGTTAAGAGGAGGGGAGGCTGAGACCCTCAACCGACACACCTGATGGGGAGGGAATCTCTCCGCTTTCTCACCTCCCGCTTCCAGGCCAACTTTCTTCAGGGGGGCGCTTTGCATTCTGTTCTTCGCTCGCTCTGGGGTTTTGGGGAGAAATGGCCAGCCTTCCCCCAGCCCCCCCCCGCGCGCCATAAGGACAAGGTTAATAACGAACCAATCAGGCTTCGCTGCAAGGCTGCAAAATCCTGCAAGGCGAATATTTACTTCCAAATATTAATGAGAAACAGCAACGCTGAATGAAACAATGGCTGCTGATTCCCAATTCCTTCGAACGGCAGGTCTTTAAGGGGAGAATCTGCAGTCAGAAGGAGGCAAGAGAGCGGGCAAAAAAGACGGGCTAGTTTTGAGTTAAGGGTTAGACCTTAACCCAGAGGTCTTCAAACTCGGCCCTTTTGACTCATGGACTTCAATTCCCAGAATTCCTCAGCCAGGCACGAGTTGAAGACCATGAGTCATAAAAGGGCCGAGTCTGAAGACCCCTGCCTCAACCCCCCCTCCTCCAAACCAGCTCTCTCAACAGCCCCGCCGGTGATTCACACCCACACCCGCACAGGACCACAAACGAAGACTCTACGCCAGCCTTCGCACCCCAAAAACTTCGGCAATGGGGGAGATGCGACAGGTGAGGAAAAGCAAGTATTTTGCCTCGTGGTGAAAAAGCGAGAAATTTGAATCTGGTCCTGCGACAGGTTGGGAGAAAGGGGGGGAGGGCGAGCTTGTCCCGAAACTGAAAGGAGACAAGGGAGCTTCCCCCTTTCTCCCCCCTCTCTTTTTTTGAATCTCTCTCTCCATCTCTCTCTCTCGCGCGCGCGCACACACATAGTGCTTTCTCCCCCCTTCTCTCGCTTTCTCTCCAAAGGCACCTGGATGAAGGGTGCGCGCGAGTGCAGCCATGCAGCGAAGCCTTATCGGGTTGTTATTAACCATGTCATCATGGGGGCAGGGCTGGCAGCCCCCCCCCACTGCTTTCCCCCCCCTCTCCTTGTATGTATATCAAAGCAAGCTCCCCCGCATCCTGCGCCCCAGGCTCCCCACTCCTTGGCCTGGGGATTGGCTGCCCGGATGCGCGTTTAAATGTTCCAAGCAGCCAAATAGCTCTAGAAAAGTGTCCCTCCGTGAAACGGCCGGGAGGAAGGGGCGAGGATGGAGCGCTGTCGGACCAATGGTGGGAGAGGAGCGCTGGTGGAGAGCCAGCCGAGTAAGAATGCCCGTGTTGGGTCAGCGGCGGTGGGGTACCCGAGAAGAAGTGCCCCCCGCCCCCCTTGCTGCCGAAATGCTGCTCAGCGCTCGCAGAAGTCCAGCGATTTCGCAGAAGCGTCCGGGCCGGGGATTTTGCCCCTCCCAGTCGCGGGGTGGTAGTGGTGGAGGGGGGTGGCAGTTCAAGGGGGTGGGAGAGCCGGTGCGAGCGGGGCTTTATAAGGGGCATCCCGCCTGGAGCTGGCACTTCTAGATTCCTGAAGATCACCATGGCGTTAGGCCAGGCAGCTCTGATGCTCTTCGCTTTCCTGCTCGATTGTAGCGGAACCTTTGCCGCACCCCAAAACTCGGAGCCAGACGCCAAGGTGTGATGCGGGGTGGTGGGCAGAGCGTCCCAGCCTCCCCCGGGGAAACCCCCTGCCACCAACTTCTAGTCGGGTGGGCGGCAGGAGCAGCTGGTGGGAGCTGGAGGGCTGCGCAGAGGCTGCCGCTTCCTCGGGGTTGACCGCACCCGGTGCCGTCGCGCTGAGCGCCAGAGGCCCTGGGTCCCTGACGGCCGGCTGGCCGAACGAGCGTTTTCTCCTCCGTGCTCGGCGGCGACTTCGGCAGCCTGCCGCCAGGGGTTGGTGCTCTCGCTCGCTGCGCAGATGGCAGTGCGATCCGCCGCGGGGTGTTGTCCCGGACACGGTCTGGCAGGCGCCTAAACCAACGGACTTGGCGATGGCCGCCTTTGCCAACCCACCCGGCGTGGGTAGCCTTGGGGGTCGGGCACGTGGGAACAGCGGGTGTTTCAGATCCCCGGTAGAAAATAGAGCCAGAGTCTCTACCTGTTGGACAGCTGGGCTTGGCTAGCATTGTGACTTGGTTTCCTCCCCTCTCCCGCTCTCCTTTAGTGCTCCCTAACCGGCAGCTGGAAGAACGATCTCAACTCCACCATGGAGATCAAGAGCGCCAATAACACGGGGGTATTCAGGGGCGTCTACAGAACGGCAGTCTCGGACACCACCAGTAAAATCCAGCCATCCCCGCTTCTGGCCGTCCAGCACCTGGGGGACCAGCCCGTCTTTGGCTTCACCGTCAACTGGAATTTCACTGGTACAGCCACTCACTATTTGGTGTGGAAGCAAATAGAACGGGAGGAGGGAATCTAGTGGATCTCCCCTTCCTTAGAACTACATCTTGCAGATTATTTCTCTGAATGTCGCCCCTCCCCCATCAGCTGAAGCAGCCCAAAGTTTTTCAAGCCGATAAAATTATCCCAACCTAAAAGGTAGCATCGGTGAGCGCGGGTCCTTATGGGAAATATATCCCCCCCCCCAATTGGTACAACAGCTTTGACCTGCCAGTGAGTGTCTGGCCCATTCCTCCCTCAGAATCCATCACAGTCTTTGTGGGCCAATGTCTGGTGGGCGAGGACGGAAAGGAGCAGCTGAAGACAACCTGGCTGCTGCGTGATAAGGTGGAATCTGCAGCAGATGATTGGGCAGCGACTCGGTAAGGAAAATCAGGGACTGAACTGCTGTGCCCCCTAACTGGAAGGGCCCCCGGGCACCTCTTTTTCTCTCTCTTCCCCCTCCCCAAAGTGGTTCTTGGAAAGACGACCAGGACGCCTCAAGGGTTTCCTCTCTGGGGGATGTTTCTGCACCAAGTGCTGAGCAGCTCCTGTGGGAGAGGCTGAAGACTCCATTTCTGCCACTCCCCCCACAAAGAAACACAGCAAAGCTTTTGAGGAGGTTCCCCAGATCGTTCTCACGGACAAGTGTGGTTTGGGTGGCACTGCAGTCTGGGCTGCCCACAGCTGGCAACACTTGGAGAGTTGGCATTAATTGCTCTACTCAAAGAGCAGTAGCCCAGCACAGCCCCATATTTGTATGGGGCAAGAGGCCACCTGGGTGCCTTCCCTGAGCACAAGGCTGCCAGCTCTGCTGCTCCCCTCCAAAGACGCCACTTTCTCGGCCACCTGGAGGGAGCTGCTTCAAGGGAGGACCCCAAAGACCAAGGAGAATTTGCCCAGCCTGCTCTGGGTCAGTGTCCTTCCCCTCATCAGACGTGGCCTGCATTGCGTGGCTGGGGATCTACCCGGCCCTGACCACCCCTGAGAACCAGCAATGTCCATTTCCTTTGCCCCCCCCTTTTCATTATCACGTGAGTGGGTGGGAGGAAGGAATGGGGTGGGGATGGGATGCTCAGCCTGGGGGAGGAGACACCAATCATGCCAACATGAATTTTGACATTTTCCTCCCTCCTGCTTTATTGTAGCGTTGGGACTGACACCTTCTGGCGCACCAAGTGAGAGGGTGAAGAGAGCAAGGCTTCCCCGTTTCTGCCTTGGGGGGTCTTGGGGGGGTGACCCTTCCAACCTCACCCATCAGATGCTGTTCTCCAATAAAATGTTTGCCTGAGCAGCCTCAGCTTCCCTGGTCTCTCAGAAGCTCTCTGGGTGCCAGTCTACAGGTTTCCAGGAGAGGCTGGGTAGGACCCCCATCTGGAGGGGGGGCTCAAAGCTAACTCTGGGGTACAGAGTCTCTGCTTGCCTCTACTACTCCTCTACTATTGCTTTGCACTTTACACAGCCTTTGCCCTTGAAGACTTTGGAGACCTGCAGCCAATCCACTGAGGATCTGACCAATTATTTTATTAAGAAGTTGTTAAAGGGTTTTTGCAAATCAGCCATGAATTAGCTTCACCCAGAGCTGGTCCATCCTAATCACTTGGCCCAAGCTTTGCTTGACAGAGTCATTGTTAGACCCAACAGTTAGCTAGCATCTATTTTGATACTTACCTGAAGAAGCCAAAGAGGTTGGACAGAAAATGTTCAGTTATAACAATTGGATTTGCAATCAGGAATTTTGCAAGTGGGGCCATTAGAGGAACAAGAAAAAGTAATGTAGCATTTTTGTTTAAAGACCCAGAGGCAAAAAGCTGCACCTTAGCATGTCAAAAAACACCCCCAGAAGTAGAGAGCGTATTTTATTTTAATAACTTTTTATGTCACCCATCTCACTAATACAGCAACTCTGGGTGGCTTACAATGAAATAAATGTTAAAAAGTGCTAAAAAGAATTGAAACTAGAATAAAAAGATTAAAAGAACCAAGGTGATGGAAAGCCTGAGGGCAAGAATCTTCATGAGACACACCCAGGGTACCCTACCCTGTCAGGGCCCCAGGCTGAGCAGCTGAGTCAGGCAAAGAGCAGAGGTCTACTTCCCTAGGTCTTCCCCCCCCCCCAGGGCAGATGGAGCTGGGTAGAATCACCAGCTGGGACCAGGAGACAAGGGGGGGGGGAGATAGGGAGGTAGATATGAAGACAGACACAGATACAGATAGAGACAGAGGGAGACAAACAGAGACAGACAGACAGAGACAGAGACAGAGAGACAGACAGAAAGACAGACACAGAAAGAGGTAGACAGACAGACAGAGATGGAGACAGAGACAGAGAGAGCATGGATGAGTTGAAGTCTCTAAGGAAGGATGTCAGGAGTCTCAAAGGAGCTCCTGAGGGTCATCTCAGACCCATCATATTTTAGTGCTTAGCAGGAGCATTAAGGGTTTGGGGCGACCCCAAATCAACCTGATCTTTTTTGACACACTGTCTGATTTAGTTGATTATGAGAATGCAGTGGACATTATGTAATCTGACTTCAGCAAAACATTTGACAAATATCAATGAAATCCTGGTGAAGAAGAGAAGGCAACCTGTGGCTGGACTACACTACCATTACATGGATAGAGCCAGTGGAGACATCAAACCCAACAAGGGCTTATGAAAGGCTCCATATCTGATTGAAAAGAAGTGAGGAATTGCAGGGCTCCATTTTAGGCCTTGTGCTGTTTGACATATTTATAATTAGGTTAGGCGTTAGAAAACATAATCAGTTTTGGACATGATACCAAATGGGGAGATATAAAATACTACAGAGAGCAAAATGAATATTTCAAAGGATCTTTAAAAAGCTGGAATAATGGGCAAAAATCAGAATGATTAATTTCAACAGAGATAAATGCAAAGTCCAACATTTGTGTAGAAACAAAAATCAAAGGCATTAATGTAGGATGGCAGGTAGTATAGAAAACTGATATGGGATCCTGCCAAAGGAGGTTACTATGGACCCTCTGGGCAGGCAGAAGATACAGGCCAGGTCTTTCTGCATCAGATGAGCAGAGAGGCTATGATGGGGGGCCAATTATCCGGGCATCCTGGTCCTCCCTTGCTGACAACTTCATTTGGTGGAAGAAAGAGCAAGAGGAGATGGGATCCTGGAGGCTACCGAGAATCCCAGGCCGAGTTCAGAGCCTCCTCATTCCTGTGGGTGCCGTCAAACCCAAACCCAGAGTGCCAAGGGGATGAGCAGGAGGGGGGATTGGCTAAACCCTCAGAGATCCAGAACCAGGCATGTTTAGCGGAAAGAAGAGAAGGCCGAGGGAGGGAGGGAGACGGCTGGGTTCCTCCCCTTCCTGCTCTGCTCCCTCTGCCCAGCCTGCCCCAGGAGAACCTGGTCAGAGCCCAGAGGCAAGATGGGGACAGGGGGGAGCCAGCAGTCTAGTGTTCTTGGTGGCTCCTGGAACAAGGCCGAGGAGAAGTGGCCACTCAAGGATCATTGGAGCCTGCTGGGCACGAAAGAAACAATGGGGAGATCTTTCTACTTTTGGGGGTTGAGGGTGAGAAATAGGAAGGAGCCGATTCCTGGGACGTCTTGAGCAAGCGAGAGAAGAGGGTCAACCGAAAGGGAAAAAGCCTTGTTTAAAGCGAGGCTGCTGCGGATTCCGACGTTAAGAGGAGGGGAGGCTGAGACCCTCAACCGACACACCTGATGGGGAGGGAATACCTCCGCTTTCTCACTTCCCGCTTCCAGGCCAACTTTCTTCAGGGGGCGCTTTGCATTCTGTTCTTCGCTCGCTCTGGGCTTTTTAGGAGAAATGGCCAGCCCACCCACCCACCCCCGCCTCCTCTCCCAGGTGGACTGCAGCAACTGCGGAGGGGGGGGGGGATTTGCCTCCCATCGGGAAGGGCGAGAAGTAGCGCGGCCAGCGGAACCGGGGATTTGGAGCCAGTCGTAGCGGGGAGCGGATTCTCTGAGCGCAGCAGCCCTTCGCCCCGCAGAGCGGTGGTTTTCGCCAAAATCGGAGAAATATTTCCCGGGCCGGAATGGAACCGCTGAACTCGGCTGCCTTCACGTGCCCACTTCTTCTCAACTCCATGGAGATCATCAGCGTCAGTAACACGGGGGTGTTCAGCGGCCTCTACCAAACGGCAGTCTCGGCCTCCGACATGCCCATTCGGCCACCCCCGCTGCAGGGCGTCCAGCACAGGATTGGGGGGGGGGACCCGGGAAGGAAAAGCAGGGGCTGAACTGCTGTGGCCCCTAACTGGAAGGGCCCTGGCCACGTCTTTTTCTCTCTCCCCCCCCCACCAAAGTGGCTCTTGATAGGATGCCCCAATGGTTTGCCTCTCTCGGGGACCTTTCCGCACCCATGGCTGAGCAGCTCCTGTGAGAGAGCGTGGCGTTTTGAGTCTAGGAGACTCCACTTCTGCCACTTCCCCCACAAAGAAACACAGCAAAGCTTTGGAGGAGGTTCCCCAAGTTGGTCTCACTGACAAGTGTGGTTTGCCTGGCACCACAGTCTGGTGGGCCCACAGCAGGCAACACTTGGGCAGTTGGTATTAATTGCTCTACTCAAATCAGAGAGCAGCAGCCCAGCACAGCCCCCATATTTGTATGGGGCAAAGAGGCCACCCGGGTGCCTTCCCTGTGTGCAAGGCCTGCAGCTCTGCTGCTCCCCTCCAAAGAGGCCACCTTCTGGGCCACCTGGACGGAGCTGCTTCAAGGGAGGCCCCCAAAGACCCAGGAGACTTCGCCCAGCCTCCTCTGGGTCAGTGTCCTTCCCCTCATCAGACGTGGCCTGCAATGCATGGCTGGGTACTGACCTGGTCCTGACCTTCCCTGAGAACCAGTAGCACCCATTTCCTTTGCCCTCCCCCTTTCATTGTCACATGGAATGGGATGGTGGGTGGGATGCTCTGGCCTGGGGGGGGGACACACCAATCACACCACCATGAATTTTCACATTTCCCACCCTCCTGCTTGATTGTAGAGTTCACATGGACACCTTTTAATGCACTGAGTAAAGCTGAAGAGAGCAAGGCTTCCGTGGTTTCTTCCTGTGGGGGGCATGGAGGGTGACCCTTCCTACCTCTCCCATCAGAAGCTCTTCTGCAATAAAATGTTTGCCTGAGCAGCCACAGCTTCCTTGGTCTTTCAGAAACTCCCGCGGTGCCAGTCTGCAGGTTTCCAGGAGAGCCTGGGTAGGATCCCCACCTGGAGGGGGGCTCAAAGCTAACTTTGGGGTACAGAGTCTCTACTTGTCTCTACTACTACTCTGCACTTTAAACAGCCTTTGGACTTGAAGACTTTGGGAACCTGCAGCTAATTCACTGTGGATCTGACCAGTTATTTTATTAGGAAGTCCTTAAAGGGTTTTTGCAAAGGAGCCATGAATTAGCTTCACCCAATGCTGGTCCATCCTAATCACTTGGCCCAAACTTTGCTGGATAGAGTCATTGTTAGAACCAGCAGTTAGCTAGAACCTATTTCGACACTTACCTGAAGAAGGCAGAGGTTGGCCACAAAGGGTTCAGTTATAAAAACTGGATTTGCAGTCAAGAATTTTGCAAGTGGAGCAGTTAGAGGAACAAGAAAAAGTAATGTGGCATTTTTGCTTAAAGGTCCAGAGGCAAAAAGCTCCAACTTAGCATGCCAAAAAATACCCCAAGAAGTGGAGATCGTATTTTATTTTAATAACTTTTATGACACCCATCTCACTAATACAGCAATTCTGGTTGGCTTACATTGTAATAAAAATTAAAAAGTTCTAAAAAGAAATGAAACTAGAATAAAGAGATTAAAAGTTAAGAACCAAGGTAATGGACATTCTGGGGGTAAGAATTTTCTGTATTCTATGAGTCACCAGCTAGGTACCCTACCCTGCCAGGACCCCAGGCTCAGTGGCTAAGCCAGGTTTTCAGGCTCTTCCAGAAGTCCAGAATTGTGTTTGTGTGTTTGTGTGTTTGTGTGTCTGTGTGTGGAGGGAATCTCACCTCTGATGGTAAAATATTCGGGAGTATAGCAGAAAAGGCTCTTCTCCTGGAACCCAGCAGCAGAAATTCTTTGGCCAGTGAGATCCAAATTTGGCTGTTTCCACTGGAAGGAGGGGGGCCAAATAGTCCCATTGGGGTGTGGCAGTTCCACTAAGTGCACCCACCCCTGCTTGTTACCCAGCTGCATTTGTCTTCAGCACATCAGGAACAAGTGGTGAACTATAATGAAATTCTGATATGTTTAGGACTTACATTAATTTTATTACAAAGTTACAGTAACAGAACGTTGTAAGGCTGAATCCACCTCCCTCTCTTCATCTTCCTGAAAGGGAAAAAAGTCCTTAAGTCTGAGACCCTTCCTCAAATTTCATTTCTGCCTTGGACACATTTTATTTTTTCATCTGATCATCATTTAGGTTGAGGCTATTCCTCCTGTTTCCTCTTGTAGCCCATTCTGTCACCAGGGAGGTGCACCAGCAAATGGGTAATCTGAGGCACAACTGGAAGAGATACTCACAAGAGAAGATAAAAACAAAGGAAAGGGGGGGGGGGTTGGCTGGGTCAGTGATCCAAGGCAGGGAAAGGAAGGAGTGGGTCTGCTGCCAGAAGGACCTGGGTGGAGATGAACAAGAAAGAGGCAAAGAGCAGAGCTGCTGCTAACCTGGGTCTTCTCCCCCAAGACTCCAGATGGAGCTGGGCAGAATCACCAGCAGGAACCAGGAGACAAGAGGGTGGGAGGGAGGCAGAGAGAGAGAGAGAGAGAGAGAGAGAGAGAGAGAGAGAGAGAGAGAGAGAGAGAGAGACAGAAAGACAGACACAGACAGAGGAAGACAGACAGACAGAGATGGAGACAGAGAGAGAGAGCATGGGTGAGTTGAAGTCTCCAATGCAGATTGTCAGGAGTCTCAAAGGAGCACCTGGGGCCATCTCAGACCCAACATATTTTAGTGCTTAGCAGGAGTATCAAGGGTTTGGGGTAATCCCAAATAAACCTGATATTTTTGGACCCATTGTTTGATTTAGTTGATTATGGGAATGCAGTGGACATTATGCACCTTGACTTCAGCAAAACATTTGAGAAATATCAGTGAAATCCTGGTGAAGAAGAAGAAGGCAACCTGTGGCTGGCCTACACCACCATTAAATGGACAAACCCTGTGGAAAGATCAAACCCAGCCAGGGCGTATTAGAGGCTCCAGATCTGATTGAAAGGAAGTGATGAATAGCAGGGCTTGTGCTGTTTGACATATTTATAATTAATGAATTATAATTAATAACTAATTAAGTTAGTTTTGGAGTTAGAAAATTGTAATCAGTTTTGGACATGATACAAAATGGGGGGATGTAAAATACTTCAGAGGGCAGAATGAAGATTTCAAAGGATCTTTAAAAGCTGGAATAATGGGCAAAAATGAGGATGATTAATTTCAACAGGGATAAATGCAAAGTTCAACATTTGTGTAGAAAGAAGAATGGGGTATGTGCAGAACTGCCTCACCCCAGTTGGACCAGTTGGCCCCTCTCGTTCCAGTGGAAGCAGCCTAATTTAGATCCCATTGGCCAAAGAATTTCTGCTGTTGGGCTCCAGGAGAAGAGCCTTTCCTGGTGTGCCCCCCCCCCAGAATATTGTACCATCGGAGGTGAGATTTCCCCCCCCCCCCCAGACACACAGGAACACAATCCTGGTCTTCTGGAAGAGCCTGAAAACCTGGCTCTGCCGCTCAGCCTGGGTCCCTAACAAGGTAGGGTACCCTGGGGGTGTCTCACGGGGTAGACAAGATTCTTAGCCCCAGAATGTCCATCACCTGGGTTCTTAACTTTTAATCTCTTTATTCTGGTTTCATTTCTTTTTAGCACTTTTAAACCTTTATTACAATGTAAGCCACCCAGAGTTGCTGTATTAGTGAGCTGGGTGGCATAAAAACTTATCAAAATAAAATAAGGTCTCAATTCTGGGGTTGTTTTTTCACATGCTAAGGTGGAGCTTTTTGCCTCTGGACCTTTAAGCAAAAATGCCACGTTACTTTTTCTTGTTCCTCTAACTGCCCCACTTGCAAAATTCTTGATTGCAAATCCAATCGTTATAACTGAACCGTTTGTGGCCAGCCTCTTTGGCTTCTTCAGGTAAGTGTGGAAATAGGTTCTAGCTAACTGCTGAGCCTGTCTCGGGGTTCCACCTTAGGACCTCCCCCTAAGAAGGCACCTGGGCCTCATTATGCAGACTCATTATGAAACGATGCCTATTCTTGATTCTAGACTTTTTAAGAGAAAGTTACAGTACTTAGTGCAGCAGAAAGGAAACCCTTTGACTGAAGCCACATGGGTAAAATCTAGTGATATAAAGCCGACAGGCTTATTAATAAATTCTATGAGAAACACCCTAAGAAACCAAGGGGCGACCCCTAACCTATGATTTTGTTTGAATTGCAGGATTTGTCCTATTTTTAACCCCCCCCCCATATCAACGCTGCTAACATTGGATGTTCCCGCTCTGACAACTGATGAAAATGCAGCCATTTTCTCTATTACTTTAATAGGCTTTTTCTTACGTTTAGAAATCAGGTGCATGGGGGTGAGGGGGGGATGTAAGGTCAGCTAGCCATAATAACAAAGCTGCTGTGGGAACCCAAGGACAAGCTGGTAAGGTTTTGTCGGGCTGAGGAGAAAGCCCGGGCTTTAAGCTAATTGGGGAAGCTAATTGAAGAGGAGGAGGAGGAGGAGGTGGTGGTGGAGGTGGAGGAGGCGGAGAATAAGAATGCCCGTGTTGGGTCAGCGGCGGTGGGGCGCCCGAGAAGAAATGCCCCCGCCCTCTTGCTGCCCAAGTGCTGCTCAGCGCTCGCTGCAGGACCGGCGATTTCGCAAAAGCGTCCGCCCCTCCGACGGCGATCCTGCCCCTCCCAGCCGCGGGGGGTGGAGGGAGGCGGCAGCTGAAAGGGGGGGGAGAGCGGGTGCGAGCGGGGCTTTATAAGGGGCGTCCCGTTGGGGCTGGCACGTCTAGATTCCGGAAGACCACCATGGCGATTGGCCTGGCAGCTCTGGGGCTCCTCGCTTTCCTGCTCGGGAATTTTGCCGAACCCCAAAACTCGGAGCCAGCCGCCAAGGTCAAATGCGGGGTGGGAGGCGGAGGGTCCCAGCCTCCCGTGTAGAAAGCCCTCCCCCCACACACACACCAGCCTCTGCTCGGGTGGGCGGCAGGAGCAACTGGTGGGAGCCGGCGGGCTGCGCAGAGGGTGCCGCTTCTTCGGGGTTGATCGCACCCGTGCCGTCGCGCTGAGCGCCAGAGGCCCTGGGTCTCCGACGGCCGATCGGTCAAGCGTTTTCTCCTCCGTGCTCGGCCGCGACTTCGGCAGCCTGCCGGCGGGGCTGGTACTCTCTCTCGCTGCGCAGTTTGGCAGAGCGATCCGCCCGCGGGATGTCGTCCCGGACGCGGTCTGGCAAGTGCCTCGACCGACGGACTTCGGGATGGGCCGCCTTTGCCAGCCCGACCCACCGTATCCCCGGGGGTAGGGCACGTGGGAGCAGCAGGTGTTTTCAGATCCCCCGGATAGAATGGAGCCAGAGTCTCTACCTGTTGGATAGGTGGGCTTGGCTATCACCCTGACACGCTCTTCTCTCGCCTCCCGCTCTTTTTTTAGTGCTCCCTGACCGGCACCTGGAACAATGGCCTGGGCAACAACATGGAGATCAACAGCGTCAGTGACACGGGGGTGTTCAGCGGTGTCTTCTATACGGCACCAGGGCGGTACTCCATTCAGATCTTTAAATACCGGCTGCAGGGCATCCAGCACCAGGGGCTCCAGCCCACCTTTGGCTTCAGCGTGAGCGCGAACTTCGATGGTAGAGCCACTCAGTCTTTGTTATGGAAGCAAATACAACGGGAGGAGGGAATCCAGCGGATCGCCCCTTCCTGAGATCTGCCTCTTGCAGATTCTTTCACTGAATGTCCTCCCTCCTCCACCCCCGCCCCACAATCAGATGGAGATGCCCAAATATTTTGGAGCCTATAAAACATTCCCAATCTAAAGGTAGCATCGGTGAGGGGGGGTCTTTATGCGAAATATATCCCCCCCCAATTGGTACAACTACTTTGATCTGACAGAATCCACATCCGTCTTTGTGGGCCAATGTCTGCTGGACCAGAACGGAAAAGAGCAGCTGAGGACAACCTGGCTGATGCGTGAGAAGGTTGGATCCGCGGCAAAGGATTGGGGGGCGACCATGTAAGGAAACCCAGGGGCTGAACTGCTGTGCCCCCTAACTGGAAGGATCCTGGGCATCTCTTCTTTTTCTCTCTCTTCCCCCCCCTCCCCCAAGTGGCTTTTGAAAGGACGACTCAACATTTGCCTCTCTCGGGGATGTTTCCGCCCCCAGGGATGAGCAGCTCCTGCGGGAGGGGCTGGAGACTCGTTTCTGCCACTCCCCCCACAAAGAAACAGAGCAAAGCTTTTGAGGAGGTTCCCCAGGTCCTTCTCACTGAAGTGTGGTTCGGGTGGCACCACAGTCTGGGTTGAACACAGCTGGCAAAACTTGGAGAGTTGGTATTAATTGCTCTACTCAAATAGGAGAGAGTAGCCCAGCACAGCCCCATATTTGTATGGGGCGAAGAGACCACCTGGGTGCCTTCCCTGAGCGAGGGCAAGCCTGCAGTTCTGCTGCTCCCCTCCAAAGAGGCCACTTTTGCGGCCACCTGGAAGGAGCTGCTTGAGGGGAAGCCCCCAAAGACCTAGGAGACTTCGCCCAGCCTGCTTTGGGTCTTGTCATTCCCCGGCCCTGGCCGCCTCTGAGAACCTGCAGAATGGGATGCTCAGTCTGGGGGGTGGATACATCAATCATTCCATCATGAATTTTGACATTTCCCACCCTTCTGCTTCATTGTAGGGTTGGCTGGTTCACCTTCCACCGCATAGAGTGATGGTGAAGAGAGCAAGGCTTCCCCGTTTCTGCCTTGGGGGGCCATGGGCTGGGGTGACCCCTCCTACCTCTGCCATCAGATGCTCTTCTCCAATAAAATGTTTGTCCGAGCAGCCTCAGCTTTCCTGGTCTTTCAGAAGCTCCCTGGGTGCCAGTCTGAAGGTTTCCAGGACAGGCTGGGTAGGACCTCCATCTGGAGAATGGGCTCTAGGGTAAAGAGTTAGCTTTGTCTCTACTACTGCTCTGCTAATGTTCTGCACTTTACTCAACCTTTGCCCTTGAAGACTTTGGGATCCTGCAGCTAATCCACTCAGGGTCTGGCCTATTAATTTATTAGGAAATTATGAAAGGGTTTTGCAAACGAGCCATGAATTAGCTTCATCCAGAGCTGCTCCATCTTAAACTTTTGGCTTAAGCTTTGTTTGACAGAGTCATTGTTAGAACCAGCAGTTAGCTAGAACTTATTTCGACACTTACCTGAGAAGCCAAAGAGGCTGGCCACAAAAGGTTCAGTTATAACGATTGGATTTGCAATCAAGAATTTTGCAAGTGGGGCCATTAGAGGAACAAGAAAAAGTAACGTGGCATCTTTGCTTAAGGCAAAAAGCTCCACATTAGCCTGTCAAAAAACAACCGCAGAAGTGGACAGCTTATTTTAATAGCTTTTTATGCCACCCATCTCAGTAATAAAGAAACTCTGGGTGGCTTACATTTTAATAAAAGTTAAAGTGCTAAAAAGAATCGAGACTAGAATAAAAAGATTAAAAATTAAGAACCAAATTGATGAACCACCAACTGCTTTATTGCTAAATGGAAATAAAGTTTCAGGGTCTTCCAGAAGGCCAGGATTGTGTGTCTGGGGGGATCTCACCTCTGATGGTAGAGTATTCTAGGGTGGGGGCACAGCAGAAAAGGATCTTCTCCTGGAGCCCAGCAGCAGAATTTTTTTGGCCAATGGGATCCAAATTAGGCTGCTTCCACTGGAAGGAGAGGGGCCAGTTAGTCCCATTGGGGTGAGGCAAAGGTTCCGGAGCAGCCGAGCAGGAAAGCGAGGAGCCCCAGAGCTGCCAGGTCAATCGTCATGGTGGTCTCAGGCAGGACACCCCTTATAAAGCCCCGCTCGCACCGCCTCCCCCCACCCCGAGTTGCCGCCCCCTCCCACCCCCCCGCGTCGCTGGTTCTGCTGCGAGCGCTGAGCAGCATTTCAGCAGCAAGGGGGTCGGGGGGAGGGCGCTTCTTCTCGGGAATCCCAGCGCGGCGGATCCAACACGGATATTCTTTTTTGGCTGGCTCTCCGTCAGCCCTCCTCTCCCGTCATTGGTCCGCCAACGCTCCAATCCCGCCCTTCCTCCCGGGCGTTTCATGGAGGGACCCTTTTCTAGGGCTATTTGGCTGCGTGGGACATTTAAACTCTCATCCGAGCAGCCAATCCCACGGCAAGAAGTGGGGAGCCTGGGGTGCAGGATGCGGGGGAGCTTGCTTTGATGTATGCGTGAGGAGAGGAGAAAAAAAAGCAGTCGGGGGGGGGGTCAGGGTCCCTTCCCAGTCTTTCAGAAGGCTGCCACTCCTGCCCACATAATGGTGTGGTTAATAACAATCCGACCAGGCTTCGCTGTATGGCTGCACACACACACTCACACTTCCCCCAGGTGCCTTTGAAGAAAAAGGGAGAGAAGGGGGAGAAAGCATTTTGTGTGTGTGTATTTATGTGGGGGAGAGAGAGAGAGAGAGAGAGAGAGAGAGAGGGAGGGAGAGAGAGAGAGAGCTTCCCTTTTTGTAAGTTTGCTTGCCCCCTCTACAAGGCTCTCCTTTCCCCACACTTTTGCTGGCCAGCACCTCGCCTTCCTCCTCTTCCCTTTTCCTTCCCTCCCCCCTCCCTCTCTCTCTCACACACCTACACACACACTCACACAAACAAAACAAAACCCTCCCTGCTTTCTCCCCCTTCCCCCCCAGGGACCCCTGGATGGAGTGGGAGGATATTCAAAAAAAGAGGGGGGGGAGGGGGAAGCTCCCCTGTGTCCTTTCACTTTCGGGACGACCTCGCCCTCCCCCCTCTTTCGCCCAACCTGCCGCAGGACCAGATTCAAATTTCTCGCTTCTTCACCGCGGGGCAAAATACTTGCTTTTCCTCACCTATTGCACTGCCCAGATTTTTGGTGTGTGTGTGGGGGGGGGGCTTAGAGTCTTCGCTTGTGTTTCCGGGCGGGTGTGGATGTAAATCCCCTGGGGGGCTGTTGAGAGAGCCGGTTTGGAGGGGGAGGGGTTATGGTCTAGGTTGCTTCTCTCCTTGATTAGTTTCCACTCGTTGCTTCTTGTCCGGCCCTCAGGCGCCTTGGAGAATACCTTGATTCCCTCTTCTTTGTGGCAGCCCGTGAGATATTAGAAGTCTGCTATTGTGTCCCCCCTCGTCCTTCTCTTCATTAAACTAGACATACCCAATTCCAGCAACCGTTCTTTATATGTTTTAGCCTCCAGTCCCCAGGCTTGTCCCTCCCCTCTCCCATTTCCCAGGAAGATATGTCAAATCGAAAGAGGAAGAAGGCAAAATGGTTACATCACAAAAAGCCCCGAGGTTCCCCCCTCCCACCAGAATGGCAGCCTCTGGATAGGGATCTATGGGGACCTGACAGGCAATTTGGGCTGTGTGAGCGCAGACCCTCTGTCACGCACAAGTGGGGGGGGGCTGGGACCAGTTAAGGAACTGCCTGGAAGAATTGGGGTGCCTGGCAGGACAAGAATCTCCAGGTTGCTCCCTGGAAGCAGCAGAGGGCCTCAGCCTTCCATCCAGGAGTCCCGCTGCCTGCTGCGCTTGGCTTTGGGAATTGTCTTCTGGGCATGGAAGAAAGTGTGTGTGTGTGGGGGGCTTGGCTGAAAGAGAAATTTTGTTCCGATGGTCCTGAGCACCGACAGGAGACAGGAGTTCTCTGGCTTGTGGGTTGAACGGCTGCTTCCTTCCCCCCAAACTGGCCAGCATTTCTTTGCTTTGGATTAGGTGATGGGGGGGGGGGGAAGAGTGGAAAGAAGGGCTGATCCATGGCGGGAGAGGAACTGCTCCAGGCCGGCCCGGGTGCAAATGGCCTTTTTCTGCACCCGAACTTACCTGTGAAGGAGAACAGCGCTAATCGGGGTAAGGGGGGTGGGGGTGGGAAAGCTCCATGTTTTCTGCTCTGCTTCCTTCGGCTGGCTGGAAACGATCAGCGTGATGCACGCCCGTCTGTTTCCTTCCTGGACGTCGCAAGGGAGCAAAGTCGTAGCACTTTTCCCTTGAGAGAAGCCCCGCCGCTTTTTCGTCCGCCTGTCTGGCCGTCTGGACTCGCCAAAGGCGAGCGATTCAGGGCTTTGCAGGCGGACGGCGGGCGCTCGCAGCTGCGGGGCAATTCGCCCCGCCCCTCGCTCGGAGATCGCCGGCGCCGCTTCTGGCCGCCAGGGGGCGCAGGCGCGACCGTCGCGCGGCGGCTCCAGGCATGCGCGGCCGGGCAGCACCGTGACCCGCTTTCCTCCCCTCTCCCGCTCTCCTTTAGTGCTCCCTGACTGGCAACTTGATGAGCGACCAGAATGGTCATCTCCGACAGCAATAATGCCGGAGGTTCAGCCGCTCCTACCTGACAGCTGAACACTGCAGGGCACCTCTCTGCAGGACACCCAGCACCAGGTTCATCACTTCCTTTCAATCAGATCTGGAGCCCTTAATACACCCTGGTTGGGTTTGATCTTTCCCCAGGGTCTATCCATGTAATGGTAGTGTAGGCCAGCCACAGGTTGCCTTCTTCTTCACCAGGATTTCACTGATATTTCTGAAATGTTTTGCTGAAGTCAAGGTACATTATGTCCACTGCATTCCCATAATCAACTAAATCAGACAGTGTGTCAGGTTCATTTGGGATCACCCCAAACCCTTGATGCTCCTGCTAAGGACTAAAATATGATGGGTCTGAGATGGCCCCAGGAGCTCCTTCCAGACTCCTGGACAGCTTGGTTTGGAGACTTCAACTCACCTATGCATTCTCTCTCCCTCTCCCTCTCTCTCTCTCCCTCCCTCCCTCCTTCCCTCTCTTTCCTGGACCCTGCTGGTGTTTCTGCCCAGCTCCATCTGGAGTCTTGGGGGAGAAGACTCAGGGAAGCAGCAGCTCTGCTCTTTGCCTCTTCCCTGTTCATCTCCAACCAGGTCTTCCTGGCAGCAGATTTTTCTTTACCTTCCTTGGACCACTGACCCAGCCCTACCTCCCTTTTCCTTTAATTTCTTCTCTTGTGAACATCTATTCCAGTTGTGCCTCAGATTACCTATTTGCTGGTGCACCTCCTGGTGAGGTAATGGGGCTACAACGGGAAACAGGAGGAAGAGCCTCAACCCAGATGAGGATCAGATTTAAAAAAATGTGTCCAAGGTAGAAAACCTAAGGACTTTCTTCCATTTCAGGAAGATGAAGAGAGGGAGGTGGATTCAGTTTTGCAAGGTTCTGTTACTCTAACTTTGTAATAAAAGTAATCTAAATCCTAAACATATCAGAATTTCCTGAGATTTCATCACCTGTTCCTGATCTGCTGAACAGAGATGCAACTGGGTAATATCCCATAATAAGCATGGGGGTGCACTTAGTGAAGCTTTGGGGTATCTGAGGAACTGCCTCACCCCAATGGGACCAGCTGGCCCATCTCCTTCCATGGAAGCAGCCTAATTTGGATCCCATTGGCCAAAGAATTTCTGCTGCTGTGCTCCAGGAGAAGAGCCTTTTCTCCTGTGCCCCCCCCCCGAATATTGTACCACCAGATATGAGATTCCTCTCCCAACACATACACACATACACACAAACCTGGTCTTCTGGAAGAGCCTGAAAACCTGACTCAGTCACTCAGCCTGGGGACCTGACTGGATGGGGTACCTTGGGGGTGTCTCATTAGGTAGAGAAGATTCTTTCCCACAGGTTGTCCATCACCTTGGGTCTTAACTTTTAATCTTTCTGTTCTAGTTTCAATTGGTTTTAGCACTTTTTAACTTTCATTACATTGTAAGCCACTTGCTTTATTAGTGAGATGGGTGGCATAAAAAGGTATTAAAATAAAATAAGCTCTGCACTTCTGGGGATGTTTTTTGACATGCTAAGGTGGAGTTTTTTCCCCCCTCTGGATCTTTAAGCAAAATGCCACATTACTTTTTCTTGTTCCTCTAATGGCCCCACTTGCAAAATTCTTGATTGCAAATCCAATTTTTATAACTGAATCTTTTGTGGCCAACCACAAGTGTCGAAATAGGTTCTAGCTAACTGCTGATTCTAACAGTGACTCTATCAAGCAAAGCTTAGACCAAGTGATTAGGATGGACCACCTCTGAGTGAAGCTAATTCATGGCTCACTTGCAAAAAGTCTTTAATAATTTTCTAATAAATTAATAGGTCAGATCCTCAGTGGATTGGCTGCACGTCTTCAAAGTCTTCAAGGGCAAAGGCTGTGTAAAGTGCAGAGCAATAGTAGAGGAGTAGTAGAGACAAGCAGAGACTCTACCCCAGAGTTAGCTTTGAGCCCTCCCTTCAGATGGGGGTCCTACCCAGCCTCTCCTGGAAACCTGCAGACTGGCAAGTTTCTGAAAGACCAGCGAGGCCGAGGCTGCTCAGGCAAACATTTTATTGGAGAGGAGGCTCTGATGGGTGAAGTAGGAAGGGTCACCCCCTCATTTCCCCTGCAAATCCTTGCTCTCTTCATCCTCTCACTCTATGCGGTAGAAGATGTTTGGGCCAACCCTACAATGAAACAGGAGGGAGGGAAATGTCAACATTCATGGTGGCATGATTGATGAACCCCCAAGGCCAAGCATCCCATCCCCCCCCCATTCCCTCCTCCCACCCACTCATGTGAGAAAGAAAAGGGGGTGCAAAGGAAATGGATGCCACTGGTTCTCAGGGGCAGCCAGGGCCGGGTAGGTCCCCTGCCACGCATTGCAGGCCAAGTCTGACCAGGGGAAGGACACTAAACCGAAGCAGCGTGGATGAAGTCTCCTCGGCCTTTGGGGGGGGGGGGCTCCCTTGAAGCAGCTCCATCCAGGTGGCCACAAAGGCAGTCTCTTTGGATGGGAGCAGGAGAGCTGCAAGCCTTGCACTCCAGGAAAGGACACAGGTGGCCTCTTTGGCCCCTACAAATATGGGGCTGTGCTGGGCTACTGTTCTCTGATTTGAGTAGAGCAATTAATGCCAAATCTGAGTGTTGCCAGCTGTGGGCAACCCAGACTGTGATGCCATCCAAACCACACTTGTCAGCTGTCCTGAGAGAGGCAAATCATTGGGGCGTCCTTGCAAGAGCCACTTTGGGGGGGGGGAAAGAGAGAGAAAAGGAAGAGGTGCCCAGGACCCTTCCAGTTAGGGGATGCAGCAGTTCAGTCCCTGCATTTCCTTACCGGGTCGCCCCCCAATCCTCTGCTGCGGATCGCACCTTCGCACGCAGCAGCCAGGTTGTCTTCAGCTGCTCCTTTCCGTTCTCGTCCATCAGACACTGGCCCACAAAGACAGCGGTGGATTCTGTCAGATCAAAGTTGTTGTATCAATTGGGGGGGGGGGATATGGTTCGCATAAAGACCCCTGTTCACCGATGCTACCTTGAGATTGGGAATGTTTGGGCAAAATATTTGGGCAGTTCCATCTGGTTGGGGGGGAGAGGGAGGACATTCAGTGAAAGAAGCAGATCTAAGGAAAGGGGCGATCCACTAGATTCCCTCCTCCCGTTCTGTTTGCTTCCACACCAAATAGTGAGTGGCTCTACCAGTGACTTTCCAGCTGACGGTGAAGCCAAAGGTGGGTTGAGACCCCAGGTGCTGGATGCCCTGCAGCGGGGATGACGGGACGGGCTTGCCGGAGCTCGAGACTGCCGTTTTGTAGAGGCCGCTGAACACCCCCGTGTTACTGACGCTCTTGATCTCCATGGTGGAGTTGAGGTCATTCTTCCAGGTGCCGCGCAGGGAGCACTAAAAAAGAGCGGGAGGGGGGAGGAAAGATGCTCACGGCGCTAACCAAACCCAGCTGTCCAACAGGTAGTGCCTCTGGCTCCATTTTCTCCGGGGGATCTGAAAACACCCGCTGCTCCCACGTGCCCGACCCCCTGGGCTCCCCATGCCTCGTGGGGCTGGCAAAGGCGGCCCATCCCAAAGTCCGTCGGTCGAGGCACCTGCCAGACCGCGTCCGGGACGACACTCCGCGGGCGGATCGCTCTGCCATCAGCGCAACGAGCGAGAGCACCAGCCCCGGCGGCAGGCTGCCGAAGTCGCGGCCGAGCACGGAGAAGGACACGCTCGGCCAGCCAACCGTCGGAGATCGAAGGCCTCTCAGAGCGACGGCACCGGGTGCGATCAACCCCTAGGAAGCGGCACCCTCTGCACTCCCATTAGTTGCTCCTGTCGCCCACCCGAGCAGAGGCTGGGGGGGGGCTTTTCACGGGGTAGGCTTGAGCCCTCCGCCCTTCATCCCGCATCTCACCTTAGCGGCTCTCTCCGAGTTTTGGGTTTTGGCAAAGGTTCCCGAGCAGCCGAGCAGGAAAGCGAGGAGCCCCAGAGCTGCCAGGCTAATCGCCATGGTTGTCTTCAGGAATCTAGACGTGCCAGCACCAGCCGGACGCCCCTTATAAAGCCCCGCTCGCACCCGCTCTCCTCCCCACCTTCAGCTGCCGCCACCCTCCACCACCCTCAGCGCCTGGGAGGGGCAGGACACTCGTCCGAGGGGCGGACGCTTCTGCGAAATCGCTGGCCTTCTGCTAGCGCCGAGCAGCACCTCCGCAGCAAGAGGAGCGGGAGGGCACTTCTTCTCGGGCACCCCACCGCCGCTGACCCAACACGGGCATTCTTACCACCTCCTCCTCCTCCTCCTCCTCTGCCGCCTCCTCTTCCACCGCCGCCGCCGTCGCCTCCCAGGACTCAGACAACGACGCCGGAGGCTGCGAGGGCGACGCTTCCGTGGGTTCCGCTTCCATGCTGGCTCTGCTGTATGCAAGCAGGAGAGGCGATCTGGCGGGCCGCCTGGCCCGGGCAAGGGTGCGGGGAAGGTTCGGCAGAGGCCAAGACGGCTCACGCGTGCCTGGTCAAGGATTCCTGGGTAGCCGGACTCTCCCATAGGGGAGCGGAATGGGCAGCCGGGGGTGGAAGTTGACCAGGCGTCTTAAGCCCGCCCCACGCAGTACCTTCGTGGGATTCCCCGTCGGGCAGAAGAGCAGTGGCGGCCTAGAGGCCGGGATTCCCCGGCGGGGAGCGGAAACACTTTCAGGGCAACAGAAGCCTTATTTTATTGGCATAGCAGCCGCCAGCTGGGTTCCCGCGTTACTGCTTCGCTACTCCCGCCTCTCTTCTAGTCGCCGGATCCCGGGGTCCCCGCCTGGCCCCTTCCGAATTCAGCCCCTGCTGGGGCACAGACGGCACCCACAGGAATGAGGAGGCTCGCGAGGATCAGCCCTGCCCCGCGCCCCACAGCAGTCCAGCCTGGGGAGGGCAGCAGAGACCGCCCTGAGAAGGTCCAGAGGGAGCTCCGAGGTGCTGAACTCGGCCAGGGATTCTGGGTTAGCTCCAGGATCGCATTTCCTCTTGCTCTTTCTTTCACCAAATGAAGTTGCCAGCAAGGGAGGACCAGGGTGCCCGGATAATTGCCCCCCCCATCACTCTTGCAGGCCTCTCTGGTAGTCTCTCTGCTCATCTGATGCAGAAAGACCCGGCCTGTATCTTCTGCCTGCCCAGAGGGTCTATAGTAACCGCGTCCGGGACAACACCCCGCGGTCGGATCGCTCTGCCATCAGCGCAGCGAGCGAGAGTATCAAGCCCGCCGGCAGGCTGCCGAAGTCGCGGCCGAGCCTGGAGGGGAAAACGCTTGGCCTGTCGGCCGTCGGGGACCCATGGCCTCTGGCGCTCAACGCGACGGCACCGGGTACGATCAACCCCGAGGAAGCGGCACCCTCTGCGTAGCCCACCAGCTCTCACCAGCTGCTCCTGCAGCCCACCCGAGCAGTGGCTGATGGCAGGGGTTTCCCCGGGGGAGGCTGGGACCCTCTGCCCGCCACCCCGCATCTGACCTTGGCGGCTGGCTCCGAGTTTTGGGGTTCAGCAAAGGTTCCCGAGCAGCAGAGCAGAAAAGCGAGGAGCCCCAGAGCTGGCAGGCCAATCGCCATGGTGGCCTCCAGGAATCTAGACGCGCCATCTCCAGGAGGGACGCCCCTTATAAAGCCCCGCTCGCACCGTCTCTCCCACCCCCTTGAGCTGCCGCCTCCTTCCCCCCCCCCCGCGCCTGGGAGGGGCAAGATCCCCCCCCAAAAGAACAGCATTTCGGCAGCAAGGGGGAGCGGGGGGGCACTTCGTCTCGGGAACCCCGGCGCGGCTGAACGGCTGGCTCTCTACCAGCGCTCCTCTCCCGCCATTGATCCGCCAGCGCTCCATCCTCGCCCTTTCTTCCCGGTCGTTTCACGGAGGGACATTTTTCTAGGGCACGTTAAATGCGCATCCGGACAGCCAATCGCCATGCTAAGGGGTGGGGAGCCTGGGGTGCAGGAAGACAAGGGACGTTGACAAGAGAAAAAAAACTAGTGGGGGGGTCAGGATCACGGCCTTTTCCTACCCAGCCTTTCAGGGGTCTGCCTTCCCCCGTGCCCCCATAATTAAACAGTTAATAACAATCCGATCAGGCTTAGCTGCATAGCTGCACCCCCATCGCCCCTCTTCGTGCAGGTACCTTTGGAGAAAAAGAGAGAGAAGGGGGAGAAAGCACTCTGTGTGTGTGTGTGAGTGAGAGGGGGGGAGAGGGGGAGAGAGAGGGAGAGGAAGAGAAAGCTATCCTTTTTGTGAGTTTCCTTGCTCCGTCTGCCAGGCTCTCTTCTTTCCCCACCACACTTTTGCTGGCCAGCACACCCTCTTCTCGGCGAGATCCGAAGGGGCGCAAATCCCCCCCCAACCCTCCGCAGTTCTTGCAGTCCACCTGGGAGAGGAGGCGGGCAATTTCCCCGAAAACCCCCAGAGCGAGCGAAGAACAGAATGCAAAGCGCCCCCCTGAAGAAAGTGGGCCTAGAAGCGGGAGGTGCGAAAGCGGAGATATTCCCTCCCCATCAGGTGTGTCGGTTGAGGGTCTCAGCCTCCCCTCCTCTTAACGTCGGAATCCGCAGCAGCCTCGCTTTAAACAAGGCTTTTTCCTTTGGTTTGACCCCCTTCTCTCGCTTGCTCAAAACGTCCCAGGAATCGGCTCCTTCCTATTTCTGACCCTCAACCCCCAAAAGTAGAAAGATCTCTCCACTGTTTGTTTCTGGCTGAGCAGACACCCAACGACCCTTGAGTGCCCACTTCTCCTCAGCATTGTTCCACGAGCCACAAAGAACAACAGACTGCTGGCTCCCCCCTCTGCCCTGTACCAATTGCGGGGGGGGGATATATTTCCCATAAAGATCCAAAAAAACCCCAGAGCGAGTGAAGAACAGAATGCAAAGCGGTCCCCCGAACAAAGTTCGCCTAGGAGCCTTGTCCTCGTCACTCCCCAGGGAGGTGGAGGCGGGCAGGACCAGCTCTTCCTCCACCTCGCGAGGCGTGGGCGACGCCGATGCCACCACCTCCGCCTCCGCCTCCGCCTCCCAGAACTGAGACGACACCCCCCGGAAGCAGCGAGGCCGACGCTTCCGTGGGTTCCGCTTCCATGCTGGCTCTGCTGCATGCACGCAGGAGAGGCGAGCGGGCGGGCCGCGTGGCCCGTGCAAGGGCGCGAGGAGGGCTCGGTGGAAGGGAGCCGGGCAGAGGCCAAGACGGCTCGCGCGCCTGGCCAAGGATCCCTGGGCAGCCGGGCTCTCCCACGGGGGAGTCGAGGGAACCCGCTCCCTCTGGGTGCTCTACGTCCAGCAGATCGTGCAAAGCCCTCCTGTAGGGTTTCTGCCGCTGGGTTGCGCACCTTGTGGGGCGAAGGCCAGAGCCGCCTTGCCCGAAACGACCGCCGGCCCATTGAGCCCCGAGCCCCGGGAGGCCTCGCCGGCCGGCGGAGCAATTGGACTCTTTCCCGGCACCCCGAGGTATTTTTTCCTGCCGATACGGTGGAGAGGGCAGGGCGAATTAACGGGCCGGGAGGGGCGCGGGGGGGGGGGACAGGGGCAGCCGGGGTGGAGGTTGAGCAGGCGCCTCCCCCGCCCCCCGCAGCTCCTCTACCTTCCTGAGATTCCCGTCGGGTGGAAGAGCAGCGGTGGCCTGGAAGCCTGGATTCCCGGGGGGGGGGGGAGGAAACGTTTCTGGGGCAACAGAAACCTTGTTTTATTGGCATAGCAGCTGCCAGCTGGGTTCCGGCGTTACTGCTCCGCTCCTCCCGCCTCTCTTCCGGCCGCCGGAAACCGGGGTCCCCGCCTGGTTCCTTCCGAATTCAACTCCTAGCTGGGGCACAGACGGCACCCATAGGAATGAGGAGGCTCACGAGGACCAGCCCTGCCGCGCGCCCCACAGCAGCTCTGTGAAGCTTTGGAGAGAGAAGCCCAGCCTGGGGAGGGCAGCAGAGACCGCCCTGAGAAGGTCCAGAGGGAGCTCCGAGGTGCTGAACTCGGCCTGGGATTCTGGGTTAGCTCCAGGATGGCATTTCCTCTTGCTCTTTCTTTCACCAAATGAAGTTGCCAGCAAGGGAGGACCAGGGTGCCCGGATAATTGCCCCCCCCCATCACTCTTGCAGGCCTCTCTGGTAGTCTCTCTGCTCATCTGATGCAGAAAGACCCGGCCTGTATCTTCTGCCTGCCCAGAGAGTCTATAGTATCCTCCCTATATGTTTTCTATACTACCTGCCATCCTGTATTAATGCCTTTGATTTTTGTTTCTACACAAATGTTGGACTTTGCATTTATTTCTGTTGAAATTAATCTTTCCGGATTTTTGCCCATTATTCCAGCTTTTAAAGATCCTTTGAAATCTTCATTCCGCCTTCTGTAGTATTACATATATCCCCCCATTTGGTATTGTATCTTATCCAAAACAGATTACAATGTTTTCTAACTCCTGAACTAACCTAAATATGTCAAACAGCACAAGGCCTAAAATGGACCCCTGCAATAAATCTCTCCACCAGCTCTATCCATGTAATGGTAGTGTAGGCCAGCCACAGGTTGCCTTCTTCTTCACCAGGATTTCATTGATATTTGTCAAACGTTTTGCTGAAGTCAAGGTACATAATGTCCACTGCATTCCCATAATCAACTAAATCAGACAGTGTGTCAAAAAATATCAGGTTGATTTGGGGTCACCCCAAACCCTTGATGGTCCTGCTAAGCATTAAAATATGATGAGTCTAAGTTGGTCCCAGGAGCTTCCTTTGTCTGTCTGTCTGTCTGTCTGTCTGTCTGTCTGTCTGTCTGTCTGTCTCTCTCTCTCTCTCTCTCTCTCTCTCTCTCTCTCTCTCTCTCTCTCTCGCCATCTCTGTCTCTGTCTTTCTCTGTCTCTGTCTCCATCTCTCTCTGTGTGTCTCTCTCTCTGTCTCTCTCTCCATTTCTCCATCTCTCTCCGTCTCTCTGTTTCTGTCTTTCTATCTCTGTCTCTGTCTCTGTCTCTCTCTCATCTCCTGATTTCTACTGGTGATTCTGCTCAGCTCCGTGTGGACTCTTGGGGGAGAAACCTAGGGAAGCTGCAGCTCTGCTCTTTCCCTGGCTCAGCTGCTCAGCTTGGGGCCCTGACAGAGTAGGGTACCTTGGGAAGGTGTCATGGGGTAGAGAAGATTCTTGCTCCCAGGCTGTCCATCACCTTGGTTCTTAATTTTTAATCTCTTTATTCTTGTTTCAATTCTTTTTAGCACTTTTTAACATTTATTTCATTGTAAGCCACGCAGAGTTTCTGTATTAGTGAGATGGGTGACATAAAAAGTTATTAAAATAAAATACGCTCTGCACTTCTGGGTGTGTTTTTTGACATGCTAATGTGGAGTTTTTTTTTCCCCTCTGCATTTTTAACCAAAATACCACATTACTTTTTCTTGTTCCTCTAATGGTCCCACTTGCAAAATTCTTGATTGCAAATCCAATTATAATAACTGAACCGTTTGTAGCCAGTCTCTTTGGTTTCTTCAGGTAAGTGTCGAAATAGGTTCTAGCTAACTGCTGGTTCTAACAGTGACTCTATCAAGCAAAGCTTAGGCTAAGTGATTAGGATGGACCAGCTCTGGGTGAAGCTAATTCATGGCTGATTTGCAAAATCCTTTAATAATTTCCTAATAAATTAATAGGTCAGATCCTCAGTGGATTGGCTGCAGGTTCCCAAAGTCTTCAAGGGCAAAGGCTGTGTAAAATGCAGATCAATAGTAGAGCAGTAGTAGAGACAAGTAGAGACTCTGTACCCCAGAGTTAGCTTTGAGCCCCCCCTCCAGATGGGGTCCTACCCAGCCTCTCCTGGAAATCTGCAGACTGGCACCCAGAGAGCTTCTGAAAGACCAGGGAGGCCGATGCTGCTCAGGCAAACATTTTATTGGAGAAGAGGGTCTGATGGGAGCAGTAGGGAGGGTCAACTCCCCGCC